AGTGGGCCGGGGTGGGGCCTCCGCTTTCTTTTTTTTTCCTCTCTTTGGGGGTTTTTTAGTTGGTGGGTAGTTTGGGTTGTTAAAAGCATTAATGTTGGGGGGGGGGGGCCTATCCTTTTTTTTTTTTTTTTTTTTTGCGAACTTTGAGTGCAGATCTCAGTTGTTTTTATTTCAGAAGATTAACAAGGGGATTAGCTGACTAGTGACAGTCCAACAATATTTGGGCAGAAACCCCCGCGACACCATTTGACACCCCGCATTCAAGGGTGCAAAGCATCGAGTCATCGAGTCATGCACTGCTCCCCTGTTGAGTTGACGGGGTGTTTTGGGGTATCCGCGCTCTATTTATGCGGCGCTAGATTGAGAGCCAGGTTGCAATTTGCCGAGGCGTGAATAACACCGACGTTCAACTCACCTCACTTCCGGGTTGTTTCAGTAGACTCAGGTGAAATGACCTTAAGAGTAGACGCATGTTGGAGTATGGAAAGGCCTGAAAATATCAACGACCTGGAGAAATCCTTCACTTCCGGATTAGGGAATGTTTGCTTTGTTTGATCATGTGTCAAGCCAAGGGGTGAGGGTACGCTGCGGCCCTACGGAGTCTCCGATGAATAGTTTACTTACAAGTGGAGAGGCTTGCGAAGAGATTCTCCACCTTCTCTTTCGATCCCCTGAGACGACTTAATTCTACCACTTCACCTACTTTTTCCAACAGGCTCAACAGGAGAGGAAGAGAACAATTGGAGGAGAGTAGGGGGGCTAGCTAGCCATGAAGAACTCCACACTTCGTACAGAGTATGTGGTACCCCGGGCAGAGCTTTTAACAAGAGTTACAAGGGTTGGCACGGACGCAATCAGGTCGGCATTCCCGACAAAGGCCGTGTGCTGCAGTCGAGGTGCACTGAAGTCATCAATGACTATGTTACACGGATTCAAGAGCAGACTGACAACTAAATATGGGGATGTTAACATGTGTATACTCATATTTCCATGCGTACGAGTATTGAGATGGTCATCTAAGATCCGTAGCCTGTCGGTCAGCTGTGAGCCACAATGTGCAGAGATTGCGGGCTGAGACACATCCCAGATTGCGTATGAGATCGCCAACTGGGATCCATGGGCTCGCTTGCAGATTCTGGTACGGAGAAAGGGTCCATCGATCTCTTATTTGGCAGGTCACTTTCTTGTGCCCGCTCCCTTGATTAATTCATGAACCGAAGATCGCGATAGGTGTAAGCACTAACTCCTTCAGGGGATGGCCGAGCGACAATCATCGAATCGCAAAAACAAGTCGATTGTTCTTTTGGCCCCTGTTTGGTTAGACTGGTAATTCCTTTGTTTCCTGGGTCGCTTATTAGGACAGAATGTGATCTTGACGCGTTTTTCGCTGTATCGTATGGCGACCGATACGATCTGGCACAGATCGCTAGTGAAAGATGTGGCGCCGAGCGAGCTGCCAGTGACGAAGAAATAAAAGGGGAGCTGGTGCCCAGCTGTCAAAAAAAAAACATCGAAATACCCTGGCCGATGATGTTGTTCCATACTGTCAAGTCTCTCGCCATCGGGCTGGCGCTCGGCGCCAGCGTGTTGGCGTCAGACTCCTCCCATTCACTCGTGAGCCGTCGCTTGACTGAGTACCAGATGCCAGTCGCTACTCAGACGCACGAGTTTGCGCACGTTCCGAACTCGAATTTTGTGTTGTTGACGCAGATGTCCAACAGCGAACTGATTAAGATCGAATTGGACTCGACCACCGAAGAACCCATCGCCTTCCACTCATTCCCCATGGGAAAGAACAGCACAACTTCAATGCTTCACGGAGTATGGCCCTCGACAATCTACCCCGGAATGATGTGGTTGTCTTTACAAGGCGAAAATAAGCTTCTTCTGGTGGATCCAGGCAAGAAACTCTCGACTCCGCCGATCATCAAGAAAACTATCAGCATCCCCGCCCCGGGCAACGGCCCGCATTGTGTTTTTGAAATTGGTAACCGCGTCTGGGCTGGTCTCAAGGTGGCCTCTGAGCAAACCGGAAAGTACTACGTGTACTCAGCCGACATCCACAACCCCAAGAACCACACCTTATATCCCGCCCTCAACAGTCCCGTATTCATCAAGGAGGAACCAACCACCGGCTTGATCTACGTGACCCAAGACAATGACTCGTCCATCATGCGCATCAATGCCACCAGCGGCGAGACCAAACAAATGCACGTCCCGCCTAGCGTCGGCAACAACGCCGTCGGCATGATCTCCGCCACCGGTCCCCTGGGTGGTGTCTGGTTCACACTGGCAGGTAATGCCACCGGAGGCACCGGCACATTCGGCCACATCGGAGCATCAGGCAAGATGCAGTTCTTCAAGCTGAAGCACCCGCTGCTCGGCACCAACGCCGGCTTACTGCACATCGCCGATGCGTCGACCGCGGCCGGTCCTGCCCTGTGGCTCTTGTCGACCTCGCTGCTGAGCACCGAGTCGCCCGATGCCTTGATCCGGGTGACTTTTGACGACGCCATGAAGTCTATCGCGGATGAAGAGTACATCTCCATGCTCACTCAAAATGCCATGGTGCGCCGCATCCTGCCCCTGAACCACACGGTGCTGGTCTCGGAGCTCCACACATTTACCCTCGCCCAGCTCTCGTACAAGAATACCGTGGCTGGGAAGTGGTTGCCTGCTCAGGCTGTCACTAATACCTCGGTTTACACTGAGGCCAGTTGAGGGATGCCTGTCCTAGAATATGGGCCCCATTCACATCTTAAATAAACATGTAGAGAGGCACTGCCCGAATAATCATATATTTTAATCATTGACTCTACATGGGAGATGAGTCGAGTTGGAAACCCCTGATGGGTCCATGAATCTGTGAGGCTCACTAACTGACATTGTATCTAATGAACACTCCCTCTATCGAATGCCTTCCCTATCAAAAGGATCTCAATTTCACGAAAGCCTCTTTTTTTCGCTGCGTCAAGAGCCGTTACTCCATCGTGCGTCGATGCACGCGCAGTTACGTCAGCCTTTGCTTCTATGAGTATCTTCACCACATCCATATGACCCCCCTCTACTGCAGCTTGAAGCGCCGTCCTACCGCTATAAGGGGCAGGCAGTCCATTGGCATCATGCCCATTGGCAAGCAGCATTCTCACTATTTCAAGGTGACCACCTTCTGCGGCCGCCTGGAGAGCTGTTCGGCCGCCATATGGAGCAGGCGGTGCGTTTATCAATGCACTCGCGGCTACCAACATTCTCACGACCTCAATGTGTCCATTTTGTGCTGCCGCTTGAAGCATAGTGCGGCCGTTGCGCGATGAGGCAGGGGCGTCAATCACAGGTAAAGCGATTGTATGGTTATTCTTTCGCAGCCTTCCACTGCTTTGTCCCAGTCTGGTGGTGTCATAGCCTAGAAGTTTAAGAAAATCTCTCACAATCTCTGTATGACCTTTTTCTGCTGCCGCCTGAAGGGCAGTTCGACCATTTTCAAGAGAAGCAGGTTCGTCAATCCTGGCGCCTTCTCGTAGTAGTGCTTTGATAACTTCAACACGGCCACCCCCCGATGCTGCTTGAAGGGCAGTTCGGCCGTTGTCAACAGCGCAATTTGCGTTTACATCAGCCTGGCCCTTGAGCAACTCTTCCACAATATCGAGATAACCGCCCCCTGCTGCTGCTTGAAGGGCAGTGCGACCACCGTGGGATGACGGGGGTGCATTTATATCAGCTCTTTCTATGAGGAGAATTTGCGCTATGGCATAATGACCATTTTCAGCTGCTCCCTGGAGCGCCGTTCGGCCACCATGAGAAGCAGGGGGCGCGTTGACATCTGCATTTGCTGCCAGGAGAGATTTCACGATTTCAAGATGACCACTTTGCGCGGCGGCTTGCAGAACCGTTCTCCCGCTCTTGGGAGCGGGGGAATTGGGATTCGCCCCATTTGCCAGTAGCAACTGTAGCACATCACAATGATCTTCTCCAGCAGCAGCTTGTAGTGCCGTCACGCCATCGCCGGCGGCCGGGGCATTAATATTAGCACCTGTGGCAATGAGTATCTCGATGATTTCAACGTGGCCTCTTTCTAATGCGGCTTGCAGGGCTGTACGGCCACCGGATGGCGCTGATGGTGCATTCACATCCGCCTTCGCCAAAATGAGGGCTTGCATGAGGTCTGAATGCCCAGCTTCTGCAGCAGCCTGAAGCGCGGTTCTACCGCTTATATCAGAAGGAGGAGAATTAAAATCAGCATCTGCGGCCAACAGTGTCTCAAATGTAGCCCGATGGCCTGTGGCTGCGGCGGCTTGAAGAGCAGTTTGGCCACTTTGTCCAGGACTTGCATTGACATCGGCGGCTCCTGCCAGAAGGAGATTGACAGCTTCAAGATGACCACCCGCTACAGCAGCCTGAAGGGGGGTCTGAGAATTGACGTCGCTGTCAATCTCAGCACCTGCTTTCAAAATTGTCGTCAAAAGCTGAATTCGTCCTTCTGCAGCACTCCATAGAAGACCTTCGTTCAGAATGGCAAGAGAAAGCCGGAGGCCTTCAATTTCCAGAACAATTTTGACCAATCGACAGTCACCATGAGCGACAGCGGCCTGAATCACCATCCGCTTAACAGTTTCCGTCATGGTCTCAGGGAGATCCCTAGCATGGAAAAGGAGCATGGAAAAGTGGCCTTCGACGATTGCCCATAACAGCTCTCTTGGTCCCTTCTGCTGCTCATACTGTGAAAAGTAACATAACTCCCATGGTTTGAGTGCTGGGGAGTGGTCATGCTCTATAAGCTGGCGAAATCTATCCCAACTTCGTAGGTCCCTATTAGCGTCTAGATCTGCCACATGATTGATCCAATATGTCTGAGCGTACCCAAGGAACTGGAATCCATGACTGTGGACGCTAACATGGGACGGGTCTTTCTGGCCCAGAACCTCCTGGGCCATTTTTACCATGTCTTGGGTACCAGACTGCTGCAGTTGTTGGCGATAACGCACAAGCAACCTTTGAGCCATTTGGTTAGCAGTCTTGCTCGAGCGGTAAATGGGCATTGTATCGAGAAGCAAGGGGTTAACGAGACTCCCCTGCTTTGATTTAGCCTTGGCGAGCTGACTTCTGAAAACATTGAAATCGAGGTAAACCATGCAAAGTGAACCAATGTGCAAGTTCGTCATCCGGAGGTCGAAACGAGGTGGATCTGGCCCATGATGTAGGCCAGTGAAGAGGTGTTGCTTTACACTGTGGTGGACATAGTGGACAGTATCATCCTCTTCGTCAACGAATGCCAAGCCACAACAGTTTCTGATAACTCGATTCATGTCGGTGGGAATCTTTGTTGGATCGAGATCTTTTTGATCTGGGTGCAGGCTTAGGGCTTCTTTGAACTCTGTGGTAGACATCGGACGCTTTGTCACACCGCAGAACCTGAGAAGGGAGATGGCTAGTTTCGCTCCCGGTTTCTCGCACACGCGATCCATCTTCCGATCAAAAACTTCAGACAAGCTAAGCGGAAGATGTTTCAATGCTTCCAAGATTTCATCATCGGTAGTCAGTGAGCAAAGATCTTGAATTAAAAGACGCGCCCAGAGAAACCTGCACTCAGTAGTCAGTTTGGGCTCGCGCTCAATGATGGGGGGTTTTCAGCTCGATGGCCCACGCTAGATACACGGACTTCACCTGACTTCTGATAGTGCATACATTCCATTTGACCCATTCAGTAAAGAGGTTGTGATGTCAAGAATGAGCATCGGGTTACCAAGTTTTAGTTCGTGTTCGGCTAGGCATCGATCGAGTGTAGCTGTGATGTAGTGTTGCATGTCCGAGTTCACACTGCTTTTGTTCACCGAGACTTTGAAATCAGGCCCCGTTGCGAAGATAGTATCCCCAATCTCTGGCCAGCTCGAGTAGAGGATCTTCAGGTTTTGTTGGGATTCGCTGCAAAGACGTCTTACACATTGCGCTACTTCGCGAATCTCGCTACTGTCACATTCGTCAAGCCCATCAATAATGATGTAGTATTTCTGGCCGGCCCTAAGATGAGACAAGATGAAGTCTGTCATCTCAGTCGCGCCAATTTCTGTTGCTTGGAGATTTTTCGTTATATCATGCAGATCCACCAGGTCGTCGTATCCACTGTTGCTGATTTGGCTGTCTATGATCTGACGCGCCAGACTGCCAAGTATGCTCTTTGCTGACAGAGATGTCTCATTATCACTTCGGCAAAAGTGATACGCGATGATATCAGACATCTCTCGATTGGCATGAAAGTGAGCAATCACGTTGGCGATCAGCACCGTTTTGCCCATTCCCATTGTTCCCGAACACCATAGAATCGCGGCTTGTTTGCTCTCCTTCCATTCCACAAATTCAGGTTCAGTCAGGAGCCACTCTGCAGTCTGTGAGACACGTGGCTGTATAGCTTGTCTCCAATTAGCAATATAATTGATGGTCGATAGATTGCTCCTGATATTGGACCTCAATTTCGCGGTTTTTCTCGCTTGCTGATGGACTCGCCATGTATTTGCCTCGCTTTGGTGCTTAATGGTGTTTTTGAATGTGCTCAGTGCAAGTGGACGGAACGTTGCGTTCTCTCGTTGTTCACATTGTAAAAGCTTTCTGCTCTCATGCTCAGCCTTTTCCGAAGCCAGCAATATTTGCAAATAAATGTCTTTGGTGTCTTGGTCAAGCTTTTCGATGAAAGGTTTGAACTCCAGCTCAAAGGGAACCAAAACAGACGATATTGTCTGCCTAATCGTACTGCGGCGAGATATTTCAACGATCTTGATGCACAAATGGACTATCCCTGCATAGAAGTCCGACAGGGCGCGTTGGAGGCCGACACAACCGGGGTAAAGTTGACCGAATTCTTGATACGTGGGGCACATTTTCCCAATAGTCATGATGATGCTGGTAATTTTCTCGAAATACGACGTGACATTGGCGGCAATGAGAATGGCCATCTTCGCCGATCCCCACACAAGAGCGGAGATATCAGGATTGGAGTTGATGAAAGTGTCCACCACCCCACTGAACTGTTGAATGGACTCGAGGAATGTACATAGGCGGGGTGCAACACATCTCCTGTTGTTTTTGTTGCTGGCATCAATTTGTGCCACGAACTCAACCACATTTGTAACAGCGGGCGTTGTGCTGCAATTCTGGTACTGTTGCTTTTCGCTCGATGTCAGGCTGCGGCTGAAACTCTCCAACGCACCCTTTAGGGTTAGAGTGGGATTCTCTTTTGAATTCTGGTGCAATTGTTGAAGAGCCATTTAAACCGTGAACTGGACTGATTTGAGATATTTCTTTCGGGGAAACCAGATGTCTGTCCAAATGCGTTGAACAGTCTGTGCGTGCACCTGGGTAACAGGGGGCCGCTGGGCTGTGCATGCTGGACCCCCCGAAAAAAGCAAATAATTCAGGTGCCAGGATCAAGACGACACCGCCTACGGCAGAGCAGGGTCATAGAAAAGTGCAAAAGGCAAACCCTTCGTCAAGACATCATACAATAACACCTGGCGAAGACGATAAACAATGGAATGTTTCAAACGGCACATCAAAACAGAGCCAAAAAGGTGGATCGCTGGGTCGGGAGATACCTGTTCTGCAACTAGTTACCCAGATAGGGTGTCGTGTTAGAAGCAAGGAGGGGCAAATGGGGATGAGATGTATGTATTGGAGAAAAAGAACGTCGGAGGGAGCAATGAAGGCCAATCTTTGTACAGAACAAGTTTTATATTTTGCCGTCCCGATGCTCTTTGGGGTGGATGAGTTTTCCCCCGCCATCAATTTTCAAACAACCCAAGCATAACCCTTTGATGGCTTCTTTTGACCTGAGAGAAATTTGAAGTTTGACTTGGAGAAATAAGCTACTTCGGTTATTACGGGTTGTGGAGTGGTAAATGAGGTACCTTGGGTTTCCAGGCCAAAATCAGGCATCATCATGAGGCATCGTCAGGCACCCAAATCGCCGCCTGCGCCCTCTTCACCTTTCTTCACCCCATCGTCAGCTGCCCCGACCGCACATAAACTCGTTTTCTTCTCCCCAATAAACATGGCCCTCAGACCTTGAGATCCTGGATGCAAAATCCAGTCCATATCCCTTCGCATTATTGGCGCCTGTGTACTCCGTATTCCGTAAAGCATCGAAGCTATCCGCACTTCGGACGTGATGTTTGTTTGTCGATGCCCAATGAGCCATGGACACGCTCAGATACCCCGCTTTGATGCAGCTGAGGTCTATTATTGGAGATCAGCGCGAAAGTCGAAATCAGCCGCGCTTGACCTCGAAGCAATCCAGAGCACCGGTGTACACCGCATCAAACACCACTATCCGACTGGCTATATTCTCTTCAGTATACAGAGTGAAGAAAAAGCGGAAGGAAAAAATTGACCTGACTATTCAGGAGAGACAAATACTTCAGAAGACGACGGTGTGAGAGAAAGTTCGTTTTCCAGGCTCGGGCTGAGGCTGGGACTACACCCTATACACCAGAGAGCGTTGTTCATCCAGTGGATGTGAACATTATGGATACGGCTATAGTGGTCATCACTCTTATTGTGTTGATTCTTCTCCAAAACTTGATTAGGTACTGGTCGGCTCCCCTGCCGCAGCTTTCAGTTGCACCACCAAAAGATGATTCGGCGACGACCAGAGCACCTCGACCAGTTCGTCTTACTCAGATTAACCCTTTGATCAATGAAGACACCGAGATTGATCTGGACATTATCGCCATCCATGGTCTCGATACAAGGTCGCCTCACACCTGGACCTACCGATCCAAAACGGGAAAGCCGGACGTCAACTGGCTCCAAGATTCAAACATGCTCCCTAGCATAGTGGGAAAGGCTCGCATATTCACGTGTGATTGGCCATCCGAGACTTTCGAGAGCTCTAGCTTTGTACAAAAGTCACTTGACGACTTTGCTCTGGGCTTGCTGGCTGGTATCCAATCGCGTCATGCGCCAAAGTCTTGCTCCAGAAATGAAGGACCAGCGATTCTTTTCGTTGCGTCATGTATTGGTGGTGTCGTGCTGATGAAAGCGCTGGTGGAAGCTCAGGTAAAGGCTCAGTATTCTTCCATGCTCAAGGCGACAAGAGGAATTGTCTTTCTCGCAACACCGTTTCGAGGGATTGCCTTTGACGATTTCCGGTTCTGGGCAGAGCCGGGCCTTCATTTACTTGCTTCCTACCGATCTCAAACTCTTTGCAGGCTACTTGACGAACTCAAAAGTCATTCCGGACTCCCAAAACTGGTGGGAGACTTCACACAACTTTATCATAAGAACGGCCCTTTCATGGCGGTGTTTTTTGAGACCAAGAAAACAATATTACCGTATAAGCTTGGTCTTTTTCGATTGACGGTCTTCAAAAAAGAGCAATTGGCAAGTCTGCAAGTGAATGGGAATATTGTGCCACATTCTAATATGTTTCCAGCTGGTCTCCGAAAGCTCTGCTATGCTAGATATTGTGGACAATCGACAGCCTCTGAACCGATCCCATTCCATGATGAATAAGTTTGACGGCCCAGAAGATGATGACTACGAGTTGGTCGCCAAGAAGATCAAAAAGATTGCAGACGACATTCGCGAGGGGCGACCACTGGAAAAGGCATGGGCTTACATACGAGAGAAACATTACAATGACAAGAAACTCGAAATCGTTCGCTTCTCCAGCTCCCATGGCTCGAACAGAAACCTGAAAATGACCGAGTGCTACGTCAATCTAGCCATTATTCACCAGGATCCCAGCAAGAAGGGCAGTCACCCACGGAAAAACAGCTCATTAAGAAAATCACCATTTTCAATAACCCGCCGTCTCAGTGTGGAAACCCCAGAAAAGGGGTTACAGGTCAACATCTCACGCTTGTTTGATGCCCGAAAAGGCGGCAATGGGCGTGAGTTTCAGCCCAGGAAGATCTTTATTCGGGGACAGGCGGGAGTCGGGAAAACTACTCTTTGCAAGAAGATGATTCATGACTTCACAAGAAATGAGATGTGGAAGAACAAATTTGACAGGATTCTTTGGATACCTCTGCGGAACATCAAGCTGTTACCGCCGACGTGTGTCAACCTTCAAGGGCTATTTCAAGAAGAATTTTTCCGAAACACGCCGACCGAGATGGGAACGTTCGCGAAGGAGCTCTATCTCCAAGTACACGAAGGCCGAGATCCAAACACTTTATTCATCCTCGATGGTCTTGACGAGGTGTACGGCTTTAGATGAGAGCCACAGATACCATGACCTCCTGGACAACCTTCTAGCTATGCCCGCCTTCATCGTTACATCTCGACCTCGAGTTGTTCTCCCGGATCACTACACAAGACAATTCGATCTCGAGCTCGAAACAATAGGGTTCTATCCAGAGCAAGTGACAACTTACATCGAGAAAAGCTTCCCAAATCCACAAGATGATGGCCCTGACCGAGAGAAGGTTGAAGAGCTTCAATTGCTATTGCGGAAACATCAGCTTCTTCAACAACTTGTTCGGATACCTATCCAGCTCGACGCACTTTGATTCATTTGGGAAACCGATAAAAAGACGGTACTGGATGATTCACAGCTAGACACTATGACAAGCATCTATCAGGCCATAATGCGAAGTCTCTGGAAAAGGGATATCATCCGCCTCAACATGAAGATGCACGGAGAGCCGCTGGCGCAGGTTGACATCCAAAACATGCCATTGGTCCAATTGGAAAGCTTTTTCAACGTTGAGGTATTGGCCCTGGAAAAGTTGGCATTTGAAGGAATCGTCCATGATAGGATTTCGTTTGCAGAAAGTCGAGCAATGGCCGCTCCAAGTTCTATCTTGGGCTCGACTGAATCCCTTTCGGCAGGGATTCTTGCGGGGCTCTCCTGTTTGCGAACGCATGATGTTTCTACCCAGGATCCCGTCTACCACTTTATTCATCTCACATTCCAAGAATACTTTGCAGCGCGGTTTTTCGTCAGAAATTGGTCGAGCAAAAAGCCCCTGTTGGAAGAACAAAAGGACTCCTTGAGCTCTGCCCCCGATTTTGTCAAGCACTACAAATATGACAATCAGTATGATGTCTTCTGGCGCTTTGTCATGGGCCTTTTTGGCCTACAACCCCAAGGGCTGTTGGAATTTTATGCAGAGCTTCAGGCCGAACCACTTGACATCGTTGGCACTGTTCATCAACGACTTCTTATGCAATGTCTTAGTGAGGTACCTCTCAAGCATGTGGCTTTTCTTTCCGAAAGAAAGAAGATAGAAGATGGACTGGGTCAATGGGGAATCTTGGAACACAGGTGGGTTGGGCATTATGAAAGATCAGGATTTTTGCACGCAGTCGAAACTCCCGAGAGATCATTATTGGCTATTATCCGTTCATTTCGACCGGGGGCAGAGGAAAATTTTGTCGAGGGCCTAGAGAGCCGTTTGGTGATACCACCCACAGTCCTACAATTGCTTTGCTCTTGGCTTGAACAGCCTGTGTTTCAGAACTACAAATTGCGAATCCTCTGGATGTTTGAGAAAATGCGCACCCCCCCAGATGATTACATCATCCGTGCTGTCAAGGCACGGTTTCAAGACCAGAATGAGACAGTTCGAGCCGCAGCGATTGAGCTTTTCGGAAGTTGGATCACGAAGGCCGAAGGAGGAGATTTCCTCGAGGACCTTGAAAACGAGGCCAGGTGTGGGAGCTCAGAGTACATTCGAGCAGCGGCGTTTGAAGCCATGGGTGAACAGCGTCGACTGGACCCGAAATATATTCATTTCCTCACTTTGCAGCTTCAAAATGCTTTGGAAAAACGAGCGAGGAACGCAGAAGCATTCAAAGGATATAGATGGGTCACTGAAAAACGATCGATACTTGCGATTATTCATACCCTGGAAAAACAACAACGTCTAGCGTCCGATGTTTTACTACTCCTATCGAGGTTCATTGAGGATATAGACTGTCCAGTCGGCGACGCAGCCATCCAAGCACTGAAGGCTCATTGTCCGAACGAGACCATTTTTGAAGAGATGATGCTATGGCTGAAGAGTTCACACTTGTCCATTCGAATAAAAGCTCTTCAAATTTTACAATGCTGGCCCCAACTGCCAGTCAAAGGTACCGAAGCTATCATAAGGCAGTTCAATGGCCCTCGGGATGTCCGAACAAGATGTCTTCTGGAATTAGGCCAATGAAATACTTGGCAGTTGGCCCCAGCCAAGGGACGAAGCTGACAATCAGATTTGCCGGCATCTTGGAAAAAAAGATTTGAGTCTTCGGAGACGTTGCCTAGCTTTGCTTGGGAAATGGCCTAGATTGCACCCTCATGTCCTTCAGACCATCGGAAAAATGTTGAAAAGCGAGGATGGGCGAACGAAACAACTCGCATTCTATGCATTGATGAATCAGCCCTTTTTTCCTTTGGATGAGATGGAGCCCCATATGGAATCGTTTTACCAAGTTTCATTGAAACTCAGCTTCAAAGAGCATGTTTACTGGCTCTGCCAAGGCGGGATGTACTGTGTGATGCGAGGGCAGAAAGCTCTTCGATGGAAAGACAAGAATGGCAAAGAAGATGCCTGGTTTTTTTTGGAACCTGGCACTGTTGAGGGGTGGCGCGAGAAGATTTTCAATCTTTCAGATTCGGATATACGCAAGATTTAGGGCAGTACTGAAACACAGTGTATTGCGTTGCCGAGAGAGATGAAGTGGAAGGCGATTGCGAAAGAAATACTTTGTGGTATATTGATCTATATGTATCATACATGTAACTATGGCTTGTCTGCAGCTGTTTTCAGATAGCCCAACACTCTCTCCACAAGCCACTCTCTAGCCTCAGCCTGATCATCATTACTCAGAGCGTGGGACGCATTAGGAATGACACCAGTGTGCTTATCATCCCAGATCTCATATTTGCCTCCATGGTTGGTGGCATTCTTCCACCTGGCCAGCATCTTCTCCTTGTCCACCCAATCAGGGATGGACTGATCCTTCCCAGAGATCAGGACCATCAACTTATGCTTTAGCAGTCCATGCTGCTGGATTTTACCAAAAGTGGTACCGAAGTGCTCATCACTCAGGTCAGAACTGAACAAGTCATCCTCCTGGGGAGCTTGGGGACTTTCAGGGCTGACCAAGCTCAAGAATCTGCGACAGCTAATGGGGGTGTTGGCGGGGTAGATCATAGAAGTCAAAGAGAGAGGCAGTATAGTATCATGGGGCTTGCCTTCAGCAACAGCTTCCCTAGCCAGCCTCTCCATCTCATCATATGTAGCCCGGGCCTTCTCAGGCGTTGTGTCACCAATACCCCACTTCAGCACCCAGAAGATGGCCTCCCGATCAGAGACAGGAGCTTGCATGATTGCGCCATCAAGAGCAGGTCGCTCAATGTGCTCGATACCAGAATCGAAAGCGGGAATGTCGGTGTGGGGGTTCGACTGGGAGAGGTAGTGCAGCACACACTGACTACCTGTGGAATGGCCCATCATAGCAAGCTTTCCACCACCGAACTTGTCGGCCTTGTAGCTCTTAATGTATTCCAAACACTGGGCAATCTCGTTTGTGTCGCGATCCAGATGTCCAAGACCCCATGATTGGTATGAGGATGTGAGGTTCAAGGTGAAGAGGGACCATTCGGAGTTCTGTAGTGCGCGCGCGAGATCGGCCATGTAGGATGTTGTCGCGAGGCCGTCGCCGAGACCTCCGACGAAGAGGAGACTGTTAGGCTGGCGGACAGTGGAGGAGGCATATTCGAACGCGACAAGAGTTTCGGTCTGGAGCTTGTCAGGTTCAGAACTTGAATTGAGCTTGTGTTGCACTTACGTAGTGGTGCAGAATACCGGGAAGACCTCCCTTGGGCCAGAACTTCGACATGATGAATTGTGTGTTTGTGTGTACTCGTAGTGTGGGAGTGTTGTCAGGAGGAGAAGTGAAGAGAATCGAACGATTTGCCGGGATCGGCTATGTGTCTTTCCGTGACGACAGTGTGGGCAACGGCAAGTCGCAACCGAGTTCAACCCACTTCAGGGTTTGTTTCATGTCATCTTATCAATCAGATTACCGTAAGCCACCCCTCGGAACTTATTATGTAATTTGCACTCCGTATTCGAGGAGTATTTGACCGCTCCTGCAGGGGTAAGTGTTTTCTCACCGTTTGCCCGTATTTCGTGTATTGGCAGTGTGAGTGGTATGTGTTTTACAAGTACGCTGAAATGCGAAATACCAATACACCACGCTCTCATCACGCCCATTCCTCATGTTTCGCCTAGTATGGCTAGAACGTTTTTCTAATCCCCTGGGATGGGTTGATAGGTCAGTTGGAATCCACTGTGGAGATTAAGTGTCTGGTACGCATGCAGGCTTGGTCGCACCAACCCGAGACGGCAAGATCAACGGATCAGATTAGATTGATTGGTCGAAACCAGGGAAATCTGATTAGATAGCCCCGCCTGAAAATTCTAGTGCGGTACGTAAGAATCCTGGCACTCTACAATCTGCACTCCTTTGAAGACAAGACTTTGGAAGGGTCTTGGTAATGCTTGTCAGCCTTACCCGACTGCAAGATGATCATTGCCAATAGAAGTATTGGCGAATAGTGATGCCTGGGACTCAACAAAATGTATCATGGCGCAAGCTCCGACACTACTGTAGGCGACGTTGCAATTCCCGTTAGGCGTCAAAGTCAATATAAGTGAGTGGGCACAGTGTGGCACTCGGACGTACGTAGCCAACGAACGACTAGGATGGCTTTCTACAAGCGAGCCAAGAACTCAACCCAGGAACGTGCGCGGGGCTTTTCCTTCCCATTTTTGCTTTTTCTTCCATTGCCGGGGTTTGATTAATGCACGGTTAGTGCGGTCCATGCAATATCCCCTTTCCACCTGGGCACCGCATATGAAAAAACCTGGAGCGTTTGGGCTAGACAGAAAAACCACGCGATCGTTCAGATGGGTCTCGGAGTGACAGATCTCGGAGCTTGCTAATTTTCGTACCTTCGGATTATTCCGACTCAAACGCAGAATATCAATGGGTCTTCCGAGGGTGTCCGACCCCTCGGTGCTGGATTCCTATTCAGTCAAATGTGGAATTAGTGTTCTTACATGAATCCAGGGGGGACAATTTTGACCAGAATGCTCACCCAAGCCTCTACGAAGATATATCTGAATGTCTCTTAAAATTCCACAGTCGCCACTTTTTGTGCTAAGGGAACCAGATAAGTCAACCTGAAGTTTTTGTGCGATTTTATTCTATTTTATCTCATATTTTGCGCTTGTTTCTGCTCAACCCGACATTGGAGTGGGTCCGGTGGGTACTTTCGTATTAGAATTTCCCGCAGTATCGGCATCGTCAGGACATGGGTCTTAATATCTTGGAACTGTGAATGTAGCTTTTTGATTTGACGGCTTCTCGAAACGGGTGCGCCATCCACACCCCGCAGTAGCCGGTGTCGGTGACGATACTCGTATGCGAAATATCCGCAGGGCATAGCCTGATACCTTGTTGCTAGTGGATCAGAATTCCATCAAACCCGCGGTTACCTGGCTATATAGGGTCGGCCATACCACTTCTGACCCATCTAAAGCTCCGCCGAGTTTCAATTTCTCCCTCACATCACTTTGAGGTACCAAAGATCAGCTGTGCTGGTCGTCATAATGGGCTTCATCTCAGTTGAAGATGCGCGTCTTCCTGCGCCAACAAATGGAACAAAGACACACGAGACGACAGGCCCTGCCTTCACCTCATTTAATGTTGAAGCACTTGCCTCTGACAAGGCCACACCGACTGGAATGAAAGAAGAGGTCGTTCTATTGTCATGGCTCATCGTGCTGTTACGGAGTCGCGAGGACACTCAAGTATCTTACGACTGGTCCTACACGAATGGCCAAAATGGCCAGCAAATCACAAATAAATTGTCAATGAATGAAGTCATGAAAGGACTCGAAAGTAACGTCGGAGAAGTGGCGACTGCAATTCTCCAAACCATTCCAACAGGATCATCATCCTCGACCTCAATGATCCTGAGCACGAGCACTCTGGTGCAGACATCGGAAACAATTAAAGATGAAGTATGTATGCAATCTATTGAGGACCTGACACAATGCTGACTTGTTCCGAAAGGGTGCAATTCACCTTGAAGTTCGTTTGGATGAGGGCAACGTCCAAATACGCCCAGTGTGGCAGACAGAGAACATGCTGCCATACACAGTCAACCACCACGTGGAAGCACTGGCAGACACAATCAGAGTGTGTCTCAGGAACTTCGAAGCAACCATCCAGCAATGCCTAAAGCCAACTGCGAGTGATCTGAATGATATTTGGGGCTGGAACCATGAATTGCCACCCACATACAGCTTCTGCATGCAAGAAATGGTCGCTGAACGAGCCAGCGAGTACCCAGAGAAGATTGCCATCGATTCATGGGATGGCAGCCTGAGCTACGGCCAGATTGATGAGTGGTCCACCTCTGTCGCACGTTCCCTTCACGAAATGGGCGTCCAGCTGCACGATGTTGTTCCTGTCTGCTTTGAGAAATCAAGGTGGACCATTGTTGCCGTTCTTGGAGTTATGAAGGCAGGTGCCACACTTGCACTTATGGACCCAACACTCCCGCTTGCTCGTCTGCAGAACATGGCAGTTCAGGTTGGCGGCAAGGCGATGGTTGCTTCCCGGAAGCAGTACGAGCTGTCTCTGACCATCATGCCAGAAGGCAAGCATTTCGTTGTCGAGGAAGATGCATTCAAAAACCTCTCTTCTTCGCCATCGGTTTCAGAACTCCCTGTTGTACCACCATCCGCTCTCATGTACATCATCTTCACCTCTGGCAGCACAGGCACACCCAAGGGCGTGAAGATTTCCCACGAAACTTATACCAGCAGTGCCATTCCTCGAGCCAAGGCAGTTGGTTACACACCAGAGTCCCGAGTTCTCGACTTCGCATCCTACGCTTTTGATGTCAGTATTGATAGCATGCTTTTGACGCTCGGAAACGGCGGATGTCTTTGCATTCCCTCCGACGAGGACCGACTCAACGATATCAACGAAGTCATCAGAAAAATGAGAATTAATTATGCCGGTCTCACTCCATCGGTGGGCCGAATCTTGGACGGCGATGTCATCGCATCCCTGAGTGGTCTCGGTCTAGGAGGCGAGGCTGTCTCCGCAAGGGATGCCAACCATTGGGGCAAGGAAACCAGAATCATTATCGGTTACGGTCCTTGTGAATGCACCATCGGATGCACAGTGAACAGCAGCGCCGCGACCGGCCGGGACTATCTCTCCATCGGCCCCGGTAACGGAGCAGCGATGTGGATTGCCAATCCCAACGACCACAACGAACTCGTTCCCGTCGGTGGCGTTGGTGAACTGCTTGTCGAAGGCCCGATCGTTGGACAAGGCTACCTGAACGACCCTGAGAAGACTGCAGCCTCGTTCATCAATGATCCCCCCTGGTTGGTTGCAGGCCACAAACAATACGCTGGTCGTCGGGGCCGTCTGTACAAAACAGGAGATCTTGGAAGATATGACCCCGACGGACTCGGAGGCATTGTCTTCGTCGGACGAAAGGATACTCAGGTCAAGCTGCGCGGTCAGCGTGTCGAGCTTGGGGAGATTGAGAGTCAACACACAGCCGTCCTACCCTCGGAGGCCAACATCATTGCCGAGGTCATTACCCCCAAGGATTATGGTGGTCAGGCAATGCTTGTGGCATTCGTTGCATTCCAACCCAAGGGCCATGGAAATTCTGAGCTCGCTCTGGATGAACTCTCCAGTGAGTTGAGCAGCGTCCTTTCAAACGCCCAAAAGGAGGTGGCAAAGACTTTACCACGCTACATGGTTCCAACCACCTACATTCCAGTCAACCTAATTCCAGTGTTGATTTCAGGAAAGACTGATCGCAAGCAACTCCGAGCATTCGGTGCCGCAGTTGATCTGCGCCAACTGGATCAGGAGGCAGCTAGCTCTGCGTCTCGAGAACTGACCGAGCTCGAACAACGCCTACGACAGAGCTGGGCTGAAGTCCTGAAGCTTGATGCGGAGAGTATTCGCCCTGGAGACAACTTCTTTGCCTTGGGTGGTGACTCGTTGGCAGCAATGAGACTTGTCTCTGTCTGCAGATCCCAAGAGCTCGATTTGTCTGTTATCAGCACCTTCGCGAACCCCACTCTTGAAGCAATGGCCAGCGTGGTCCAGCAATGCAGCTCTCAGGAGGATGTCAAGATCCCAGAGTTCTCATTGATCTCTCAATCAGCTGAAAGTGCCCGCCTCGAGGCAGCGGAAGCCTGTGGAGTCTCACAGGCGGAAGTGGAAGATATTTATCTCTGCACTCCCACCCAGGAGTCGCTCTTTACATTCTCGCTCAAATCGAAGAAGGCATACATTGCCCAGCGAGTGGCATGCATTCCTTCCCACATTGACACCGAAGCCTGGAAGAAGGCATGGGAAACCGTCGTCGCTGCAAGCCCTATCTTGCGCTCCCGCCTCGCACCACTCCAAGATCCGGGTCTTCAGCAGATCGTCTTGAAGGAAGGCATCTCCTGGAGATATGCTACTGACCTTGAGCAATATCTGCAGAGCGACCGAAGTGAGCGAATGAATCTTGGTCAAAGTCTAGCTCGATACGGTATTGTCACCAGCGAAGCCGATGACAAGCGGTACATGATCTGGACTGTGCATCACGTTCTTTACGATGGATGGTCTGAGCCCATTGTCCTCAAGCAGGTTAGCGATGCCTTGCAGGGCCAATCTGCCGAAATTCAGACACAGATGCGGAACTTTGTCAAATACGTCCGCGACACAGATGAGACTGCCATGCATGATTTCTGGAGGCGAGAGTTGAAGGGCGCCGTTGGTCCCCAATTCCCCCGTCTGCCATCTCGAGACTTCATGCCAACTCCCACTGCTCTGATTGAGCACCAAATCGACATTGAGGCTGGTTCTGGATCGCCTTTCACAATGGCGACCCTCATCCGCGGTGCCTGGGCTCTTGTCGCATCGCAGTACACGGGCAGTGATGATGTCGTGTTTGGAGAGACTCTGACTGGTCGTGATATCCCCCTGCCTGGCGTTGAGTCCATTGTCGGACCTCTCATCGCAACCATTCCGATCCGCATTCACGTCCGCCGTTCCAGCTCCGTCCAAGATTACCTGCAGACTGTTCAACAAGCCATCTTGGCTCGCACCCCCTACCAACACATGGGAATGCAGAACATCAGAAAGGTCAGCCAAGATGCCCAATATGCATGTGAAGCCGGTACAGGTCTGGTTATCCAGCCCGACCCTGAGTACGTGGGTAGTGAACTTGGATTCGAACTCGGAGACGTCGTGCGCGAAGCCCTCCACTTCAACCCCTACCCACTCATGGTGGCATTTGGTATTCGCAAGGGTGGGCTCAGAGTCTGTGCAAGCTTTGACAGCACTCTGATTGAAGGCTCGCAGATGCAGCGTGTCCTCGCCCAGCTGGAGACTGCCTGTTTGCAATTGTCTAAGGGTCTTGACAAGAGAATCGATGAGATCTCCTGTCTTCCTGAGACTCAAGTCAATCAGATCTGGCAATGGAACCAGGCTCCTCCTCTGTCGGTGGACGAGTCATCCGGCAACTTACGGGCCAATGCCACCCTCAAGCAAGGATCTGTATATCCTCGTGCGGTGATGCCTTGGGTTTGTGATGCACGAAACCCCGCTCTCTTGGCTCCCATTGGCAGTGCTGGTGAGCTCTGGCTTGAGGGAGCTTGTCTTTCCGGTGAGACATTCGATTCTCCAGCCTGGCTCGCAGCTGGTAGCTCCGAGTTTGCTGGTCGAACAGGAAAGGTGCAACCCACGGGCGACATTGTTCAGCTTCAACACGATGGTAGTCTTGTTTTCGTCGGCAGAAAGGAGAACGTTGTGCCACTCCAAGGTCATGCAGTGGACATTGCAGACCTTGAAAGTCACTTTGCCAAGCACCTCCCTCATTTGACCCGCGCCGCTGCATCTGTGTTCCAGCCTTTGAGAGAAGGCTCCCAAAAGGTGACAGAGCAAGAATTGGTCGTCTTTGTCGAGAACCTTCCGTCCCAAGAGGAGACTGTCAAGATTCTAGCGGAGAAGCATCAGATTTCCGGCGATGATACCATGATCTGTGACGCCGTTCCTGTGTCTCTGGCTGTGTCGCTCAAGAAGCTCGACAAGTACATTCGCGACTCATTGCCATCGTACATGGCCCCCTCGGCATACGTGGTTGTTGACAAGTTGCCCACTCAGCTGGAGCAGCTGGAGCACACTTTCCTCAACCAGTTGGGTGCAAAGATCCCTCAGAGTGTTCTCGATCAGGTCCGAGAAGGCTTGAAGGATGCCTGGACAAAGGGTATTGCCCAGACAAAGCTTTCACCCACAGAAAAGATTCTCCAGGCGGCCTGGGCCAAGATCCTCCGACTGAGCCCTGAGCAGATTGATGTCGATGACAACTTTTTCCGTCTTGGTGGTGACTCTGTATTGGCAATGAAGTTGGTGTCTAGTCTCAGAACAGATGGACACAGTCTCTCGGTCGCGGATATCTTCCAACACATGCGTCTTGGCGATGCCGCCAAGGTGTTGAGAGTGGACCAAGCAAAGGCGAACGTGCAACCCCACAAGCCCTTCGCCGCTTTGAGCAACCTTGATGTCAAGATGTTCTTGGCTTCAACCGTCCGGCCCAAGCTTGCGAACCCGGGATGGCCTGTGCAGGATGTCTTCCCTGTCACAGACTCACAAGCACTTGATGTCAGAGGAACCATTGGAGCACCGCGCACTTCCTACCAATATACCATGCTGTACTTTGATCATAATATCGATACTGAACAGTTGCTGCGCGCTTGCAACGATCTGGTCCAAACTCACGAGGTCCTTCGCACTGTGTTCATTGAGCACGAGTCGAGCTTCCTCCAAGTAGTTTTGGAAGCAGCCACCGTCCAGGTGCCTATGCACAAGACAGACCAAGACATCGAGACATACGTCAATGGTGTCTGCAAGTCTGACATCGAGTCAGACTTCGAGCTTGGCTCACCGTTCTTCAAGATTTTCCATGTCGCAGGCGAAAATGGAAAGCAGTGTCTTGTGCTGGGTCTTTCACACGCTCAGTACGACGGTGTCTCGCTGCCAAGATTGCTGCAGGATTTGGAGACCTTGTACACCGGAGGCAAGGTCGTCGACTTCGAGCCATTCGCTTCATACGTCGCCCGCGTTTCAGATGGACGCCTCCAAACCCAAGCAGTGAACTACTGGACCAACCTTCTCAAGGACTCATCTTTGTCCGTCCTCGAAGGACCCACCGTCCACCCAACCGACAAGGCAATCTTCCACGAAAAGGCCGTGGACAACTTCCAACCCGTGCCAGAAATCACCACCGCCAACGTCCTCACCGCGGCCTGGGCACTCGTCCTCGCCCGTCGCCTCAGCAAGCCAGACGTAGCATTCGGCACAGTCACTTCCGGCCGAACCATCGACCTCGCAAATGTCGAAAACGTCATGGGCCCATGCTACCAACTGACGCCTGTCAGAGTGAAGTTCGAATCCCAATGGACAGCAATGGACCTTCTTCGATTCGTACAGAAGCAAAGCGCCGAGTCTGCAGCTCATGACTTCCTCGGCTTTGACAAGGTCTCCAAGCAATGTGCGCAGTGGTCACCTGAGATGCGGTCGTTTGACTCGATCGTCCATCACCAGGATTGGGAGGATTTCGATGATATGCCCTTCGCTGGATCTTCTGCTAAGGTCGATATCTCTAACCCGCATGGTGATGCTGCTTATCCACTCAAGGCTGTTTCTTTTGTTAAGGGCGGGAAGATGCATGTTGGTTTCGTTGGGAGTGAGAGAGATGCTGCGTTTGTGGATGCTACTTTGGATGAATTGGCTGCGGCTGTTCAAGAGTTGTCGACGTGTCAGACAGAGCCTTTGGTGCTCAGTGCTTGAATTTGAGATTTAGATATCCATCTGTTACTGAAGTAATTTTGTCTTTGCAATCGAATGTTGAAAGTTGTTTTATATATTACTTCTTCTTCACTTCAAAGTTTATGTTTCTTATCAACTAGCAAGCTTGTGATCGTATTTCACAGCTCTTTTCACCAGTGAGTCGTAAAGGTAGCAAAGAATGATAGGTTCACTCCTCCCTCACTTCAGCGGCCCTGGGAAGCACCTGATGTCTGGGGGAAGTCAAATGTCAAAATCTAAAGTGAGAGATTTGAGATATGACCCAAAGCCCAGAGAAAGTAATAAACAACACTCATGCTACTACGACGACGATTCTCTGGACCAAAAAATACATCTTTGAACGAAGTAAAAGTAATATGATTAAACGAATCTGGGGAATATACAAAGAATCTAAATTTTATCAGGTCGCCACAGTCTGGTGCATGACGTTGGCCCTGTAGCTATCTGACCGTTCAAGAAGCTCATCATGAGATCCAGAATCAGTACAGACACCACCGTCAATCAAGAAGATAACATCCGCCTTACGAATAGTGTGAAGACGATGCGCAATAGCAATCACAGTGATTCCACGAGCAGCCTTCTCCAAACCATCCTGCAAAAGCTTCTCAGACTCAGCGTCCAAAGCACTGGTAGACTCATCCAGGATCAAAAGCTTAGGCTTGCGAACCAAGGCACGCGCAATAGACAGACGCTGCTTCTGACCTCCAGAGAACTGGTTGCCACTTGGTCCACAGAGAGTCTGGTAGCCATTTGGCAGCGCCATAATGACATCGTGGATGTTGGCAAGCTTGCAGGCATCTTGGATTTCTTCGATGGTCACGTTGTGGCCGGGTCGGGCACCAAGACCGACGTTGAACTCAATGCTGCCCTCAAAGAGGACACTGTCTTGGGGCACGAGGGAGATCCAGTCGCGGAATGAGACGTCGGAGGTCTTGGTTACGTCGACGCCATCGATGACGATGGATCCGGACTCGGGGGTGTAGAGACGCTCCACTAGGGAGATAATGGTCGATTTTCCAGCACCGCTGGGGCCGACTAGAGCGCAGAACTTGCCGGGTTTGATATCAACGTTCAATCCCTTCAAGACCTTCATGTCGGGGCGGGCAGGATAGCAGAAGTGGACATCACGAAGTTGCACACTTGATGCCTTGTTGCCTGAGTCGTATGTGGGCTTCTCTTCCAGGGCCTCGACATCCTTGCCCTTGATTTCCTTGACCTTGCTATTCATCTTATCCTTACCGATCTCGATAAGCCCAAGAATTCTGGCTGCTGCAGATCGTGCAGCAGAAAGCTCAGGTGCCAAGGCGAACATCTGACTCCAAAGCAAGGCACTGACCAGCAGGGAGAAGACGACGATGAGGAATTGGGTTTGGGTGTAGTTGCCGTTGATAATTTGCTTGGAACCCCACCAGTAGGCAAGGGCGTTGACCATGTTACCCAAGAAGTAAGTCATGGCCTGCCACAAACTCGCCTGCAGGGTGACCTTGAGAGTTTCCTTGCGAGGACCCTTGAGAGAGCGGCGGTAGGTTTGGAGAGTGTTCTCCTCGAGGGAGAGCGAAGCAATTGTTTTGATAGATGTGACTGCTTCCACACCAATGTCGACAGACTTGGTGTAGGCGTTCTCATGACGGTCCTCGAATTGACCGAGAACCATCAGCTCCATGAGACCTGCTCCAAGCAGAAGGGGAACGAGGGCGAGACAGACCAAAGCGATTCTCCAGGCAATGATGTGAGTAAGGATGATGGCGGCGATCAAGTTGACGGTGATAGAGAACAGAGTACCGACAACGGAGCCACTCAGGCCAGCAAGGGCATTACCATCACGAGTGATGTAGGAGAGGAGGAGAGCAGGAGAGCGGCCTTCGGATTGGTGCCATTGCAGATCCTGTTCGAACAGGGAACGGAAGGACAAGACTCTGACTTTGTACACAATCTTCTCAGCGACGAAGCCGAAGCCACCCCAACTGACAATGTTGGCAAAGAATTCGATGAGCGCGAGCACAAAGAACATCAGACCGTAGAAGTTACCCCGGTTCATGATCTCAGCTGCACCGTGGCAGGGGTTCAAACTTCCGACAGTGTTTCCGAAAATAACTGCTTCGCCAGAAAAGGCTCCACCGACCATACTGGAACCGAAAAGCGCGGCAAAGATGACAAGAAGATAGGGTCTCAGCGCAGGTGCGTAGCCCTTGCACAAGGCCCAAAGGGACTTGCGGGGAGTCTCGGGCTCTTCTTCCTCATCTTCAGCAGAATCAGCGGCAGGGGCTTCGGTGGTGGAAACACGAGCTTCCTTGGTAGGTTCCGTATCGTTGGACACACTGCCCTTCTCATTGTCGACATCGGTGATGGATGTGGCATCAGACTTGCTGACGCTCTCAATGCTGACAGTGGTGTCGTTCTTAGCAGCGCCAGACGCAGCACCCAGAGTTTGCAGCTTGACAAGCTCGGAGTAAGGTCCGTTTGCGGCCATCAACTCAGAGTGAGTTCCCTCTTCCAGGATATCTCCCTTGTGCATACAAACAATCTTATCCGCATTGGTGATGGTGGACAGACGGTGAGCAATTGTGATGACAGTGCGGCCGGAGGAGATGTTGTTGATGGCACGCTGGATGCGCTGCTCACTTCGTGAATCCAATGCAGCAGTGGCTTCGTCCAGGATGAGAACAGCAGGATCCTTGACCAGAGCTCTGGCAAGGGAAACACGTTGCTTTTGACCACCACTGATCAAACGACCACTGGAACCAACCATAGTAGCATATCCGTATTGCAGGGCCTCAATGAAGCCATCCGCATCAGCGAGTCCAGCAGCCTTGCGGACCAGTTCGACAATCTCAACAACCTCGGCGCCCATTTTCTCGGCGACAGCGTTGATATCCTGACCGTCCCGCACCTCGGTCGCGAGGTCGTTGAGGGAAGTGCCGAGGAGAATGGGCTTCAGGTGCGCGTGGGCCGGGTTACTCGAGTTCATTAAACCGTGTGCAATGTTCTCCAAAAGAGATCGGTCAAGAAGCGAAGGTTCTTGTTGCACAAGACTCAGGAAGCCTCTCAGGTCACGGGTGTTCAGGTCGGTAAGCTTCTGTCCATCAAAGGTGATTTCACCCTCAGTGGCATCATACAAACGGGTCACAAGACCCGCGATGGTGGACTTTCCACTTCCAGATAGACCAACGATGGCAGTGTGCTTCTTTGGAGCAATAGAAAGGTTGATACTGTTAAGAACAGTGATCTCAGGGCGGGAGGGGTAGATGAAAGAGACGTTTTGGAATTCAAATCCGCCCTCTGCCTGAGAGAGGCGAATACCCTCGGTGGAGGAACCATCGATCAACGATGGACGGTCAATATCATCGCGCAACTTGTGGTAAGAAGCAACGGCCTGTGTGAACAGGTGGATAAAGGGTGCGACTTGACTCAGAAGCAGTGTTGCTATAAGCTGCGTTAGTAAACACTCCATGATGACTGACATGGTAGACTTACCTTCGACCAAGACGAAGATGACAGTGAAGGTAGATCCAACAGTCGCTCCGGCAGTACCGTCACGCACGGAATCTGCGATACGTCTACTTCCCTGCCAAAATGCGAGTCCGTTCGCACCGTAAGCGATGAAGTATAAAACACCAGCCTGGATACCGGTAGCGGTGGCCTTCTTCAGGCCCTCGGTTTCGGAATCCTTGAGTGCTTTGGAGAACTTCTCTTCAAGACGGTTATTCGCGCCAAAGGCCTGCACAACGACAATGTTGTTGAGTGCCTCGGAGGCGATAGATGCAGCGGAAGCCGCAAAGTCGGACATGCGCCCGGTGTATTTTTCAATATAATGACTTCCAACGAATGACATCAGGAAGTACGCGGGAATCAAAGAGATCAGCATAGCAGCCAAAATGTAATCCTTGATAAAGGCAACAATGTATGCAGTGACGAAGAAGGAGAAACTGGAGATGCAGATTCCGACCTTCTCGGCAGTACCCGAGCGAATGGTTTGAATATCGGTATTCAAACGAGAGGCCACCTCTCCAGCAGGAAGGTTATCGAAGAAAGATGGTTCTTGGCGGAGCAAATTCTGAAGATATTTCTCGCGGAGACGCTGCGCAAGACGGGCGCCCGTCATCGTCCAGCACAGTAAGTGAATGTAGATCAAGACAAATTGGGCAATGCCCAAGTAAACGATCAGGAGAATTTTGCTATTAATTCCACCTTGCTCGTCGGAGTCAGAGCCCGACCCGGAGGACTCGCTACAGGTGACAGCGTTGAAATCATCCAGCAATTGACCGAAAATAATACCGATGATTGGGAAAGGCACACCGGATGCGATTGAAGATGCCAGGCCAACAAAGAGCGTACCCAGCTCCAGGCGCGAGGGCTCAGCGGCTACAAGCAGCCTGGGGTAGCTACCCAGCTTGGCGAATCCCATTGTGACTCGATCAAGGCGTATCGCACGCCTTTTTGGATGAGAGTTGAAGAAGGGGAATTCTCGAGGTCCGATTTATCGCGTGGCTAGCTCGACAGTGGCGTCACCATAAAAAAAAAGAGCATCCACCTCTTAGCGTGATTCCATTCGGCGGCGCGGGTCTGGCGGTTGTGGTGAACTTTAGAAGTCCCTTGAGTTGCCCGGGTGGTGTATGTCGAAGTTAAGAACTCAAAAGGGGTTTCAGGATGGTTTTCATGTCGATCCGATTTTTTAAAAAAGAATCAGCCGACATCGGTTTTGACAGTTGAGATCTCCGACTGCCATTAAAACCCACTGAAGAAATTCCTTTTCGTACGGAGGGGGTTATCTGATCGAAGTGGGGAATGTAGCCCGTGGTACTGTATGGACTAGTATCTTTGGTATATACATGTATATTTGGTATGTTACTGTATCTTATACTGGTCTGGAAATTATTTAATACATACAGTACCGAAAGCATTAGGGATTTAATGGGAGATTGGACGTAATCTAATATTACGTGAAGTCGCACACCATGTGGCTTGACTAGGACAATGAATCATGCAGAAATTATCACCCTACGAGAATCTACAATATTACTCTATAGAGATGTCTGTGTTGATCACTGCCAACCTTGGAAGTTGGACCCTTGTGGATTGCATAGCTCTTTATAAACAACGGACAACCATCCAAATATGACGATTCTGCGTCACCTCGGTCTCCAACTTCTTGCGGTGAGCGTAGAGAACCTTCAAGAAATAGATAGTTTCATGAAAATTTTCAATTCCTCGGTTCAACTTATCTGATTGGAACCAAGTGGATAAAAGTCGTATTGAGCAAAAAAGAGCCGGAAAAAACATCAAAATGAAATCCGAGGTAGTCCCCACATGTCTTAAATGTGGAGATTGTCGGCAAGTAGAGGAATTATGTATGATACTATTGCGTAGTCTTTTCACTATCTAGGTATGCGTACTCCGTACATTGATGCCTAGCAAACTCCAATTCAAATCTAACTACAACTTAGCGTTCCACGCCGCGCGGTCGGCAGATTCCAGAGGCCGCTCGCGTCCGTCCCAGAAGAGAGGACATAGCTGGAACCACTTTTCGCGACTGCAGATGGAATGCACGGAACGCTTATGTCCGAGGTCGACATATTTGCCGATAGTCAGGCCTTGAGCATTCTCGTATGAGAGAATAATGGAGCCACTAGCCTTGGGCTCACCGACGGCATTTGCAGTTCGGGGGTCGTCCAAGAAGACGTAGTGAATGCAGCTAGAGTACCAAGCGTTGACGCGGTGAGCGCCTCGGAAGCTCGAGTCACCCACAAGAGAGTGGCGGCCGCGATCGTAGTCACCGGCATCGTAGTGCGCACCATAGTGGTCCTCCTGTTGTATGGATTAGCGCTGAATCTAGGGATGGATTAATATTGGGAAAACGTACCTTGGACCAGTAGAGCTCGTAGTAAGAGAAACGGGTATCGTTGAAACGGCCAAACAAACAAAGCACATGGGGATCAAAGTGCAGTTTACGCAGGTACTCGGTGTGCTCTGCGATGGTTCCGGTCTCGTTCCATCCTGCGGCGACTCGGGGATCGTTCTGCCACTTGTTGAACAGCTGGACGTGCTCTGCGCTCTCCCAGTCCACTACCTCCAGTGAGAAGTGCTCGTTGATCTCGGGAATATAGCGACTGTAGGTAATGGATCCAGGGTGTGGCTTGGGACGACGGGTTGGGTGACGTGTGTACACTGGTTCCTCGGGGAACTTGTTTGTGATTTGGTAGTTCTCTGGCATGACGGGGAATTGCGAGAGAGGCTCTCGCAAAGGACCGTCAGTACCGTCTCCAACCACCCAGATGGGTCGCGGACCCATTGGGGAAGCAGCGCCTTGCCAGAAGGCACTGCGGAGGACGAGCAGCTCATCGAACTCCAACGCCTTGTTTTCACGATCCCGAAGGTTCTTTGGGTGCTGAATCGCCAGTCCAGTGTTCAAAAGCTCTTCTTGGATGACTTCCTTCTCTGTGCCTGATAGGGTCAATCGGAAGTATTCAATTGTGGGATGACCGAGGTAGATTGCGTGAACCACATTCCAGATTTGGGCCAGAGAAGGCGCAGAGCTACCGGTCCATTGGAAAGCAGTCTGCGGGCTGCGACGCGCGCGGCCCCATGGTGTGTTATCTGAGATAGGTGGCTGTTCTGTCTTGGGAATGAAGGTCAAGTCGAGCCAGGACAGTGAATCTGAATGCAACGATTTGGGCAACGATCGGCCATTGGCGGGTTGCTCATCGAGTGTCAGGGTGCGCTTAGCGGGTGTCGATCCCCCGATGGTGTTCACGCGATATGAGGTCAAGTAAGGGTGTGGTAGCTTGACCAGGGGATATTGGTGTGCATGGGATGCCATTTTTGTGTACAATTGTTGTTAGAAACTCCACCACAGGGGAGCAAGGCTTAAATAGAAAAGAAAAAAACACAAAGTGAGACACTGTTCCCCGCGCGAGGCAGCGCAATATATGTAGGTAACCTTAGACCCTGAAAGCGCCGACGATCTTTGCAGAAATAGAGTAACCGAGGCCGAGATTTGAAGATGACAGCGTCTGAAGGAATCTCTGTTTCGTGGAACTTAGCGAATGGTCATGGTCCCGGGGGCCTCAGAAGTACGGGAGTCTGACCCGCTCAGCCAAGCTCCGAGGTTCCGTAGGATTCATTTGACCAACGCTAGGAAAACTGTACAAGTACATAACGGCGGTCGCTAGCCCCTACGGAAATAATAATCACACATCAGTGCATCTAAACGACTGCCGATCATGTCTTTACGATCAGGACCCTTGAATCATGAGAACTTCTATATTTCCTTTCCACATGAGCGTGTCGTTCAAGTGACCATCAACAGACCCGATAAGTTAAATTGCATCGACAAGGCTACGAGTCGAGAGATTGCCAAGATCTGGGAGCTGTTCGATGAAGATGAAAGCTTATGGGTGGCTATTATCACCGGTGTTGGGCGGGCATTTTGTACAGGAGCCGATCTAGGAGGTGGGTATCCGACATCCACCGAAAAAAAACGCCTTAAAAGGCAAAAGAATACGAAGCTGACATTGGGGATCAGAATGGAACGCCATGAACAAGGCCGGTGTTGTGAATGACATGTCTGCCCCGGGACTGGCCGGATTGCCTCGCCGAACGGGTAAGAAACCGATTATTGCGGCCGTTAACGGCATCTGCATGGGTGGAGGGTTCGAGATGGTGGCAAACTGCGATCTGATTGTGGCCTCATCCTCCGCCATTTTTTCTCTTCCGGAAGTCAAGCGAGGCATTGTGCCAGTTGCCGGATGTTTGCCGCGATTGACCCGTACCATTGGTCTCCAGCGGACGATGGATCTGGTGCTTACCGGCAGGAACGTGAACGCCACCACACTCCACGAATGGGGCCTGATCAGTCGAGTGGTGGATGCGGCCGATGTGGTCCGTACAGCAGTGGAGGTCGCTGAAACTATGTGCAATAATAGCCCCGATGCCCTGATTGTTGGTCGCCTCGGAGTTCGGATGAGCTGGGAAGCAGGAAGTGTGGAAGACACGGTATCAGATCTAGCGGATCAGTGGTATCCTCGACTGGTTGGTGGTCCTAACTTCGCCGAGGGAATCCAGGCGTTTGTGGAGAAGCGGTCTCCGAGGTGGAAAAATTCGAAGTTGTAATTTAATCAGATGGGAACTTAGGGCAGTTCCAAGGGTTGACTACGAGCTCATCCGTGGTTTCAATGTGGACTAGAATTATCAGATTGTAACAAAAGTCAATACGCGACATGTGGTATATTACGGTATTTATGTATCTTCGGTATGTTTGGGTATGAAACAAGGAGACTTTCCAAGGGGGAGTCAGCACTTTAAAGCACTAACCTTGGAAGGACAATGGGATACATGCAAACACATTTGCATCAAAATATCAACATGCTGCCCTAAAAGTCCTTGAATGACCGCGTTTCATCCATATCTCTAACATAGTGTGCTATTCTAACACTAACCAACTACATCGCACTCGCAGATGCTCGGGTGAAACCGCATTATCTTGACCGACAAGATGTTAGTGCTGGCCCCCACGGCCCCAAGATGGCCCTATCCGGTCTCATTAAAGGTCTTGTGTTCTTTTCCGGCTCTTGTCGCGGCGAAAAGATTCCGCCAAGGGCTTGGCAAGCTGAGCCAAGACACGCTTGTCGAGTGAATTTCCTCTCCAGGAAGCTTCCACGAGCACGCCCAAAGCTTGAAGCGGACCCATCGCCGGTTGCTTTGCCTATACTGCATCCTTACTCGTGCGCTGAACCATTAATAACATCTGATTAGATTCAGTCCTCGGACCCCCCGAGCCTGGCCATGGACAGGAGTGGGCTGACAACGCCCCTCTACTTGGCCCCCCGGAGCCACACTGTGGATGAAAAGCTCCCTCGCTTGCCTGACTAACGAATCGAATGTTGAGACATCGCCAAGACTCTTGCTTGTTGGTTTTCTTTTCCACCGCGTGGCGTGCATTAGTTTTCCCAGATTGTACCAAGCTGCCGAGCTCGGTGATTTTTTATTAAGCGCCGCATCGGAAGCGCTAGCAAAATACCATCTCTGATTCATATAAGGGCAGACGATCTCCTTGCGATCGAAGGCTTTTCTTTTTGAGTTCATCCAACATACCTCCTTCATCCAGACAACATGGGTGTTTCAAGGCTTCGAACCGCCTTCCGGCGATCATCGACCCAAGAGAGTGTTGTGCCTGTCGCCGTGACTGCAGTGGGCGAAAAGAATGAAGTCCCCCATGACACCGAGTCTGCTATGCCGGCCACCGCTGAAAACCCCGAGGTCCCTACCGAGGACACCCAGCAGGGTGTCAAGGACCTCGAGGCTGTCACTCTCAGCTGGACCAAGACTACTCTGATTGCTGTCTTTGCAAAGTAAGCGTCGAATCCCCTTTCCAAGTTCGGTGATTCCAGCGGAGCGACTGGGAGAATTAATTTCGGATACTAACGGAATTGTTCAACAGCATCTGGCTCCTGTATTTCGTCAATGCCATGCAACAGTCCATCAACCTCAGTTTGCTCGGCTATGTTACCAGTGACTTTGAGAGTCACTCGCTACTGAACGTCATCTACATTGTCGCAGATGCCATGACAGCGGCAGTTTACATTCCCACTGCTAAAGTCATGGATGTGTGGGGCCGTGCTGAAGGTTTCCTCGCCATGACCATTTTCGCTACCCTCGGTCTGATCATCATGGCTGCTTGCCACAACTTGCCCACTTTCTGCGCTGCCTATGTCTTCTACAGCATTGGTTTCGGAGGTATGACATACTGCGTGGATGTCATCACAGCCGATGTTTCCAAGCTGAAGAACCGAGGTTTGGCCTACGCTTTCACCTCCTCGCCCTACATCATCACAGCTTTCGCTGGCCCCAAGGCTGCCGAGGGCTTCTATGAAGATATCAGCTGGCGTTGGGCTTTCGGTGCTTTCTCCATCATCTTCCCCATTGTGGCTGCCCCTCTCTACATCACCTTGAAGATCAACCTCAACAAGGCTAAGAGATCCGGCCTCAACCAGAAGGAGCCTAGCGGCCGTAACATCTTCCAGAGCATTTGGCATTATGCCAAGGAGTTCGATCGTGAGTCAAATTCCCCAAAGAAAATAGAACATTGCTAACCCTGACAGTCCTCGGTGTCGTCATTTTCTCGATTGGTCTTGTTGTCTTCTTCCTTCCCTTCAGCATTGCCTCATCTGCCCCCAATGGCTGGGGCTCTGACTACATCATTGCCATGATCGTTGTCGGTTTCGTTATGCTCGGTATCTTCATTGCTTGGGAACTCAAGTTCGCTCCTACGCCTCTGTTCGACTTCAGCATCTTGTCGGACCGCACTGTCATTGGCGCATGCTTGCTCGACGCCACATACCAGATCTCCTACTACTGCTGGAACCATTACTACACCTCTTTCCTGCAAGTTGTCAACAACCTCACTATTTCCGAGGCAGGATACGTCAGCAACACCTTTGATGTCGTCTCTGGTATCCTGCTGATCGGTGTTGGATTCCTGATCCGCCGCACTGGCCGCTTCAAGTGGATTCTCTACATTGCCGTTCCCCTGTACATCTTCGCCCAGGGACTGATGATCTATTTCCGTCGCGCCAACCAGTCCGTCGGTTACCTCGTGATGTGTCAAATTTTCATCTCCATCGGTGGAGCCGTCTTCATCATTGTCGAGCAGCTCGCAATTCTGGCTGCCGTTGACCACCAGCACGTCGCTACTGCTCTTGCTCTTCTCAATGTCGTTGGAACCGTCGGCGGTGCTGCTGGTTCCACCATTTCCGGTGCCATCTGGACCAACACCTTCTACGGAGCCCTTGAAACCAGACTCCCGCAGTCTGCCATGGCCAACATCGCTGATATCTACGAGAGCCTCGACACTCAGATCTCCTACGCTGTCGGATCCCCGACCAGACTCGCCATCCAGGAGGCCTATGCGTACTCGCAGACAAGAATGCTGGCGGCCGGAACTGGAATCATGGGTCTCTCTATTATCTGGGCTTTGATGATCAGAAACATTGATCTGAAGAAGGTTCCCCAGGTCAAGGGTACTGTTTTCTAAGGTGCCTTTCTTTACCTCTAGGGGATTTATTCGAGAAACTCTTGACCCATCTCCCATATAAAATCTGATGAGCGGCACGTTGGCTGCCATCAAACCAGTTTGCTTTTAGTTTATTTTATCACCTAATTACTATATAACGATCTGAATGCAGAATGTTATGATCATATCACCCATCGAACCTTAGTGCGTCTAAAGTAACGGATATTCATATCAAAAACGTTAGAACATGCCAGCAATTTCTAGGTCCCAGTACTCAACACTGGCGATTGGCAGTCTGCATCTCTTCCATCTCTCTCGTTCATTTTGTCTTCTGCTACTTCTAAACTTCCTCGCCCTTCCAAGGTTGAAATTGATTCAGGTCGTTGGATCCTATTTTCGCCAGTAGACATAAATAGCAATTTGAGCAAAAACCCACTCGTACTCGTAAGATCATGACAACAACCTCGGGGTGTATCCCCCTTGGCAGCGACACGTCCGCTGGCAACGGCGCGATTTACGCCTAGGCGCGCTTGCCAAGGCTTCTAAAGTACAAAGGACGCGACGACTTTCCGCCGTCAAATGCCAAGATCCGTGATACGAAGCCTTCGCCGTTTTCTCGGCGAGCTACAGTTCGCTTGTACGAGACAAACCCGGCGTTGGGAAAGTGGAATTCATACGAGTAGCCCACTTTCCCGGGTGGGTACGGAATAGGTGTTGTTGTAACTTACCCAACATACCACTAGTATATATCGTACGTATCGTGAGTATTTTTTTCCATTTGTACAAAAACTGTTTTTAAATATGAAATCCATCTCCTGAGTCCAGAGCCGGCAGCACCTACCGGGATAGGCGACAAGGTCCGGTGCTCTGTTCACTCTCCACTGTGGGTGGAGTCAGGGACTAAAAGGATCTGATAACTTTTCATCCCTCGGCTGATCTTCTCTCCATTTGCCCTGCACCCGAGCAAAGGTCTGGGAAGTCGGCTTGGGCCGCTGCAGCTCACACGTGGATGACAGTCATGGCCCACAGTGCAGGTTTTCATTAGCAAAGGACTAGTCAAGCAATGGTTCAAGAGTGATCTGCTTGAGACCTTCTAGTCATGGAAAATTCGACCGAGCTTTGGATTCTTCACAAAGTGGATATAACCGCCTAGTCATACTCCGAGGTCTCATATATTGATGCCTAGAATCCATTTTGCGAGGAAATAGTCTCAATCTGATAAATTTTCATGCATCTGATTAGATTGAGTAATTGACTCATGCGGCTTGGCATCATTTGTTTTTATCTGATCCGTTTGTATCCATGGGTCGCGTGTATCACTGGGCGACTTGCCTCTTTGGGCATTGTTGCTGTAGAGGCTCCTCTAGGGCTGTGGAACCGGACGTTCCTAGTCACTCAGTGTGTCTCAAACAGAATCCTGTTGAAAAAGCATGACGTACACAATACGGCACACGGTTGAGCTTTGTACTTTCGAGATGAAGTCGGAGACCTTCATGCCGAGGCTCACTGCATGTGCTCGGTATATCGACAATGTTGCGCAGAACTTGGCTTTTCACTGCTGTTGTATATTCAAATTCGTCTTTCGGTATGGAGATTTAGAGATTAATAAACTCCTATTATTATTAGTGAACTGGCAGGAGAACTAAATCTGCAATTACATGCACGATAAAGGGGTTAAGCAATATTGAAGAGAGATGACCTTGGAAGCTGACCAACCCTTCAGGGGGCACAACCCCTTCCCAAAGGGCCCCTGGAGGTTCGTTATCATCTATGAATCATGCGATACACTCAAAAAAATGCAGATCCGCAGCCTATTGATAACTATTCAACATAAGTACTGCCCTGGAGAAAGAAAGACACGAAACGTGATCGTATCGGAAGGAGAAGAGCTTGCAAGAGCACTTGATACAGAGAAACGGACCTGCTACGTCAAAATAGTCAAGAGATTCTTTGTGGTTTCCAGAACTCCTGGCTCAGGTCACGTAGCCGGTCTGTTTCACCGTATCGCATCACTTCTGCAAGCTCACAGACAGGCAATCGCTGCGGCTCTCGTCATCTAAAAATCATCCCAACCCTCAAACCACATCCCTAACCAACGCGTACAGAAAGAAACGCAAGCGAGGAGAAACGCAAGCGATCATCATTTCCGAATAGGCAGTTGACAATAGACCGTAAACCCTTTGGTTTGGCCTTTTCTTCGTATGAATCGGGATTTGCCAGGCACCCAGGGCTCCAGGGCTCACTTCTTCCTTGCTCCTGGTCTGTGGGCGTAGATACTTAAGTATATTTCTTTTCGCAGATTTCGCATATTCCACCCAAATTGCTGACCAGGGGATCAAATGGAGGCTGACTTCTCTTGATGGTGGTGAAGCGTGATACGTCTTTCCTGGCCCACTCCTTGACGAATTTGAATGGAAATCCACATGATCTCTTGAATTGTAGGACGACACGCGATGTACTCAGCGAGGGTGCTGGATTGAGCAACGATTGTTTGTTGTCTGGATTTCTTCCGGGCACAGAGTAGCAGCTCTCTGCAATTCAGTGACTGCGAGCAAATTACCTGGCCAGTTCTGTCTGCTTATCCATGAGTGCTTTCCAGCATCTTCCAGAAAGCTCATCCTGGCGCTCTCTGTGGCTGTATCAATATCAAAGGGTGGCAGATAGCTCCTGGCCGGAGGAAATGGGGAGTGCGGTCAAATATAAACGTCCGACGATATAAAGATCTGACCATTGTTCGGCGTAATATGGGAGTATGGTGTCGACGGTGCGGTCTGTCAGGTCGCTGATATCAAAGCGAACGTTGTCGACCAGCTTGTAACGCCAACATCTGTCAAATCATGAAACTTTTCATTGTGCACGCCTTCTCGCCCACTTTCTTGGATACCTGGGCGGAGTAACGTCATGCTCGCTCCCCACATAGGAGTGTAACCATTGTAAAGGGAACTGAAAGCTATGCCAGCCGCTCGAATGACGATACCTTTTCCACCGCCCATCGATCGAACAAGATGTCGCCGGCGGCACTGAAGTCATATGGACATCGTTCTCTTCTCTCGCGTTGACGAAGCCCATGAGACGTCGTTCTGATTTGGAGACATTGGTGTCGCTCAATCCGACGCCTTTTTTTATATCTCGTATCGGGATGATCGTGTCATAGTAGACTGGGGTTTCCGAAACGGTGTTGTAATTCACACCCTCTTCGTGGTCTTCGTATGTCTTCCTGCTTGCAGCGCCCCATCGTTGACATTTGTTTGTTGCCTTGGTTGATAGATATCTCTTTGGTGATCATTTGCCTGAGATCTGACCTGGACATACCGGTCAGCTCTGACTGACATCATGTGAGAACTGGCGGGTGACCATCGAGTGGACTGGGAGATGGTTGATACCTTCCAATATTTGCGGCGTGGGTATCGATCGATGACTTGATGGCTGTAGCTCGGGGCTGTCTGAGTTCGGCCGTGGGACCCAGACGTGTATGCCTACTTTCAGGAAGGAGAAATAGAGGTTGATTCAAAGAATACCTGGAAATAATTGAGAAAGCTCATCACATATTGAAGCTGCTGGGTGGGAGGGATGGAGATATGGAACATTAACCTTGGAAAGGAGAGAGGCTGAAAAAGTAAGTTCACAAACAGGCAAGCACTGCGGGATTTGATCTATATGGAAACCATCCCAGCCCTCAATGATGACTCTTCTTTCCTCACATGCTCCTCATTCACTTATGGTGCTACAAGTCTAACAGACAATCAAACGTGGCATGTGGACGTTCATTACGAACCTTCCAAGGTTCCAGTGTTGAAAAGACACAGATCAGCAAATGAGAGTACGTTATTTGGCTGTAATCGGATGAAGGATAGGCCATGGATAGGTCCATGTACTTTATAGTAGATTCAAGGACACCTGTATAAACCTGTGATAGCCCTGTGTCGTGATGGCCGTTGTATGATAGTGCGGTGGAAGGGGCTGGATACATGGATTGTAGGAGTTAGGGAAAGTACTGCAGATGGTCCTATAAGTAGAGCACAAAGGTGAATTTCGTCTGGGGGTTTTTCACTGTGGTCTAGGGGTTAGGACCCCAGAATGAGTAGCACCTCTGGGAGGATATCCTCCCGGGGATAGCCCCATTCTGGGGAACGCACCCACCGGGTCACGGTTTTCCCCCAAAGGAAGTCCTGGGGTCAAACCCCAGGGTTTCCTTTTTGCTTTTGCTTTTTTCTTTTTCTCTCTCTGTTTTAGTTGACATTTACACCCCATTCAAGCAGTTTATATAGATCATCGGGTCATGTGATATGAGAGTCACATGATCGTTCATTAAATATCACGTGATAACAATGCATACTTATGGCTCCCGATGTCTCCGTCTGCAAGGCAGTGACTGGAGTAAAGGAAAGAGCTTTCATTTCATCTGTACCTAGGTAGCATCAAGGTGAGACTGGAAAAATTTATTGCTGAGGCGAATAATCGTCGATTTCGAAGCAAAACGGCCTCCCATTCGCGCTTCTCCGCAATGAGGTAAGCCGCCCAGAATGTTCTCCGCATGAGTCAATGGCTTTGCTCCGACTCTATATTGGGCGGCCTTGCCGACTATCGTGCTTTGCGATCTTGCTTCACATCTGATTCCAATCTCTTGAAACATAATGTCTCCAGTAACCGTATCCAAAGGCCGGAGCCCATCCGGCCCCGACGACACCTTCACCCAAATGGCCGACACAGACCTCGAAGACATAGGCCGTCACTGCCAATACGAATACTGCAGGCAACTGGACTTCCTCCCCTTCCGCTGCGAATCCTGTCGCAGCACATACTGCCTAGACCACCGCACCGAGACAGCACACCATTGCCCCCGCGAAGGCGAATGGGCCAGGCGACGCCAAGTCCAAAACGAAAACCAACCTCCCCCCGAAAAGCCCTCCATCTACAACACAGAGCAGTGCTTCCACCTCCAATGCAAAACCCTCATCAACACCCTCAAAGACCCCGCCGTGCGCTGTCCTCAATGTAATCACCAATACTGTCTGAAGCACCGTCTGCGCGAAGAACACGACTGTGCCAAGGTTGTGCCGCTGGGTGCGCGAGCGGGTAATGCGGCGCCGGCCGAGACGATCAAATCCATGTTTGCACGTGTGCGTACGTGGGGCCGTGATAAGCAGCAGGCTGCTGCGAAGGGGACGCTTTTACCTGCTTTGCCGAAGATGAAGCCTAAGCCGAATAGTCCTGCTGCTCGGGCGGTGGCGGTGAATGGGCTTAAGCGCTCTGCGAAAGGTGATGCGGCGGTTCCTGCTGATAAGAGGATATATTTGCATACTGTTGGCACGGCAGAGACACAGGCTGCTGAGCCACCCTCCGGAGACTTCTTTTTCGATTCGCGGTGGAAGGTTGGTCGCGTACTTGACGATGCGGCGAAGAAATTGCGAGTCGAGAATTTGAATAATAGAGTTGGTGGGGAGGATACAAAGCTAAGGGTCTTCCATGTTGAGTCGGGGGATTTCTTGGAGTTCTCGGAGTCTATTGGTGCTGGTAAGGTCAAGCAGGGTGACACGATTGTGTTGCTGCGTGGCGCTGGGGCTGTTCTTGAAAGCGCATGATGCATTTGATCGGGATTCGATCTTTCTCATATCTTCTTTTTTTTTTTCTTTTTTCGCATTTACACAGCTTGATACATCTTGAAGCGTATATATCATGACACTACAACGAGAATTGGCGGAGACGCAACCGTCGAATACATCTCACCGGGATACCGGTTCAGGCTCTTTTCTTTTGTACTTTTTGGACCTGGTGACCAACTTCCACCCGTGGACGACTCAAGCAGACTGCAAAGTTGAGACAAGGGCGTGGTTGAAGTAGTTACGTTTCTTAGTAGGTGAAGCTCCGTGGATAGAAATATATCACTCGGTTCTTTGGATCTACTTAGGTAGCCTTGGGGCTTGATGCCCATAGAAGTCGCATATTCACGGGCTGAAATGCATTGCTATAATTATCTGCAGGTGTATATAGTATGCATCACAAAAACATTGGTATCATACAAAAATCATGACCGGATAGTAATCATGGATCCAAACAGGAAGATTAGACGCTCATCTTCATCTTGATAATCTTGTGAGGCTTATAGCCAATGACCTCAAACTCTTCCTCCTTCCAGCCGTCTACCTCCGCACTGCCCGGGTCCTCACGCTTGATGCGCAGCTCAGGGAACTCAGTTGGTTCCCGAGTGAGCTGCTCGTGAAGTGCGTCAACATGGTCAAGATACACGTGAGCATCACCCATAGTGTGAATGAGAGTGCCAGGGTGCAGATCAGCAGCGTGGGCCAGAATGTGGGTGAGAAGAGCATAGGAAGCGATGTTGAAGGGAACACCAAGACCCATGTCACAGGAGCGCTGGTAGAGCACACAAGACAAGGTACCCTTCTCCGTTGGACGGCCGGTCTTCTCATCAAGCTTCATAGTGGGAGGGAAGGAAACGTAGAATTGAGCGAACATATGGCAAGGGGGAAGAGCCATCTTAGTCAAATCAGCCGGGTTCCACGCGCTCATGATGATACGGCGGTCGAAAGGGTTGTTAATGAGCTTATTGACAACCTCCTTCAGCTGATCGACGCCCTGGCCGGTATAGTCTGTTTTGGCATCGACATACTCGGCTCCGAAATGGCGCCATTGGAAGCCATACACGGGGCCCAGGTCACCCTCTTCGCGGTGGCCGAGACCAGACTTGTCCAGGAACTCACGGCTGCCATTGCCGTCCCAAATCTTGATACCGGCCTCGGAGAGGGGCAGCGATGATGTACAGCCAGAGATGAACCACAGAAGCTCGGCAAGCACTGCGCGGAGGAAGACTCGCTTGGTGGTGAGGAGGGGTAGGATGGGGATCCGGTCGCCGCCTTCTGGGTTAGGCTTTGACAGGGAGAATCGAAGTTGTGGTGGAGCAAAGATTGATCTGGTTCCAGTTCCTGTGCGGTCGGGGCGGTGTTCGCCTTCTGAGAGGATTGTACGGATGAGGTTAAGATATTGGTGCTCTTCATGCGAAGGGTCGTGTGGCAGCGAAGGTGCCGTTGTGGTGGGAATTTGATCTTTTGTCATGACGGCGAGATGATTCCAAGGGTATCCAACCACTCTGGGGTTGAATGCTATCGTGTTCGAGGCAATGCGAAAAGAGGAGATGCCGAAGATCGGCGGATCGCGTCGACGCGACACGTAGTCACGTGTATACTCTATTTTTTTACTTCGCCAGTTGGCGCTTCCACTGGTTATACACGGTAATTCCTCTACTCTGGGATTGAAGCACTCGAACTTGAATGTTCTTGTCTTTCAAATATTTCAAGTGAATTTCCATCCACAACAATCTACGGATGATCCTGAAACCATCAGTGACACTCATCCATCTGTCACACAATGTACTCCGTATGGTGACCTTGATTTCGACTGACACTATAGTTCTCGACCAACATCGTCTAGATGAAAGGCAGAATCACGCAGCTTGGGTATTCCTCACTGCAGTGAATGATATGCCTGCCACGATTGAGCTCATGCTCAGGTCTCGGCTTCGAGAATGTCTTATATTCGGCAATACTAGGGTATTGTCCTCCAATCTATATCTGATTAATGCCTTGAAACGGTTGCCAAAATATTGAGGGTGACTTACTCTGACACTGATTGACTCGCCCTCATCAAAGTCCACGCCCATGGCCCAAATACCAATCTCCAGCTTCACGATGGTTCCCGGAGAGATCTTGTCCTGTCGCGTATGAGGATGGAATGGGAATTGAGAGTGAATGCTCCGGGTGGCATCAATTTCTCGTTGTGAAGCACGCAGGATTCCAACAGATCCCAGGTGAAGGTTGAGACTGGCCTGATCTTCCTCGGGAATCTCGTCAATGGATTTGATGGGCGTGGCGTGGAATGGGAAATTGAGATGCATGAGATCCTTCCCATTCTTGTCCTTCTTTCGAAGGATAACGAACACGGTGAAGTCATCGCGGTCTTCGCAGGACATGTATAGAACAGCCTTCGGCAGTCCGATTAACCGGCTTGCCTTTTCAAAGGTATAGTTGAACTCCCCGAAATCATGGCGATCTTCGGAATCATATGAGACCTGCTGGCCATTTAAATCAGGGCTTTGTACAAGCTGCTTGTCATTCCCGAGGAACAAAGTCCGGTGCTCGGTGTTAGGAGCAGGGAAATCTTCAAGAACAATATCGTCGATGGCTTCGCGATCTCCAAATTGCAGTGCAGACCAGCGAACCTTGGGAGTCTTCTCCCACTCATTGTCTTGACCTTTGAGATATCGATCAAAGTACAGCACAAGCTCTTCGGTGGACTGAGGCACACTATACAGCTCATACCACTCCTGCTTGCTACCCCATTGGATCCATTTTTCAGCATGAGGAACCTCCAAATATCCGCGAACAGACCCCATGGTGTGAATAGAGCTAACATCCGAGCCTCGAATGAAAACAGGGCATTTCACACGTGTCATATCAACTCTCTTATCTTCCCAGAAAGGACTGGAAACAGGAGAGCGACGGTACATCTCTTCGAAGTCCTCAAGGCCTGAATTCTCCTGACCCCGAACAATGGCTTTCGCGATAAGGTCGAAGTTACTCATGGAGAACCAGCCTCCACGACAGAATTGCTCACGGAAGAGATCACCAGATCCCTCCCAAGGTGCAATAGCTTTCAAAGACGGTGGCTGCTGCGCAGCAATGAACCACTGCGAAATAGCCAGTGCCGAATTACCAGCCATACCGACGCTACCATTGCACCAATCCATGCGCGCAATGGCCTCCACGACATCATATCCATCCTCGGCATCCTGGGTTCCCATAACACAAATCTGACCATCACTGTGGCCAGCTCCGCGCGTATCGACACTGATAATAGCGTAACCACGTGGACACCATGTCTGGGGATCGAGACCTTCGAATTTCTCCAGTCCACTGAGATCAGATGATGGGACGCAGCATTTCCACACGCACATTGGGAGCATGTCTAATGCGCTGTATTTCTTCCCGTAGAATGACCAGCTGAGGATGGCTGGGACTTTCTCCGTTGTGCCGGCTGGTCGGTATACATCGGCATATAGTCTGACTCCATCTCGAACGACGATTTCGATGTCGTGGTCGATGTGAATGTCGCTTTCCAACGCTTTGGCGTCGAATCCATTCCAGCCGGCGGGGAGAACTTCGGATTTGCCGCATTGGCATTCTTTGTACCCGTTTTCGCCTTCTTTGGGCTGGGCGATCCGTTTGTATGCGGATTGGACGGGAGGAGGCATTGTGATGGGGGCTTGGTGATGAAGAAAGCAATAGGGGTGCAAGGTGAAAAGAAGGAAGACTTGATTGAAAAGGTACCTGAAAATGAATGTAATCTTCAGTTTATGTACAATTCACAATTTCCAGATAAGCTGAGCTATGTCTATTAGCTGTTCGCATCACCTCCGGTCATAACGCCATGGTCTCCCCCACTTGCCGACGCAGGTGTCGATCCCCACCAAGCCATGTGTGCTCCCGTTTCAATAAGTCCGGGGAAGTGGGGAGAATTAGCCAAACAGGCTGAGCTATTCATTCTCTTTTGCGGGGGATCGGAAGTCTTCCGCGTAGTGATCAAGCCCTAGTACTTCCAATCCGTGTGGGGGTGGGGAAAGCTATGGGCGTCGATCAGGAAACGCTTGACTCTTGTTCCGATCACCAGGCAAGATACATCGTGATAAATAACAATCTGAACCTCCTCGATTCCATTTCTAACATTCAGGATCAACGTGATTTCGAGTTCATTGCCTATAAGAATATTCCGCCTACCATGACTTCCACCAAAGTTGAAACACCGGCTGCCGAGAGCCAAGAGCCACAATACAACAACGTCGACCTGGTGCATTTTGAGCCTCGTCACTACGGCGACTGGCGTGATGAGTTTCACCAAAATGGATGCGTCGTGATCAAGAATGTCATCAGCTCCGAGCGTGCAGAGTACTATCGCGACAAGCAAATCCAGTGGTTGAAGAACTTCGAGCTGGGATTCGATGAGAATGATGAGAGCACCTGGACAGCGGAGCATTTGCCAGTGAGCTTCAAGGGAGGGTAAGTCATTATGCGAAATGACTGTTGACACGACCTGACAAGATGTAGGATGTACTTTGCTTATGCGGCGCCACATGAAAAGATGGCCTGGGAGGCGCGCACTGAGCGTGCCATTGTGGAGATTTTCGAAAAGCTTTGGGAGACCAAGGAGTTGATCTCTTCTTTTGACGGAATGAACATTTCTATGCCCCGACGCAAAGATTTGAACTGGAGCCCTTGGCCCCACTGCGATCAGAACCAGAACCGCAAAGGGTATGTATTCACGCTCCTCGATTTACTCGCTTTCTAACGCAATCCAGAATGCAAGCCGTGCAGGGTCTCCTCAACTATGCACCCAACGGACCCAACGATGGCGGTCTCATGCTGATGAAAGGCTCATCAAAGCTTTTCGATGAATTCTTCAAGCACAAGCGCGAGTCATTTGACCACGAAGACGCCCCTCCCCCTGAGATCAAGTACATGGACCTATTCTTGTTCAGCGAGAAAGACGTCAACTGGTTCAAAGAGCAGGGATGTGAGTTGATCAAGGTGAACATGGAACCAGGCGACTTTGTGCTCTGGGACTCGCGCACTATGCACTATGCTTGTTTGCCAGAGGGAGATCAAATTCGACATGTTCAGTATATCTGCATGACGCCACGCCGCTTTGCTACGCCCGAGGCGTTGGAGTTGAAGAAGCAATGCTTCGAGAACTTTGTGGGGACTACTCACTGGCCGCACTGGTAGGTCACTTTTTTCGGTAACCAAAGGCTGAACTTCGATTGGCTAATTTCGTTTTACAGCAATATTCGTCCCATTAAGGAGAAGCCTATGCGTAATGGCGAGGTCTGTCCGAAAGATCGGAGCGAGCCATTCGAGAAACCCGAATTGACAGATACAGTTTTGAGATTGGCAGGGGTTAAGGAGTACTAGCTGTCCCATCTGCGCTTTGGTGGACCCAACATTTGAAGTTTGAAGGGTTAGAATATGACGAGTAGGAATGAAATTATTTCGAGAAATACCACATTGCGTGCGCAGCATTCCAAATCACTGCCTTCTTGTCTTGGCCAACACGCTAAAGTGAAAATTTGATGTTGGGTGCTACATCGAGTTCACGCGACATACAAGCGCCTGGGCAGTGTAGGGATGCAGGGCAGTAGTTGACCTGTCATTCCATGCCTATAGGCTCATCCCGGTGGTGTGGAACTGGGACGGATAGGCAGATCAGCCCCAATCTCGTTAACCATGTGTGTTTGGACACAAAAGTGGAAATGATCGTCTGGGATTTCACCCGGGTGCCGAGGGCTCGGACATTGGCTTGAAGTTCCTTGTTCTGATTGGACTGCTAATTACGCCGGGGCAAATCAGCGTTCGCCTAGCAGCAAGCTAGTTTAGTCTACTCGTACACCCTGTGTTTAGTAAAAGGTGCGAGAAATAAGGATCTACGATTGTGGGAGATCAAAAAACCCATCTCCCTGTACTGGGGACGGAGAACGCCGAATTGTATCTGTTGATATGTGTGAGAATTCAAGTGGAAAGATGCAGAGCATGATATGGCTCCCAAGAGTATGTGTGGTGCTATGTACGAAGTACTCCGTACATTATGTTAGTGGGTTGTTTATGTTGTTAATGGCGGTGACATGACTAGAGCAAGAGATCAACCGATGACCTAGTGCGGACTACTCGTACGGACTACTGGTCGCCGCGTTTCAAGTGTTGCTTTCTGTTTTCCTCGTGGCTGATCTAGCGTGGTTCCCCAACTTGATCGTCCGGTATACATCCCGAGTCCAAATTTCATGCAACAAGGAATGTTCTGTAGTCTGCATATAGAAACCGTTAAGTCTTCAAGCATTGAACGCCACTGAAAGGGCCAAAACGAGAATATAAATTCTGTAAGACTGAACTGATCCGAGGGAAAGTGGCTTGGGTCGCATATTCCAAAATTGCACCCCAACGCCAAGTCACACCATCTAGCCTAGCCATCCACGTTACCATGTCTCATGCAGCAAGAAATTTAGCTCGGAAAGATGCGGCTCAGTGGGTAAAATGAAATTAGGACTCAGGGGGCTGCTCTTATTCATCTGGCTTCTCATGTCTGGGGACCAGTTCGCAAATTTCCACCAAACCCCAGTTGAGCATTTTCATACTCTCACGCATTGCACTGAACGCAAAGATGGTCGCTTGGCTAGCAATCTTGTTTGCTATCGCTTTTTGTCCATCAGCATATGCGATAGCGTTCCCGGCGCCTCTTCCTACGGTCACCCAGTCTATTACCTCCGAACCGCCACAGCCTACCCAAGGCGTACAACTGAAACGACGTTACGAGTATCTCACCAGCGATTTTCTCAACGATGGAACATACACTCGCGATTATGCGGGCGGATGGTTCAGCAGCAAGTTGACTAGTATGTATTCTATCTGCTAAATTTCTGATAAATTTACCCTGAAATCTTTGACTTATCTTGTTATTGACTAGCCGATGAAAATTGGAGTTATTTCGGCTGCTCTAGTTCTTCGTCTTGTGTTTTCCATAAATCAAACGCTGCATTCACCGCCGGTATGCAGGGTTGTTGCTCAGACCATGCCTGTGACTTCGCTACGACTTGTTATGAAAGATCCAGCCTCGATGCAACCCCTTCCTTGACCGACACAGATGATCCATGGGCTATATTCTGCACCGATATCGACAAATCTGAATGTGCCACTTACGATTGGGAGGGTACATACGTCAACATGCGCTGTACAAAGAGGGCTTTTTCACAAACAATTTATACCAAGGCACTATATTGGGATGACAACGATGATTCGATAACTCTGACGCAGAAGATCACAACAATAAGTGATTCATTTCTGGCCGACATCTCATCAACGAAGATGAGTTCCTGGAGCGCCGGTTTAGGCCCGACCTCATCCTCAACAGAATCTGTACCAACATCCACACCCTCACAGTCCCCCACCACTACCTCTAGTCCAAAAGATTCCAACACATCAAAGTCCTCAGGTGCAGGTGCAGGTGCAATCGCAGGCGGTGTTGTAGGTGGTGTTGTGGGAGGTGCAGCTATCACCGGCGCTGCCATCTTTCTGTTTTTGCGGAGGAAGAAGAAGACTCGTCAGGAGCCGTCAGATGAAGCAAACGACATCGACTACCAGGCCATTCCTCAAAGTCAGTCTCACAACCCAAGTTGGCTGATGCAACCCGTTACGGAGCCCGAGGCAGCGTATAAGCCGGAGGGTACTGAGCCAAAGCCGTACACCCAGGACCCTCCTGCAGAGCTACCCGATAGAGCTCATCGGTAAATGGATGTCGGCCTTCTGAAATACCGCCAGTTTCCCCCATGGTCTTCGACTGTTGCATATATTGCATTTTCAGGTCTTCTGCTTTTCTTCTACTGTCCTGGTGTTTATATTCCCCCCAGCTCACTCGAGCACTTAATGTTATATAATCAAAAGACTCACACGCATCAAAAATCATCATGTTTGTCTTCACACGGCGGCAACCTTGGAACTTCAAAAACAGAATTTCTTCTTGACTGTTTGAACTCACAACAATTGAATGAATAGATACCACATTGAACAATGCCAATAACAACTACACATCATCACCCTTACGCCAATCGGTCAACTTGGAAGTGATCATATCGCATTCCAGACAAGCCAAGCCAATCTGCCGTGTGGGCGAGCTAAAGTTCCCCCACTCGGTATTACTCCGCAACGCTCAGCGAGCCAACCCCCAAAATGCAATTACGAATCCAATCCGGGGAAGCGGGGAAACCTTGCATACTGAGCCTTAGCCTCTGGGCATGACAGCCGAGAATGTGGGGCTAAGCTGGATGAAGACCATCTGAGCATGCCATGAGACGATTGTTGAGCTTTGTGGCTGAAGACTGTTCTGGTGGGGGAGGTCGGCGTGGACCCGATGGGACTCGAACTGTAAGCTAAAATGCGCTACGGAGGATATTGCAAGCCATTTGGAAATACTATAAGGCCTGTGATGGTGCTATCGCTACGGTCAACATTTTGTGCAGAGCGAAGTCGAAACAAAGTTAATTAAGGATCCAACGCCCGCTGATCTGACAAGTTCTTGTTACGCATTTCAACTCTGAAGTGAAACTACTGCTACCCGCTGTTTACTATGGCAGACATGGAAAAAGGTACTGGGGATCATGTTGAAGTTGTGGATGATTCCCTTTCCAAGCAACATGTCCCTGCTGAAGTCGAGGTGATGGGAACCGTCAAATTGACCGAGGACACAATTGTCTATATTCCCACCCCAACAGCCGATCCTCGAGGTATGTTAGCAAGGGACTATCACATCTTGTCATCGATCTAATGCCGATTCCAGATCCATTGAACATGTCCCTGTGGCAGAAGATCATCATTCTCATTGTGGTGTCTACTTGTAAGTCCTGACTGAAACAATTACCTTGTCTCTGACGTCTCGGCTTACCCTTGAAAAAATAGACTCGGCATTGGGAAACTCCCTCGTCTCCGGATTCGGAGGCCTGATCACTTTCTACCTACCCGAGTACAGTGCCGCAGGCAAAGACTACGCAGCGATCTCGGCTTTATTGACATACCCCACACTATTCATGTGAGAAGAAATTTCTCCCAATGCAGTTTGACTGCCCAGATTATCACGGTCCTGACACAGGCCCTTAAGGGGAATTGGGAATCTCATAGGAATGCCACTGGCTATTGCCGTCGGCCGCCGTGTTGTTCTTCTCGTTTGCACCTTGATCCTCGTCATGGGCACAGTACTCTGTATTACTGCTGAATCATACGAATGGCATCTCGGAGCACGCATGTTGATTGGGTTTTCTGCTGGACAGAGTGAAGCTTTGGTTCCGATGATCACCCAGGTAAGTGTCTACATTTTTGATCATGACTTGACTAGCTAACGAAGCATGGTTAGGAAGTATTCTTCCTTCATGAACGAGCAAAGTACCTCATGGTCCAGCAAACGGTGCAGGTTATCTTGACCACGATTTGGACTCTATTTGCCAGCCCAATCGCCGGTGCCATCACACCTCAAGGATGGTATGGTCTTGGCGCAGGGCTAGCAGGCCTCCAATTCTTCGTGGCGCTATTCCTCCTACCAGAAACCAAGTATGATCGTGATCTATCTGCATACCAAGAGTTCACCAGTAATCCCAATCAGCCAGGAAATGACATCGAAGCAAGCGATTCTGGGAAACCAACAGTTGTGTTATGCAAGCACAGGCCCGCATTGGACTTCGTCCACTACCAGCCGCGAACTTGGAAGTCAGACATGCGTCTTTGGATCGGCAAGCCTGAGTGGTATAAGGCAGCGGATGTTCTTAAGGTATATCATTCTATTCGCGCGCCTGGAACCCGACGTCAAAACACAGCTAATGTAACTATCACACAGCAAACCTTTGAGCTTTTATTCTTCCCCAATGTATTCTGGGCTCTATGTCTGAACGGACTCACCCTTGGCGTCAATATCGCCATGGGAACAACATACGGCACCATCCTCACAGCCGCCCCATACAACTGGCCCGACACAAGCGCCAGCTACGTGAACTGCGGACAAATCGTCGTAGCGCTCATAGCACTACCTCTCCTGGGCACAGGATCAGACAGATTAATCCGACGGTATGCAGAGCGCAACGGTGGAGTTCATGAGCCGGAAACTCGGATTCTACCTTTAGTTCTCCCGATCATAGTGGGAACATTCACGATCATTCTGTATGGGCAGGGTGCTGCGCATCCAGATAAGTATCATTGGTTTGTTTATGTGTGGGCTATGTCTGCTTACTACTTTGCTTTTGTGGGAGCTAATATTGTGGCTATCACTTATCTACTTGATAGTTATCCTGCCCGGGCTGGCCCTTTGCTGGTGATTATTTGTGCGTTCCGTGGGTTTATTTCTTTTGGTACCAGCTATGGCACGACGCCTTTTGTGCAGAGTCATGGCTATGATGGGGCTTTTGGGATTTTCGGTGCTCTTACTGCTGCGTTCGGGTTGCTTGGTTTGCCGATTTATATTTGGGGGAAGAGGATTCGTCAGTTCACTGGTAGGTTTGCGAAGAGCAAGACGGTTTAAGGTGATACTCGAGTATAGCCCGCGGCTCGCAGTTGGGAAGGAAGAGTACTTCAGCCCTAGGTTCTATACCTTTTTTTTCTAAAGTTTGGGCGTACATGAGGCGAAACCGAATTGGACAAACTACATTCATTATTTCAGGTACTGGTTTGAAAAAGATCGTAGAACCATAATTGTAATTGCATTCACAAAGGGTATAAGCCCGAAAAATAATAAACAGCATTGGGTCAAACCTCAATGTACTCTTAACGAGGGGACCCAGCCCGAAGCCCTGGTATATCACATAAACGCCGGAACCCACGAAAGCCCAATTAGAAAGGCGCGAAAGCAAGCTCATATGCAAACGCCAGGCTCATCTTAGCATGCTGCAGCATGTGGTCGAAGCTCAAGTACTCGATCTTATCCTCAGTGGTGTGGATCTTCTTATCGGAGTTCTCGAACTGAGACTCAATGACGAATGCAGAAGGGTATCCGTACCGACTGGCAGAGGCGTGATCGGAGCAAGCGTATCCACACTTAGTCTCGACGTAAGGCACGTCACAGTAGTTGGTGATAACCTCTTTGATGAAAGTAGTCAAGCCAGGGTCGACGAAGTCAACGATGACACCGACAGACTCCTTCTGGCCTGCATCCAGGGTGCCCTGAACGTAACCGGTCATATCCTGCTGGAGCATGGCCTTGACGTTGCGCGATTCCTTCTTGTACTGCGAGTAGACGGCTTGGGAGCCCAGCAGACCGCCCTCTTCAGCGGAGTACCAGTGGAACTCGATAGTGTTGCGGGCCTTGCCGTGGGCGATGGTCTCCGACCGCAGCAGGGCACGAAGAGCTTCCAGGATAGTGACTGTGCCGCTGCCATCGTCATCGGCGCCGGGGGCAGCCAGGATGGACGGCAGGAACAAGTTGATACTGTCCTGGTGGGAGCCGAGGACGACAGTGTTGTTGGTTTCACCGGGGATGCGGGCGATGACACTAAATTGGCCCCAGGGGTGTGCAAAGCGCTCGACGGTTGCGCCGTGGTCGCTGGCGCCGGATTCGTGGATGGCGGCGGTCACTTGATCGAACAACCAGGTTGCAGACTCGATACCCGTTGATGACTTGTAGTAGCGGGTGTAGAAGGAGGTGAAGTGCTCGAGGTTGCTTCTCATGTTCTTCTTATCCAGAGTCTTGGCCAAAGGGCGGATCTCGTCCGAGTGTGCCATCTCAGTTGGGTACTTGACGACTCGGGTCGCGTGCAGGGTGCCGTAGGAGCCTGATTGGTATTCTTCCGTGACATCGATGAAGTTCATGCCGTCCTGTGAACCTGGTTAGCACGAGTTCTGATTCAATTCATGGGCCATGTCTTACCAGCTTGAGGGACCATTTTTCTTCCTCGGTGACCCAGCGGGTCTGGTATGGTGCCAGTTCGATGAGAGACTTGGACTGGGGGTTTTGGACGATTGAGGGTGCCAACGGCTGCTGTTCGGGGTTGACGAGGGCCAAGGCAGTAGCAGTTGCGCCCAGCGCCAGAGGAGAGAGGAACTTCATAGCGAGAACAGTACCTAGGTAGGCAGAATAAGGTGAATAAAGATATGAGGGAATGAGGTTTCTTTTAAAAGCTCTCGGGAAGGGAGCGCCAAGGCTTTCTTGGACCCCCCGCGCTAAAGTCCGAGGCTCTCTCTCTCTATCACATATTTAGAAATCCCCTTCCGATTGATCCGAGACAGGTTTTTGTTTTCTTTAGCGCTTAGCTTTGGCTGGTTTTCTATTGTGAATGATTTTACAGATTATTTGGTGCATTGGATTAAGTGTAGAGAGTGCAATCTACACAGCATAGAGCAGGGCAGGTAGGGCAGACAAGGCACAGGTAAGGCATTGAAGGGAGTCTGGGGGCTGATCGTAGGTGGAGCAGAAAAAGGTCATCCCCACTTGGATGCCTGACTCACAGCCTCGATAAGGCTATGGCATTCCGATGCTTCAGTCGCTAGTCAGTCGTTAGTGTCCAGAACACGGGAAAGATCGCGTTTGTATGGTCTTGGCGCTTTTGGACCATTTGTTTGGTTTGCCCTGTTTGTTTGACCAATTCCCTGTTCTGGCCTCCCCAATTAGGAAACCAGGGCTAGGGCACCAGCGTGTTCCAATCATCAGCGAGCCCGTTGTCCCGTGCATCATCGAGGATCCCTTATCTCCCGATGTCCCTGTTCTTATCCTATCCTTATCCCCTCTCCTGGCATCTACCCACTCCTATATACTCCCGTACATAATGGCCATTCATCCCCGACTACGCGCAGAGGGCGCGCATCTCTCTCCTCAACAAGCACGCGCCATCTCCGCATGGAGCGAGCAGCATGCAGCAGCCTCCCTGCAGGAGATGACCCTATCGGACTCAGCAGAGCCATCCTCACCCACCCCCACGCGGTCGGGTCTGCGCGGCACCACCGTATCGCTGTCCATTCCGCTGGAGGATGAGCCCGCGAAAGCCCCCGAGCCCCGTCCCCCAACAGTCAGTTTCCGGCGCCGAGCGCCACTCCGCGAGTCCAAGACCCGGGAGATCCTGCTGAAGGGAAAGGATGGAAGTCGGCGGAGACAGCGCTGGGAGAATGGTATGTTGCCGAGTGAAGCCAAGGCTCGATGCCGGGTGTGGAGTCCATGAAATACTGAACATGTCCAGATCGTCTGTTGCACAATCCCTGGGCGGAGCCACCCTCCTCGAAGGACTGGGACGTCACACCCACCCACACACGTCATAACCCCATGCCCTACTATCTGGCTCCATTGTGGGATGTACATTACGCCCACATCAAGGACCAGCAGTTGTCCGTGAAGGCGGCGGAGCGGGCGAACGAGAAGCATCAAGTTCCCAAGGAATTACGGTCAAAGTTGAAGCATGCGCGCGCTGCACGGGGGATGCTGCAGGATCTGGAAGAAGAAGTCCGGCTTTTCATCCGAAAGTGGAATGAGAAAGAGCTTCTATTGGAGCAGGAGGGCTTGCAGGACGCCCCTGAGCATTCGGCGAGCGATGATTCGGAAGATGAGATCGTTTTTGTGGGCCGTAATGGACAGATGCATGATGCTCCAGAGCGGAAAGAGAGGCTTCGCTTGCTGCATGCAGAGATCAGTTCGCACAGCGAACGAGACGGTGAGAAGATGGTGCTCGAGACGATGAATGACGATCGTGCCGCTGGTTTCGGGTATGTTTTTTTTTTCTTGTCAGAGATGCCCTTTCCCCTTGCCTAATGTGATTTTACAGTCGTTGGTTGGTCCACTCCATCGCCTCTTACTACGGGCTGCATACCTGGACGGTCACGATGGATGACCGTCGAGAAGCTTATGTCGGCTTCCGGCCCCCTTTGCCGGGAAGCCAGGCCGGCCTCGTTTCTCACTCCGCGTGTCAAACGGAGGCCTTGATCAAGCCTGGTGAAGAACTTCCTCGGCCGCTCTATGCGCAAGTATAGGCGTTTGCTTTTCGCTTGATTGGACATAGTCTGCGCTGTTCCGGTTTTAGTTATTGTTATTGTAATTTGCCCGAGAACTTTCCAGTTGGGTTTTGGCATCGATTTGGACATATTCATGCCAAGTGTGTAGATATACTGGATCCCACATCAGAATGGTCAATTGTGGCTGTACGCCGTCAACCACAGTTGAACGGCCGAGATCCGTCTGTGCGTTGAAACGATGTCGTCATTGCCACGAAGTTGGATCCATGGATCAGATAACCTTTTTTCGGAGAGAAACCATGGATGTGGAGTTCTGAGTGTTGCCTGACTGGGTACCAGACATTCTATCCGTCTAGGTCCACGGTGTCTTGGTACCTGGTGTCGCGGAGGTTATTCTTTACTATGTACACATTGGATCTGATCGAAATCAGATATATTAATTCTCCACACAACAATGGACCGGATCGGTCCGTGAGTACGGAGTACCATGACGACAAGGTACTTCGTATACATTTGGAACTTCACCGCTTAGACCTAGAGGCCTGAACCCTGACACAATCAAAATCTCGTGTCCAGACCATTTCCATGCAGGCCCCCGCCATCTGACTGGTTCGCGCGTCGGGAACAAAAATCGCCAAAGGGGGGCCAGCCGCGAATAGCGAGGAGACACAGCTGCCCAGCTAGTCTCGCCCTGATCTGGGGACACATCACTCAATTCTAATCCACGCTAGAGGGAATTCTTTCCCTGGTGATAGGCCTTTGGGGGGGAATTTTTTATTTCCGACTGGAAAATCAAATCAACTCAAATCAATCGTGAGGCTTCTTTGATGGTCTCTCTTACTGTGCCGCCTCATAGCTGTGGCCTTGCGTTCTGGCGTTTGCAAGATAAGAGGCTTATTTGAGAGAGTACGGACCTAAGCACAAAAAAAAAAGAAGAAAAGTGGGAATTGGGTACAAACAATGACGAGTTGACACTCTCTAGTTCTAAACACTTGGGATACATTGTGACAGTCCAGTTTTTGACATTTGGCTCATGTTTCTGGTTTCTGCCCAAGTGGTTTCCCCTCCTCTCTCTTTTCCCACCTTTTTACTCTCTACTCTCTTAAACAGGAAACCCCCTACCCTTGCTGCGACCTCTTTCATTTGGTCTTGGCTATCATATGACTCTCTGATCGAGTACCCCTGATAATAACTCGTGTGGGGAGTCTCCCTTTCGCTATTATCCCTTCGGACCCCACGTCATGGGAATGAAACCCCTCTCTTTGAATTATATTTATTGATTCGGGATCATTCGGATTATCTTCCCCCAGAAAACCATCGGGTGTGATCGCGGTGATACATCTGAATTTATCACCCGGCGGCTTACTCCGTGCAGCGTGATCTGACTGTCGACTGACAGTCGTCTAATATCCAACTCAGCTCCCATTTAGAGATTTTTTTCACTCTATTTGGTCCAGCCGAAACTTCATCTATACCCATCTATATTCACCGAAAACATCACAATCACCATGGGCTCCTATAAATCATGCCAAGGCGGCAGTTCTAGTTCATCCGACAGTTCAAGTTCACGAAGTACCGCGGCAACCATGCACAGCCAAGGATCAAGACCACACGAACACGACGTTCCAGTCTCAAATCAAAAACACTCACTTCCACCGGCTCATTTATATTCATACGAGCCAGCACATGCAACCAAACCACCCAGACCCCGCTCATCAACCTCCACTTACGCCTCAACTACCCACTCAGTGGATCTTCCCGAAGAGGAACATCAACGACAGCAATACAGTGTAACTGAGCGCACAGAATTCTACCCCCTAGACGCAATCCCCTCAACACCCTCCTCTTTCGCCCCACTGTTCCCTTCATCAAGACGCCTTCTCATCCGCCATGACGACGCAACTATCGACGGAAACATGAATCTGCGCGTCGACACCCCAGTCCATATCCGCGACGGCTCTCAGCGCGACATCATCCTCTTCCATCTCCGCATGTACGATCTCCTGTCCCGCAAATTCTCCTTCCGTCGCTACTGCCGAGACTCCGGCCGCGAAGTATGTCACGCAGCGCGAAAGGAAGTCGTCTCAGCAGAAGAAAGAAGACCTCAACCCCATCGATCATGGAGTACCGTCTTCGGCCGAAGACCCGGTTCATCGTCTGGGACATCGGCACCTGGGGAATTAAAACGACAGGATTCAGGATTTTCCTGCGAAGACCTAGATAAAGTCAGTGAAGAAAGACCCATTCTGGCCGACACGATTTTGTTGGAGTTTTCGAATTATGCGCATGTCGAGCTGCGACGAAGGGGGGGTCCGACTAAAAAATACGAGTTCGAGTACTGGTCTACCAAGTACCAGTGGCGACGGGAGATGCGTAAAGAAGGCGATCTGCAGGAATTCTCGTATTTCCTGGTCGAGGCACGGAGTGGCAAAACCATTGCGCATCTTGTGCCTGATACGTTGGCGCCTCTGGAGGTTGTTGAGGAGGAGAGTAAGGGTGGTTGGGTGCCTCCTTCCTCATTGTGGATCAGCGATCCTGAAGTGTATCGGACGATGCCCGATGTTGCAGAGTAAGTACATTTCTCCTTTCAGCTCCGCAGGAGCGAGCTTAGCTGGCATTTTTTGCTTCTTCCCCCCCTCTTCTTTCGTCTTTTTGTGTCTTTCTTTGCTTTTTTGGTTCCCTGTCAGAAAGGGATGGTTCGCGGACAATGCAACACGCATTATGCAGCATGCATGACGCACTAGATCTACAGGACTGTATGAACTCGTTCGGGATTTGAGGCTGATATACCATTTCTTTACAGTGTAATTGTCGCAACAGGGATTGTGGCGCTAGTTGACGATTGCATTCGTCGCCGCTGGCATCCTGAGCGTCGGCCTTCTTGGATTTTACCCGCTCAACATACGCTGGCTAAAAGTCTGGAACGCATGGGTCCTCGTCATTTGATTAGCCAAGTACTTCAGCGACGAGGATCCGCCTGAGTAGCTTTAGCGCTCTGGCTCGGGTCCGACATTCGGACTGCTGGACTAGGGTGCGCTGGGCCCATTTTGACCTTTACCGCAAAGTCACGACAGAAATGAGTTGGTCCTGCATGACTCGGGACGTTCTGGTGTGGGGGCTTGACGTTTAATGATCTAACGATTTTAGTGATGGCTATCCTTGTTTTGAGGATTTCAAATGCTGGTTTTGGCTAACCTTGTGAATAATTTGTCATTTAGTTTCTCTTCGTTTCCACCTCTTTTTTTTTCTTCCATTTTTCACCCTTATTTTTTTCTTCTTGTTTGTTTTCTATTCTTCATTTTTATCACTTTTTGGTATTTTACCCTTCGTGTTCATATTTTGAATATGTGATCTCATTGCATCACTTATGGCTATTACTTTGCCACGCATAGTTTCGGCTGGACGGGACATCGGATCTACCAAGGCCTAGTTCCGGGCGATCTTCTCATACGAATCTGACAGGGAACCCAGCAGCCGTGCATAACAGGGCTCCACTTCATATAGCATCTGGGGCCATGACGAGATTAGCGACCTCATATCATGTTGTTTTGCCTATTGCAGTTGCATCTCTCCATTGTCACTTTTAGGCGCTGCATGTCTCAAGGTGACATGGAGCTTCGGAATTTGACCGCTGGTTGTATAGTCGAGGGCGAATGCCTAGTTTGATCGTCCGTTTCTATTTTGGCTCTAGTCTCCTGAGCGTACCATGGTTCAAGCTCAATCTTAGCGCTAGCCGTTATGTCAACCATGGTTCCATCTGTGGGGCTTGGTCAATGCTGTGCGCTCGCGGCCTAACATTTCCCGTTGACACGAACGTTAGTCTGACCTCGATGCTAATGGGACTAGTGTCCCCGGGGAAGTGAAGATAATGCACATGCTGATCTCGGTCTCTAGGGGACTGATCGATTGGCTCTGATTGAATCTTCTCTCTAGCGCAAGTCACGGCCCAAACCCTTGCTAGCCTTGGTGCCTTAACAGGAATCAAGAAGTGACCAATGCGGTGCCCAGGGTATTATTAGTATGGCGCCTTATGGTAGCTCCCCTCTGGTTAGCTCAATTTTCAAAATCGTGCCTCGATACCGTATGTGCCTTAGGGAACCACCATGCAGTACGGCAGATTAGATTGGGGTGCGGGGCAAACGAACGCCTCTCAGGTTTTTTGGTCCATTTAGACGCCCTACAATGAGCTGGCCTAGTCCCCTGTCGAATATGACGAGCATACTCGGCTGTTTCTCTCAAGACGTGTTTCGTGCATACTCGATGTAGCCGCATTGCTGAGAACCATGGTTGAGGACATTGTTAACTCTGCATGAATGCCCAACTCTCGCTCTGTCAAAGCGAACCGCCCATCCGCTCCGACTGGGACGTTGAACTAGCTAAAAACTGCATAGGGGGATTAATGATGGGATGTCGTTGCATTTCATCAGTCATCGTTCCATGGTTCACTCTCTGCACATCAGGCGGTTAAACCCAAGAACGGCACTAGCCGATGAAATGAGATAAACCGGGGACTCTTGGCCGTATTTTTGACTGATCTCTCTGCAGGACACGGCCCCTGACGATTCCTGACGTCTATGAAGCCGCTTTTCCTTTTCCCCTCGCCTCGTTTTCTAGTTACCCTTTCTTCTCGCCATCCTGGGCCGACAACGAGTGCACATGCAGGGCGGCCCGGTCTGTGGCTTGGGATGTGCCCAGCACCCGCGAGTCAACTGGAAAGTTCAAGCTGAGCTTCTTCCAAAAGGAATAAAATAATGATCTCATGAATCATGATGAGCTGGCAACACTTTTCTTTTCCAATGCGGCCCAACTCGAGAATCTTGTCTACATTTCGGGCATCCTCTCCTTTTTCTTATTCTATACAATAGAATGAGACAAAAATGTCTATGACACTGTGGCCACAGGCTCCTCTTTTTGGGCAGAGATCACCTTGAAGTTCAACCCCTCATGCGTCCCATACCTCAGGGTTTGTTCTAGAAGCTCGCCGTTCCGCCGATTCGGTTGAAGTCCATGCGCGGCTGATCTGTGTTTGGAGGTGGAAATGCATCCGTTTGATTCTTTTTTTTTTTTTTTTTCTAACTTTCCAAAAATTAATAGAAATTCCCCTTTTCCTTCCCCGATCGACTTATTCACGAAGTACGAGTACAGCTATGCTCGAGTGAGGCGACAAAAAGAATGCCGAAGAAAAAAAGAAAACATGCAAATCCCAAACCAACGTGGGGTTCTCTGAGTTGTTCATTTCTCCATCCAATCCGCTTTCAACGTCACTCGGAAGGGCTGTCATTTATTCTGGAGCCCATTCAAGAATTAGCCAATATCACCTTGCCTCTTGTGCCTGTCGATATGGGGCGGGAGCTGTCGTGGAAGCATCCGGTTTGCCCCTCCTTCCTAACCCCTACGTCCCCTCTAGCGTTTCTTCATGGGTTGGTTTTTGCTTAGTCGGCGTGCGCCGGGCCGTTCCAGAGTGCAGCCTCAATGATCCGCAGCTCTTTACCTCAAATGTGGTCCTTGACTGGTGGATAAGGGAGGGGGGAGTATGGCTGACGCTGTGCCATGTACGGCATCGACTTGCATAAGCCCCTCCGTTAGGTTTGACGGTTAGGCTCCTGTTTGCTCCCAGGGGAAAGAAATCATTTAAACGGAAATTGAAATTGAAATCGTAAAAAAGGAAAATCTTTTTTTTTTTAAAAAAAAAAAAACCTGACAAAATTGCGATGTGAAAAATAAATCCAATTAAAAATTCCAAAATAAAATACAACACAAAAATTCAGCTCCCCGAGAACGGTTATTATTTTTTTTTCTGGCCTTGAAGATATGGCCCACTGTTTATATGACTCCCCGCTCCCCATGTTGTCTTCGTTTGGAAGGATATTCTTATAAGACGCCCTCTAGAGATTCAGAACGGGTCCAATTGACCTCGTGTGATCTGTTCCTTCTTTATATCTTTCACCTCCCGAGATTGTCTTCTCTTCTCTTTCTCTACTTCAAGTTGATCTCCATTGTCTTCAATTGAGTTACAAAAGACTATTGGATTCTAACGTCCCTTCCCCCCCACCAATCCCACTTCAAACCTTCTCAATTACAAACTTCAAACACAACTACTCGACACTCACGTTCAGTTATACAACCATGACATACCAAAATAGTTCGCAAGGGGGTCTTGGAGGTCGTCCCAGCTGGCAAGATCAACTTTCAGGTATGCCATTGACCAGCATCAACAGCTCTCGACAGCCCCTCATTCATCTATTTGTATGAACATCATCTGACTGACCATCTCAAGAGCATTGCAGAATCGCCAAGTTGTCTCCTCCTACTTTCAACATTGTCTCCGATCGGCGAGGTACTTACCCCATTTCCGTTGTTCCCTTCCCTCTTTCCCCCCCTCAGTCTTCTTTAGTTCCCAGTTTTTTTTTCCTTCTGTGGGCTGGATTATTCAATTTCAGCTACATCCCTCCTATCGATACGCATACACCCATCATCGGGCTTTGCATATTGCTGTGTGTTTCGAGTGTCTCGCGTGTCGGCATTGCAGAAGGAGTGGAGTCTTGCAGAACTCGAAAGAGAAAAATGCCCCCCGCCCTCAGTTGTACACCGACTTTTAGTCTCCGAGCATTTGACAGCGGATAGCTAACCGTCTTGACCTCGGTATTGCAGGAGGCCGAACTGCCTGGTCCAGTACCGTTACCATCTCAGGCCAGAACGTTGCTGCTCGCTATTGGTATGACGGCCAGTACCTCCACAATGCCAGAGAAGACGCTGCCGAAGTCGCCTTGAAGATCTTGAAAGAGCAACCACGGTCTGCCACTGTCTATCAAGGTCAGCTGTTTCCACAGCAAGCCCCAGCGACCTTTGGTCGCGGAGCCGGCGGACTCTGATCTTCTATTTTCAAATATTTCCTACTAGTCTTGGGCGGCTTTCTCTTCCCTTCTTGTGTTTTTATCAAATTTCTTGGTTCCTGATTCGCTTTGAATCCCTGCCTTTTCAACCCGTGGATGTGTGGTGCCCATTTGGGTCTGTTTTCGATTACTGTGGAGGAACACTTCTGTGCGCTGGATCCACAGTTCTCACAAACCCATTGCTGTTGCGTTGTGTTCTCTCACTTGCGTCTTTGCGCATGCAGGAAAAATCATCCCCTACACCGCACTCCCACCTCTTCCGTCGACAATCCTCTCCGAACCCTGCAGGTGCATGCATTCCTTCGGTCGTCGACTTTCCCACCGTTCCTCGGCTCCTGAAATGTTGACCGGTGGCTCGCCTGAATCGCAGACTTGACGCGGGCGACGGGGAAGGACTCTCGGAATAAAAAGGACAGCAAAACAATATGCACCCATCCCCGTCCAGATGACCACCTTCAGATGCAGGTCACTACCTTGTTTTACCCTTGTGGAACTCCAGAGCCGTCGTCGTGACACCATACCTGAAACTTCGACAGTCCAGTATAGTACACACGGATTGACCGTCATCTGGAGATTCAGTATATCAGATGCACTCTTGAGCTGAGATGCTCCCTGGTTGCATTAGTCTCCCGAGTTACGTGTCTACTGGTGGCTGCATTGTGCATTCGCACAGGAACATACTACACAATATTCTTTCGACAGATTTTTTATTTTGGCTTCTCTCCCTGATTGGGGATCGCACAGACCTTGATTCGAAACGCCTTGGATCTACTTTTCGGGCTACTTCGATACAAAATTAAGGTGGATACCTAGTTCATGCTACACTGTGACTTTGACTTTCTCGGCTCGCCAAACCCGGACTGGGGACATATGCATTGCGTCAAGTGACCTATGTCTGATCTTCGAGAACTTATGACATGTCACACCAAGCATGGATTCAGGCATCTCTTCCCCGAAGATATTTCGGGTGCTTAATAGCGTCTGCAGTCTTGGTGCAAGACAAGATCTTTTATCCCGGCCGTTGAGTCAAAGTCAGCTGCAGGTAGATACGCGCATTCGTGTCACAGCGGATGCAGAATCAGTGGCGTGAATTATCAGTCATACAACACAGAGTGGCGATTCAGAATCTCGACACAGAAGACCTGAGCCCCAGAAACAAACACACAAACCTCCGGATGATTGTGTGTCATTTAGTCTGGGGCTTCGGTTTGATCTGCCGATCTGCTGAGCTCTTTCGCTTTCTTGATATATTTTACATTTGCAGTGTACGCGCTTAACAGGAGTTACTATGGTCTTTTTTTTTCTTTCGCTTTTTTTAAATGTGTTTGTTCAGTTTGGTTGGCTTTGGGGAATTTGAATACGGAAATGGGGTTATTGTGCGAGTATCATACATGGATGGTATTGGACTTGGGTAATGCTCGGGGCTTGTTCCATCAAAGTGATCTCTCTGTTTATTACTATAAGAGTACAGAATTTTGAACCAACCGGATACATTTCTCAGTGGATGCTCGTGTTTGAATAGGCTATGGGATTGGCATTGGAAATCGGGATGGGCCGCTACATGTGCTACGTTCTGTTGAATTGCGGGTTCTTGCCGCATTGGCCTTCCCGAAATCCCACATCCGCGGGACAGCGTTTGGCCATGTGTCTAGCCAAACATTAATCTCCGACACTTTGGAGTTGGGCCGAATTCCAGAACAAGGTTTACTGTTTTGGCTCTTGGCATTTTACTCGCAAAGTTCACAAAAGTACTTAATACACATAGACATTTGAAGTACAAGTATGTGAAGTATGCGTTGAAATAGACCGACGTCAGATGGGAGACTGAACCATGGAACGGCGAACTCTAATAACCAACAACCCTAATTGTCTAAATTGTCTATTCCAACCTTCCATCATGCCAGTTCACTTTCTTCCAGATATAATGTTAGAATTCTACTAAAAATCTTGGTATTTGATCATATTCTATCTCAAGACCATCATTGTCTTTTTAAAGGAAATGTGCGAGCAGCCAATGATCATCAAGATCCTTGCTAAAAATGGCCATACCCGCCCCAACTCAAATATCAACACCGCCCCATAAATCACCCGATACAAGATGCGCCAGGACAGTCAGCCTTGCTCGGGCGGTGGCTATGCAAATCTGCTGGGGCAATTTGAGCCGCATGAGAAAGACATTGTTCTCTGACACAAGATAAAACCTTCATCTCCAGGTCCTCAGGGCACTTTCTCAAGTTGCTCATTTGAATCTTCAAATTCTGTTCTATTTTTCAAAAGCCCAAACAAAACTTGCTATCCCATTTGTCAGAGCTGTCTAGTCTCAGGCTAGCTCTACACAATCCTATCTCGTTGATTCCCCTTTGAAAACCACCATGTGTCTTGGTTTTTCCAGCAATAAGCCATACAACATGCCGCCCCCACGACCAGTACGGTATGGCAACAATACTAGCACTTTCGTCACAATGGTGGATGCCTACGGGAGACATAGAAAGACCTCAAGTCGCCCGTGGTATAGATCCAGAAACAGATATTCGCCTGGGTTTGTCTATGGTGGAGATGGTGGTGGTGGTGCAGGCGGTGGGTGTGATGGAGGAGGTGGTGGTGGTGGTGGCGGGTGCTGAAGTTTTTTATCTACCTTTCATTTAAACTCATGTCGGCTCAGAACTGTTGGGGATTTTCGCGATTAATAATGAACGCCGGCAGATTTATCCAGGTGCCCAATGCACACATCAATTTTCATACTTGAATGAGCCATGATCTATTGAATGTGAATCAAAGGAATACCATACCCTTCAGGCCAGCATCTCATCAGTAAGAGCTTTGGGATGTAGATTAGACTCCAGTGATCTAATTTATATTGTCTGAGTCTAGTAGGCAAACGCCTTTCCATCTCTAGCCCCCTCCCCGCGAAGATTTCTCCATCTATAGTATAGTCGTAGGAGAACACAGCCAGCGGTGACAAAGAATAGCAACGCCGCATTCGTCCAATGGCCCGTGGGATACCCAATCTTAGCCTCGTTGCTCTTGTAAATCCAAACACCAACAATTTGACCAGGCGCCCCAAATGAGACATTCAGCGCGATGGCAAGGCCTGCACCTGCTGTTGAATGGATGTTCGAGGAGAGCCAGCCTAGCAGTGGGGGAATGCAAGCAAAGGAACCACTGGCTGCAACGATGAGGCATCCATAACGACTCTGTAATTTCGGTCAGCCTGGTCTCCAGTTGGATTGAACCAAGAATATTGGTGGAACTTACCAGATAGGCACTCGCAGGAAGCACGGCAGAAGCCAGAAAGCCAATGGCGCCAATAAAAGAAAAGACTGCTGAGTGAAGACCTCGGCTGTTAATCGTTTAAATTAGAACTGGAATCCTCGGGTAACAGAGTGGTAGGCAAACCTATTAAAATGGTCTGCAGACCACGCAACAGCCACAGTCACGACATATGCAACTGCGTATGGAGGCACGGTCATCAATTGGGCACGAAGATTGGAGTATCCCAAGCCTGAAGTGATAGCTGGCGTGAATAGGGAAAGACTTGAAAAAGGCGTCGAAATGCCAAAATAGACCGCATAGTGAGCATACAATCTCCAGTCCGTCAGTGTGTTTTTAGCATCTTCCCAGGACATGGCATTCGCAGAGCCCTTGGAACCTTCCAAGGCCAGTCGCTGGGCGGCAAGCTCTTTCTCCTCGGTAGTAAGCCACTGTGCGGTCTCGGGATAATCTGGCAGGAGAAACCAGACCAGAACGGCAGAGGCACACGATGGCGCGCCTTCGATGATGAATAGCCATCGCCATGCGGAGAGACCATGGGCACCATTCATATGACCCACTCCAAAGGCAATTGCACCGCCGAATGCGCCAGCTAAAGTAGCCGAGGCGAGAATCAAGGCAACTCGCATGGATCTCTCGGAGTTGCGGTACCAGAATGTAAGGTAGTAGACGAAACCTGGGAAAAGACCTGCTTCCATCACTCCAAGTAGGAAGCGTAGTCCTGTGACTTGGGCATAGTTATGGGCGCCTCCAAGACCCATAGTTGTTGCTCCCCATGAGAGCATGAGAAATGCAATCCAGCGCTGGGTTTTGTTTTAGCGGGAGATTCATTCAATGCAGGTTGCGGCATAGTTCGAACTCACACTAGGCCGAAGCTTCTTCAGAAAATAGTTTGATGGCACTTCAAACAGAGCATATGCAATCAGGAATACCATCAATGCGATCCTTGGGAGTGTCAGTACCCTGCAGCCCTTTTGAAGTTGGGTAGCGCCTTGACTCACGTAAACTGAAATGAAGTCATATTGGTCTCCGTCAGCATATCATTGCCAGTATCTGCATTTAGGATTTTGGCATTTCCTGCTCCAGTTAGCTCCATTCATGAACCCGCGATGGGAGGCACTTGCCGATATTTGAGCGATCGAGGTAACAAAGCAGGTAGATTGCCGCACATAATGGAACAATCCGTAGATCTTGTTTCCAGACTAAAGCTTTTTCGCGCGCCTCCAGACTTGGATCAAACATCTCAGAGCTGTTCGGCTATTTCAATGTCAGTGCTAAGTCGCGGTCAACAAGGGATAATGCCAAGGCCAGTAGATACCTCTGAAGCTCGTTCAACATCTTGCGCATACTTTTCGGTCATGTTGAAAAGAATACGCAGAGAAGAGACAGGGCAATGAAGAAGTCCAAATGAAATGAAAGTCAGGAGGCCAAGTCTTTCTTGAATTGCTTTTTTTTTCTCGGCGTTGGTTAGCTTCCCCGGGCTTTGTCCCCCGCACTAAAAAACAATCGGCATTACCCCGAGGTCCAATGTGAGAAAGGGGTGGCATCCGATCTCGGGGCTTTGGACTTAGGGCACGAAGCCCTCAAATGCCCAACAGCATTACGGGGTGTGGAATCTCCAGTTACGCAGAGGTACTCTTAGTCTTTGAGAGGTGTGGATAGGGGTTTCCCCAGATCCCCACATTGGCCCAGAGAATCTAGGGTCCAACCTTTGACAGGGCTGTACGATGAACTTTGGCTGATCTGGAAAACAATTACTCCGTACCGAAACTCCGAGATATACATGGAGTATGGAGGACTCCGTACTGCAGCATTGGCTATTATACTCCGTACAAAAGAGATGGTGACCTTAGATCATGCCCTTCCAGCGTCTCGGTTGTAAAGGCAACAGCCCTTGGGTCTGCGACTACTATAGTCCGTCATTGTGATTATAATCCAAGGGAATGATCCAATTGATGCTGTGATGTTCAAATGTGAAGGGGCTCCGGGGCTCTGTCGATGCAAACCAGACAAACAGCTTATCGATAAATTGTTCTTGATCGCATCAACGACGATCACCCCTCCCCATGCTATGCCACCGTCTAAAACTATCTGCTAAAATCTACACGGCCTGGTCCGTCTCAGTCGCACAAATGTCTACTGAGTCCGTTCGCAAAATGCCCTCCGCATTGACCTTCGACCGTCACGCCAAATGCTCGGTATGACACTCCAACCCTCCAGCACTGTATACCTAACTGATGTCCTTATGACCTCCCTAGACAACCAAGGCACGCGCGAGTACTCTCAAACTACCCCATGGCGAAGTCCCTCTCCCGATCTTCATGCCCGTCGCGACACAGGCATCCCTCAAGGGCTTGACGTACGACCAGCTGCGCGAAACAGGATGCATGCTCTGCTTGAATAATACATACCATCTAGGATTAAAGCCTGGTCAGGCTGTCCTGGATGCAGTGGGTGGAGCGCACAAATTACAAAGTTGGGATCGCAATCTCTTGACAGATAGTGGCGGGTAAGACTCGGTTCACGCGCATACAAACATCGTGCTGACGATCGCTGTTCAAAGTTTCCAAATGGTGTCACTTCTTGAATTGGCCACTGTTACAGAGGAAGGCGTTCGCTTCCTCAGCCCGCATGATGGCTCGCCTATGTGAGTTTCATCCTGACTGCTGAGTCCAACTTGCAAACACTGATCCATGCAAAGGCTACTTACTCCCGAACATTCGATCTCTCTTCAAAATTCTATCGGGTCAGATATTATCATGCAGCTAGATGATGTGATTGCTACGACTTCGCCAGATCATGCGCGTATCAAGGAAGCTATGGATCGCTCCGTGAGGTGGCTTGATCGTTGCATTGCAGAGCACAAATACCCGGAGAGACAAAATTTATTCTGCATCATTCAGGGTGGTTTGGATCTTGAACTGCGCAAACAGTGTTGCGAGGAGATGGTGGCCCGAGATACCCCAGGTATCGCCATTGGAGGTCTGTCTGGTGGCGAAGCGAAAGAAGAATTCTGCAAAGTGTACGTGGATCTGTCTGGTCGGAAAAGCATGAAGCTAACGCAATTGAAGAGTCGATACGTGCACCGGACTTCTGCCGGATAATAAACCAAGATACGTCATGGGCGTGGTATGTCTTCACATCTGCATGTTTGATCCTCGCTAACCAGAATGAAGGGATACCCGGAGGATATTGTCGTGGCGGTTGCTCTGGGTGCGGACATGTTCGACTGTGTCTGGCCGACACGAACAGCGGTAAGACTTCTCAGCCGACAACCGAAACCCTTTACTGACATGAAGCAGCGATTCGGAGATGCCATTGTCTCTTCAGGAACTCTGAAAATTAGCCACAAAGCTTATGCTGATGACTTTGGTCCTGTCGAAGAAGGCTGCACTTGTGTCTGCTGTCGTCCAACTGAGCAGGGAGGCCTTGGACTAACCAGAGCATACATGCATCATATTACCGCGAAGGAGACTGTTGGTGCTCACCTGTAAGTCGTCTCGTCTTGATCCAGCGCCTCATATCTAACGCATGTACAGTCTGACTATCCACAATGTTCACTATATGTTGAACATGATGAAGAACATCCGACAGGCCATTCTTGATGACCAGTATCCCGCTTTCCTTCGCAAGTTCTTTTCCGACATCTATGGAGGGGATAAAACCAAGTTCCCCGCATGGGCGGTAGGTGCACTGAAGGGAGTAGGTGTGGACTTGTTGGCGGATTCCTAACGGCATGACCATCGATCGACTGGTAACAATCGAGATCCATGACACGAGATCACGATATTCTGACTTCAACTATAATTCATAGACAGCGGGGCATATACCATATAGCGCTGAGCTTCTTGCTCCCAATGTATATTGCATCTAGGAATCATCGAGAACCACCAGGGAATCACGACAAAGATATGACTATGTAGGGTATCAAAATCAACAGTCTAGAACTACAACCCGCGAGTTTCCCTCACAGCCTCCAGTATCCTCCCATGCACCGAGGCCGGACCAACAACCATTCCATGACAAGTCGCCAATGTGCGTCCCTGCGAACAATCCACCGGTCTCCCCTCGAGATCAGTGACAACAACACCCAACTCCTGCACAATCAACATGCCACCAGCATGATCCCAAATCTTCGACCGATACCCCTCCGACAAAGGCATTTTAATAAAAGCATTACAACCACCCTGCACCGCAATGGCCACATAACGCATCTGCGCCGACCACAAATCCACCGGATTCGGCCAAGGACAACCCAACGCAGCCGCAACCCGACCATGCGCCTCCAAATCCTGCGTCTTCGCAGCCCGCGTATCAATAAAGCTCACCCGCGCCGAATCCGTAATCTGAGGAACCTTCTCAACAACCCGAGCAGGAAGCAAAGCACCCGTCCCCAAAGGCCGAATCGAAACACCCTGTCCCAAAACAGCAGCAAGCATCTGCCCATGACCATCCCGATCCACCAATTCCTCCGCCACACGGCCCGAAGCCCTCAAATTCGGACACCCCAGGACCCCCACTTTCTGCACCCCATTTTCAACCAACGACAAACAAACAACATACTGCTCGCCCCGAATGAAAGTCGCCGTGCCGTCCACCGGGTCAAGAGTCCAGGTCCGGGAAGTGGGTGTGCAAGCGCCCTTTGCGCCTAGATCAATGAGATCCAGGAGCTCGTCGCGGGTCGCGGGGGTGTGCAGCTGGGCCTCGCTGGCGGGATCGTCTAGGTGCACTGATGTCGCTAGGTCCCAGGTTCGCTCTAGGAGGACTGGGTCTGCGCGGAGGGCGGTGGCGTCTTCTTCGCCGACTATGTCATCGTCTGGGAAGACATGGTGGATGGCTGCGATTATGGAGGCTTGGGCGGCGAAATCGGCAATTGTCACTGGGGAGTCATCGCTCTTGTCTAGGGCGCCTTTGTCCACGGCTGAGAGGAGCTTTTCGGTCAGGAGGGCTGCTCTTTGGACGGCAAGGCTGGCCAATTGGAGCTCTTTGGCGTATGCGCTCATGGCGAAGTGTTTCAAGGTTGTTTCTAAAGGTCAATTGGGAAAGTTGTTGAGATCTTTCTTTTTGGAGGGGCATCACGTGAAGCGGTGAGGGGCGCTACGTCATCGCCATTCTCAAGTGGGAAGAGGATCCATAGATGTCTCAGTATCCTTTAGTTATGAGACTATTTCTACTGAAACATTTACAAGGACATTCTACAGGACAAACTTTTCTGTTTTAATTAAGTAGAGCAGGACTGCTGTATATTGCAATTCTAAAATGCTCAATACTAACCCACTATATATAGGTTAGTGCATAGCTCCGAGATACCCTACCACAGGAAATACATACTTACTTAGTACTTAAGTATAATTGCACAAATCCCAACTCAAGAATGCAATGGCTACCATAGCTTGCCAACAGTATATAGAAGAGGTCAAAAAACACCCAAGTTCAGCGGTGAAGAGCAACCTTAACTCGTATAGTTCAGTGATTTCAGTTATACTCCAGCACTGGCCGCTTGCCCCGCAGGTCCTCGTCGATCATACGATTTCTAAAGTTATGTGTACGGAGTGCCTACTTAAGTAAGTAGATAATTCATTGTATGCTCAAGTGGCGTCCAAGGTTCTCAAGTTCACGTTAATCTAAATGGCCTAAGTATTACATTGAGTGTCATGTTTCATTTGGATAGGTCCTTTTCCTTGATTTGCCGCAAGGTATCCAGTCTCTACAGAGTTCACCCCTTCCCACACTTTCCACGTATTAAAAGGCTTGCTCGTCGCTTTGGTTTTTGGGCTGAGGACCGTGCATGATCGGAGTTGGCTCTTTGCAGCCCTGGGAGTTCCCTCCACTTCCCCAGCTTAGGTGACCATTGCAGGGACATTGATGTTTAGATATTGCCTGACAATAGAATAGAGAATGTAGAATATAAAATATAGAATATACTAAGTAGACTATAGAATATACTAAGTAGAGTAAAGAGGGAAGGAAGTATAGAGCTTCCCCGGATTCGAGATAAGGTTGATGTCATCGAAGTTTCCTGTTTCGCGTCTGGTGACCGTGACTTTCTCTTATAACACTGCACTTCCCTCTTTCCACTTCTCTTCACTCACAGCTCAGGAATAATCATGGCCTCCTTCAACCCCTTCGCCAAGCGCGAAACTCATAGCGCCAGCTCCCTGAACACCTACCGTATCCTCGTGCCCCTCAGCTGGGCGCTAGTCGTCATCGTCGGCATCTATTACTCCCTCCATTCGCCAGACGACACCAAGAAAGGCAAGAAGCTCTGGAAGCAGGCGAACAAGCACAACACCCCATTCAGTCAGAACACCACGGTGACCGGCGTTTACTGGTAAGTGCAATCGTCAATCGCCCATGTAGATCGTGCAAATGCCCGCTGCTAGCACCTCAAAACTCTATTTTATCACGCGATTCTAACTCGATGGTAGGATTCTCCTTTTGCTCTCCCAGCTCAGCTACGTGTGGCACCTGTTCTCTAAGAACAATGTTTTGGTCGCAGCCGCCGCCAATGTGGCCACCCACTTCATCTTGAACAATCTGTTCCTCTTTGCCTGGATCCTCCTGTGGACCCGGAATCATTTCTGGGGCGCCGAGATCATCCTGATTGCCCACTTGATCAACCAGACTGTCACTTACTGGCGCCACCGCGGCCTGCCCGCATTCGTGCACCTTCCGGCAGTAGCCGGTCCCTACGCCTGGACTCTGACGGCACTGTTCTGGAATGGCGCGGTCGCAGTTCACAGCCATAACCTGCCTGGACGTATCGTTGCCAACATCTTCATCTGGGTTATTCTGGGAATTGGCTTGTTTGACATTGTCCTTCGCGAGGATTACATTTTGGGCTACTGTTTGAGTTTCTTGTCGCTGTGTAAGTTCTGCCTTTCTTCTTCTTCTTCTTCTTTCTGCTTCTTTTCCTCCAATTCATCACCAGACCTTCACTAACATATATCCAGCGCTGGCTCTGCGACAATTCGCAATCAAGATCATTGGCCTGCAGTGGATCTTTGCCTTTGTCGTCTTTGGCGTGTTCCTTGTTGTCTCGCTCTACATCTCGGCGACCAAGTCCACTGGCCGCGACAGTCTCTTCCGTCGCGTTGCACACCCCGAGTCTGCGGATCGCGAGCGCGAGCCACTGCTTAACGAGGGGGTGTAAGGGTGTCATAGACCCATGCACCACGCCTAATTTTAGGAAAGAATGTGAAGGGGGCAAGGTACCGAAACTTGCCAGTGATTGGAATAACTGTAATGATTTTAACCCCAGCCTCGAGTGCGGATCCACTGTTATGCAAGACTGAATATGCGATATTGTTAGTTTTCAAATGCAAGGAATAATATGCAAATAATACTCTTAGTATCGTTAATAATAGTACTGTGTAGTTAAATATGGAGCGGGAGAGGCGCAGGAACAAGTTGGGCGACAACCGTTGCCCTGACGACCAACCTCCACCTCCACCTTGTTGATCCAACCTGCGGACGAACCGGCCTGGACTTGTTTGGGGACTTTTATTCTTTCTCTCCGCAATTGTCTTGCTTGTGTGTCGAGCTCGAATATTCACATTCCGCATACTCCAACTGGACAGGCGCTGTCTCGAAATACGCTGGAAATTGTAACATTGCCATGAGGCAGTGAAGCATATCTCGCATTCCTTTCACAATGAATCGTCGTCCAACCAATTACGGCGATGCGCCGCCTGGATATGGCGACCAAGAGACCGCATCTTTTTTGTCAGACGTCGAGTCCCCTACCAATTCACGACTGAACGGCGGAACAATGCGCTTGTTGCCAACCAGTGGTGACGGCGCCGACGATATGGACCCTCATCCAAGGGCCCCTTCGCCTTCCCACTACAGTTATGACCCTGTTTATGACCACACTCCGTATGTTTATACCCGCCTTCACAAATGTCACCCTATCCGTCTTCACATTCCAGTGGTTCCCCTTCATGACGGGCCACATTCACCATCAACTCTAAGTCATTGCTTGACGTGACGGGGCTGGAAAAGACCGGGTGTGTTGGGCGATTGTTCGTGTCTGGACATAGCTGATGCGCGCGGTTGATCTTCCTACCTTTTGTTGATCACCCTTCCCAAAATTCACTATACACGGGCTATCTATGCCCAAGTGCATTGTTTCTCCCCATCACCATCCTACAGCCAGCTTCAGGCCAAATGGAGCGCCCTCTGAGACCGAGGTCTAACACCAGGACGCGATATTCTAGTACCGGACGAGAGCCATCATACGACCATTATTACCAAGTTCCAAGCGTATCTTCTCCAACACGCCCTCCATCTAGCTTGGCTAGTGGCCCTCACATGCCCCCTCCTACAGCTAGTCTAGCCGACGAATCTGTATATCCTTCTATCCCTCCTCGCACGGGCTCTCCCATCCGCCCATGGAGCCCCTCCCACATCCGTCCTCCATCGGTCTCAAGTGTCGGATATGAGCGTTCAGACATCAATGGAAGTCCCAGGCCTGGAACTCCCAGCTCGAGATATGGTGGCAGTCCCCGCCGCCCGCTGCCTCCTGCTCCCCTCTTCTCGGGCCCGAAGTCCAGCGCCGTAGACTCGAGCATTGATATCAGCGATGGACTTACAGACGATGACCCCTTCGGCGGCGACGGCCGGACCATCAACCACACATCACGCGGCAGCGTTCGCTCCTTTATGAGTGAATCTACAATGTTGGGCGACGAGAAGGATGAGATGCACAAGGTCGACCTTGAAGACGATCTTGACGATGATGCATCCGGCATGATCGATCCAAACCTACACTATGGGCCTGCCCCCGAAAAGCAGGGTCGTCGTGGTGTTCGCTCGAAGCAGGTCGCCAAGAAGGAGGTTCAGCTGATCAACGGTGAGCTGATTTTGGAGTGTAAGATTCCGACTATTTTGCACAGCTTCCTGCCTCGTCGTGATGAACGTGAATTCACTCACATGAGGTACACGGCCGTCACCTCCGACCCCGATGACTTTACCGACCGCGGATACAAGCTGCGTCAACAAATTGGATCGACTACTCGTGAGACCGAGTTGTTTATCTGTGTCACGATGTACAATGAGGACGAGATTGGTTTCACGCGCACAATGCATGGTATCATGCAGAATATCAGTCACTTCTGTTCTCGAACCAAGTCTCGTACTTGGGGCCGTGATGGTTGGAAGAAGATTGTTGTTTGTGTTGTTTCCGATGGACGTAAGAAGGTCCACCCGCGAACTCTTAATGCTTTGGCTGCCTTGGGTGTCTACCAGGAAGGTATTGCGAAGAACATCGTCAACCAAAAAGAAGTCCAGGCCCACGTCTACGAATACACGACACAGGTCTCTCTTGATGATGACCTCAAGTTCAAGGGTGCTGAGAAGGGCATTGTTCCCTGTCAAGTTATTTTCTGCTTGAAGGAGCACAACAAGAAGAAGTTGAACTCTCACCGATGGTTCTTCAATGCATTTGGCCGCGCCCTTCAGCCGAATATTTGCATTTTGCTCGATGTTGGTACCCGTCCCGAACAAACTGCTCTGTACCACCTTTGGAAGGCCTTCGATCAAGACTCGAACGTTGCTGGTGCAGCCGGTGAGATCAAGGCTGCTAAGGGAAAGAACTATCTCGGTCTGCTCAACCCACTTGTTGCTAGTCAGAACTTTGAGTATAAGATGTCCAACATCCTCGACAAACCATTGGAGTCGGTCTTTGGGTACATTACTGTGTTGCCTGGTGCCTTGAGTGCCTACCGATTCTTCGCTCTGCAGAACGATGCAGATGGACATGGTCCCCTCAACCAATACTTCAAGGGTGAGACTCTGCACGGTCAAGATGCCGATGTCTTCACAGCCAACATGTACTTGGCCGAGGATCGTATCCTTTGCTGGGAGCTTGTCGCAAAGCGAGAAGAGCGATGGGTGCTGAAGTTTGTTAAGAATGCCGTTGGTGAGACTGATGTACCTGATGCTGTTCCCGAGTTCATCTCCCAGCGTCGACGTTGGCTCAACGGTGCCTTCTTCGCGGCTGTGTACTCCATTTTCAATGCCAAGCAGATCTGGAAGACGGACCATACCCTGGCTCGAAAGATCCTGCTTCATATTGAGTTCTTTTATCAATTCCTTAACCTCCTCTTTACCTACTTTGGCCTTGTGAGTGAACTTCTTTGTAACGTTGTTCGAGCAATACTGACATCCATAGGCCAACTTCTATCTTGCTTTCTACTTCATTGCTGGCTCCTTGTCAGACCCGAAGATGGATCCCTTCGGTCATAACATGGGCAAATACATCTTCATTGTTCTGAAGTATGCGTGTGTCCTGGTCATGTGTTTGCAGTTTATCATCTCTCTGGGTAATCGACCACAAGGGTATGTCAGCTTCAACCCCCAATGTGAACCGTGACTAACCTCAACTGCAGTGCCAAAAACCTGTACTTATCCGGTATTATTGTCTACGCTATCATCATGTTCTACACTGTGTTCTGTGCACTCTACCTCGCGGTCAAAGAGTTGATGGCCCGAGCTGGTGTAGGAAGCGACGATATGGAAGTTGGCGACGGCTTGATGATGAACATTGTCATCTCCATGCTTTCAACCGTCGGTCTCTATTTCTACAGCTCCTTCATCTACTTGGACCCATGGCACATGTTCACCTCTTCGGTCCAATACTTCCTGCTCATGCCGAGTTACGTCTGTATTCTCCAAGTCTACGCCTTCTGCAACACCCACGACGTTACATGGGGAACAAAGGGAGACAACGTGATCAACACTGATCTCGGTGCCGCAAAGGTCATCAACGGCTCCACCGTCGTTGTCGAAATGCCCTCCGAGCAACTAGACATCGACTCAGGCTACGATGCCGCATTGCGCAATCTCCGTGATCGCCTCGAGGTCCCCGAGCCCCCACCATCCGACTCCCAGCTCCAAGAAGACTACTACCGCGCCGTGCGTACCTACATGGTTTCCATCTGGATGGTCGCCAATGTCGTCCTCGGCATGGCCATCTCAGAAGTCTACGGCGTCGACGCAGGCGGCACAAACGTCTACCTCGCCATCATCCTCTGGTCCGTCGCCGTCCTCGCCGCCATCCGCGCAGTCGGCTCAACCACCTACGCCATCCTCCAAGTTATCCACAAGATCGTGGAAGCAAAGACCAAATTCGACGCGGGCAACATGACAAACTTCGCGCCCAGCGCATACGGTGGCTCCAGCGTTGGCCCTGCTTCTGAAACTGCGAAATCTTCTTCCACACGCCCAGTTCGGTATGGTGGTGGTGCTACCTTCAAGGACAAAATTAATGAGGCGCGCTGGTCTGCTGGCCGTGTTGCTAACAAGGCCATGTTCTGGCGGAAGTAGAGCCTGAATCTCTTGGTGTTTGGCGTCTATTGGGTTTCTCTTTTGTTTCATGATGGAAATATTCTCACGATATTGCTTTTATCTTATGTTGGATTTTGATGCTCGTTGCCTTGGTTTTTGTTGGAATGTGGTCATGTCTCTAATGGAAGTATCTATGCGTTGATACCACTAAATGCAAAAGATATTAAAGTCTTATTCCGATGCTCTTAATTGTATTATCTAGAGATACATTTTCTTCTCTCCCTGCTGATACCTCCCGTAAATCCAATCTTGAGCAGACCTTGCAGCCGCAATCTCAATCATCGCCTCTTTCCGCTTCAAATTCCTCTTATAGATCCTCCGCTGCATCAGCATCGTAATAACAACCAGCACCAAGACCAGCACTCATAGCCGCAGTTTTCGACAGGTCCCGATGTACATGTGTTTGATTCTGGAGCTGCCGAGAACTCGTCTTCGCATTTGTATTTGACGTCGCTCTGGGCGAACTCGAGACCGAGGAAATAGGTGAAAGCAATGCCAGACGATGGTACTTCAGATGAGAATGAAGTAACTGACAGATTGATCATCTCATATCAAGTCTAACGGCATTATCGCAGCAATTCGTCCCACGCTAGCACACCAGAACCCGCGCCCCTGCGGACAGGGGGATTTTGTATAGAGTTGCGGCTGATGCTTGAGTTTGTTATGAGTAACTAGGTGTAGATTTCTTCCGAATGCGCTTCTAAACTGGATTGAAACTCACTAGCGGCTAATTGATCGCTGAGGTTGGCTCTCACGACTTGTTGATCTCTGGGCCAAGACCTGTAAGCGCCAGGGCCGGTTATTTTGGGCCACTTGCAATAGATGGGATTTTTTTTTGGACTTGAATTTAGATCAATGTTCTATTTATTTGTGTTTATTATTATTTTTTTCATACAAAGACTTCAGGAAAGGCGTGGTCAAATTGTTGACCATTCTAATATAAAGACTGTCCAAGACAGCAGTGCAGAAAAAGATCAAAATCAGGGTAAAGAGACAATTGATTAATATACCCAGAGGTAAGATACTTTCTTAATGACATAATGAGCGTAAGTGTGCAAAAGCACAAAAGAAATCTAATAACAGGCCAACATCATACAAGTTGTTCCGATTCAAACATGCCAGAGATTTCCCAGCGAGTGAAATGCCCAGTGGCATTATTCATAAAGTGCCTTAAGCAGAGGCGTTGGCAGAAGCATCAGCAGATGCGTTAGCGTTGGCAGAGGCATCAGCGTTGGCAGAGGCATTGGCGGAAGCAGAGGCAGAAGCGTGGGCAGAGGCCTGGGCCTCAGCGGAAGCCTGACCACTGAGAGAGCCACCGAAAGAGATACCTGAGCCGCCGGAGGTACCGGTAGGACCGGGGGTACCCCAGCTCACACTGGTGCTCCAGCTAGTCTCGAAGGGGGCAGAGCCAGAGCCGGTTTTGGTGCCAGAGAGACCTGCGCCAGCCTCACCAGATCCGGAACCGCTAGCACCAGCGGAGCCAGAGCCAGAAACATCAGCCCCAGAAGAGCCCGAGTCGGAAGAATCAGGGGATGAGCTGGTCGAGGGAGATGAGGCGCCAGTAGGACTCACGTCGGTGTCAGAGCCAGAGTCGGAACCAGAAGAGCCGGAAGCATCACCTGAGGCATCGCCAGAAGCTCCACCAGAGACATCACCGGAAGCACCGCCAGAGGCGCCACCGGAGGCACCACCAGAGACATCGCCGGAAGCACCGCCGGAAGCACCACCGGAAGCACCACCAGACACATCACCAGAGCCGCTGCCAGAAACATCACCGGAAGCACCACCGGAAGCACCACCAGAGGCGCCGCCAGATCCACCGAGAGCAGAAGCACCAGAAGCGCCGGCACCAGCGGAGCCAGTTCCAGAAGCACCACCAGAAAGGCTGCCAGAAGCACCGAGGCCAGCACCACCGGTGGCGCCAGCGCCAGCGGCACCAGTTCCTGAAGCACCGAGACCAGCGGAGCCAGATCCTCCAAGACCGGCACTTCCAGAGCCGCCAATGCCAGCGGAGCCAGAACCACCAAGACCGGCGCTTCCAGAGCCACCAAGGCCAGCAGAGCCAGATCCACTCAGACCAGCACCGCCAGTAGCACCAGCACCAGCGGCACCAGTTCCAGAGGCACCACCGGAGGCACTGCCAGAGCCACCAAGACCGGCGGAGCCAGAGCCGCCAAGACCAGCGGAACCAGAGCCACCGAGGCCAGCGGAACCAGAGCCACTCACATCAGCACCGCCGGTAGCACCAGCGCCGGCAGAGCCAGTTCCAGAGGCACCACCGGAGGCACTGCCAGAGCCACCAAGACCGGCGGAGCCAGAGCCGCCAAGACCAGCGGAACCAGAGCCACCGAGGCCAGCGGAACCAGAGCCACTCACATCAGCACCGCCGGTAGCACCAGCGCCGGCAGAGCCAGTTCCAGAGGCACCACCGGAAGCACTGCCAGATCCACCGAGGCCGGCGGAGCCAGAGCCACCAAGGCCAAGGCCACCACCGAGACCGAGACCGGCACCTGCGGAGCCAGTTCCAGAAGCACCTGCAGATCCGGTGCCGGAGCCGTGGCCCTTCAGCCAGCTGGAGATGGAAGAACCAATGCCACCGCTGCCGCTGCCAGAGCCTTCAGCGGAACCTTCAGCAGAACCGCTGCCGGAGCCCTCGGCGGAACCACTGCCAGAGGCACCAGCAGAGCCACCGAGGCCGAGAGAACCGCTGCCAGAGCCGGAGCCACCGAGGCTAGCGCCGCCTCCGTGGTGGAGGGCACCGGCTGCCATAGCGAGGGGCAGGAGGCAGGGTTCACGGGTTTCGAGAGTTTTGTTGACGGGGGCCGCAAGGGCAGCACCCGCGAGGAAAAGAATAACGGCGTTCTTCATGTTGCCGGAACAATGAAAGAGAGACTGAAAAGAGAGTTGATGATTGACTCTGGAGGGAAGAGAAAGAGAGAAAAGCGAAAGAATGAAGTTGAACCAGTCAACTGAAGCGAAAGAAAGTGTTTGATGATGAGAGAGCTGATGGACGCTGGCAGATGTCCATTCTTATAGTTCTCTGGAGCTATACTGAAGCGTTGCATCTATTCTTGTCAACTGGCTCGTGCTGAAAGCTCTGTGCTTGAAAATTGAGCAATCTATTAGCATGCATCGCTGAAACTACGGCTCTGCCCGTGTCTGGTTGTGCCCTGTTTCAGCATTCAGCCACTTCGATCGAGTTCATTTTCGAGATCTCTGGCACGGCTCGTTTCATGTGCCTGATCTTTGAGAATATTCCCCTTTTGGGCACTGGTTGGACATGTGCCAGTGAGAAGAAAACCTCTTCAAATCCACAGAGTATACGGAAGTTATTCGTATAGGAATATCGTATAGATCCAAGTGGGGATTTGTGCATCCCATAAGCCATGGGGTGGACCGTGTCTCTGGGGCTCAACCAAAGGGTAGGAGTTGAGAGTACCAGGGCTCGATTCAGGTACTTGTTTTGATTAGATGAACTGCTGCCAGTCAATTGGTTGGACTGGCCCTAGACTGCCCCAAAAATGAGGCCTTTGACCATATTCGTCCAGAAACTTCTCACAGTGGGGCCGCGATGGCCTCCTAGTGCCCGTGTCCGACTCCGAACGCCGAACCGTTCATGACTCCCAGTTCTGTGCGAGATGCTTATTTTTAGGTGGTTCGCTGTCAGAGGATGATTAAGGGGATGGCCGACTCTGAGGAACTTGCGAGCCAATCGCATCAGCTAGTTCCATCTGCGATCCACTTGAAAAGAACACAATTGGAGCTTGTGCACGCGTGCTTGGCTTGTATGAATAGTTCGTCCACAGACAGACCTTTTGCGAGCGGAAGTTGTGCCTTAAGCTTCTCGCTAGTGGGTGAGATGGCGGCCAGGCAGCGAATACAGAGCTGAGGGTCAATTTGTGCTCTCATTAAAAATCTGAGCTGCATCTGTTGAGCCCTGACAGGATTCAAAGTTCCGACGGTCTCTGCTTCTTGGGTCGTCGCAGAAAGAACGCCGTTGAATCAGCGCCGAAGATCATCCCCCCAGAATGCAAGGGATCGACGCAGTTCGTTTCGTCCAGAGTTCGCTAAGACAATCCCTAACGCCCCACCTCCACCATCCCCGAATGTGGGTCAACTGAAGTACTCACTGAGCTTGGTCTCCAGGGCTTTCCTGGAGGATCTCCGTGGAAGAGGAAACAACAACCGTGCAGTTGGAGTTCTTTGTGTGAATGCCTAAAAATAACCCCGGAAAGATCAACCCCTGAGATACCCCAACCTACTCTATGCCAAACATCCAAGCGAACATGGCGTGCATGCAATATGCTTCGTCAGCGAGAGGCTTGGAGAACTGGGAATAACAACATTGAAAGGAACCTTGGGAAATTTTCCCAAGAGCCATGGATATTTCCGCGTGCTTTGCCACGCCTCCCGTCGGGATCCGTGGTACGGAATATACCCTGATCGGGACAATTCTTTTCAAGGTCCAGGCCTCTATCGATCGGACATTCTCAAGATTCAGCATTGGCAGGAATTAGCATTTTTAGGAGATCATTGTGTAGTAGCACGCCTTACAATCGGGCAGAATGGCTTAGCAAAATGGCCCCGGTCTACGAGTACAGGTATTATGGATAGTTGGTCAACTGTGGAGTCTTAGAGAAACCTTCGAACCTAGTACTGACAAGGGGAAATCGAGGTGACCCAATTGTAGGGAAAAACCGCCCATGTTGCCCAGAGCCCTGCTGCCGTGACGATATCACGAACGCTTCTCCCCTGGGCAGAATTCCTGGTGGTGTTGATCGAGATGTAGCCGTCTCAATTGAGTCCCGTATATCCCTCTGACAAGGGTGTGTTGCCCACGGTTCAAGGTCTCCAATATTTGACTCTCCATCGGGGTTGAGTCTTCTTAGATCTGTCCTTGTCTAGGCAAAATTCCGGACGAAGACGAGATTTCCATTCTCAAAATCCTCCCTATGCGCCGTGGACTTTCGTTGTTATTTTCCAATTGCCAGAGATTTATTCCACGCAGGGGCTTCGATGCCCTCCTGGGTCCTGTCGCTTTTCGCCCCGGAGCATATCAGACCCGGAAGAGGAAAATGGACGGGATCTTCATTCTTCCAGCTCTCGATGGTGGCTAAGTGGGTGGTCTCGGTGTCGCAAATCTTGGATTTGGGATTTGGGATTGAATCCAAGTAGGATATCTACCAGTGTAAATCCGTGAATCTTCACATGCTGTTGATAGTGAAGACAATTCCACGGATGCCTTACACTTCTTGTATCCCGCAGCTTGGTACCATGAGCTTCTGTCTTGAGTCTCCAGACCAACCGGCCCGAAAGTGGGACGTCTTCCGGGGGTCGTCGAGCTTCTTCTCTATCACCGGCCGAATCCACGATGCAGTTTGTCGCCATTTCTGGCTCATCTCATGTTCGGACGTGGATGGTGTCAGAGAGCAGCTTAAAGCAATTCCGGTCGCGTCGTCGAAGAGTGGTTTATCGGCTGATCGTGCGTGTCTCGGAGGCCGCTGTGGCGTAATAGATCAGCTGTTTTGTGGTCCGCTGCTCGGCTGGCCTTGATTTAGCCATCAGCCATGATGTGTGAACGGGTGGTTTGTGGGCTTGCTGAAGGTCTTTGTGGAGAGGCGTAACGAGTAGCCCGCCATTGATGGGGAGGGAGATTAAGAGGAGAAATGAATCGCGAATAGACGGGTGAAGAATTCAGAAGGAGATAGAATGATGTCTGGGTGCATAAGGAAGTGAAGAGCAGAGGGAGAGGATGAGGGAAGATATAGGCCTATCTTTTGACCACAGAGAGCAAACGAGCTCCATGGGAGCAATGCAGCTCCATGGGTCAGAGAGAATAGTCCAACAAGAGTAGAAGAGTTGTTGGTCCCGGGAGGTAAAAGATGCTGGCCGGCGCAGATGATACGTTGGACACAACCTTAGGATTAGCGAATGTACAAGTGCTTCACCTGTCACAATATTAGGAGCATATATTTCGAGGTTGTCTAAGTCTTTTACGTATTTTAGAAGGTAAGAGTGAAATAAATTCCAAGGTTCAAAAGTGTTGTTCATTGTGATCGTGCTGGAGTAAGCCGACTGTTACATTATATATTCAGATCAACCCAGTATGCTACTCACTCCACAGATGTTGATCCAGTCAGTTTAGACTCGGTATATGAATCTACTTAAGTTCTATGTTGTTATTTCGATTTTTATCCTATTGACAGTGGCTTTCAGGCCTAAACAGAACCAATAACTACCCGTGGACGGGTTTACCTCACACTTGATGCTGTAAAAATTTGAGCATTCACTGAATCATGAACCTCAGATGTGCAATCCACTAAAGGGTTCGAATAATTTTCGGCGGCGCAAATGTTGTAATGTTTGGCTTCCAAGTTACTTAAGTAGCACATAGCCTGCTCGTGCCACGGGGGTTTGTGCTTGCTTCAAAGCCCTCCAATAGACCTACGATCCAGACATTGGTATTAAGGAATCCAAGTTCCCAGATGCAAACCTCCAATTAGGTATAGTCTATGCACAATTTGTTCACAAAAGTGCCGAATAAGGGTGTTGCAACCTCGGAATAATCCGGCAGTGATCGCCAGGAACTTGAAACTACGGAGTAACTCAGAGTGGGTACTTAAGTATCTCAAACAAAGTCGACCAGGGTGAAAAACTTTAGAATTGACCGGCTTTTATTTCTTCCAATTATGCTTTTTGCGTGATGTTCTCCAGTATCAATCCGAGGAATCGGTTGATCCTGGCTTCGGGCTTGAATTCGGCACAGCAGGTTTCCCGTATAACCTCTCCATAACAGCATCAGATTCAGCGGCATAGTGACACCGCTTCCTGATACCAGCGCCATACCTATAAAACAAGAACGGGAGAGGCACACATAAAAGAGCCAAGAACGCCGGGACAGAAGACGCCCAATGAATGCCGAGATTCTTGTACATCTGCGTGGTGAACAGTGGAAAGGCGGCGCCGAATGTGGAGCGCAGCGAGGCATTAGCAGCCAGTACAGAAGCTGCATAGATAGTGTACGCGTCAATGAGATAGTTGAGGATTGGCAGGAATACGGTGATCATGCCGTATCCAAATGGAACGCCAGCTGCGATCGGGACCATCCAATGGATGGAAGGCGAGTTGGTCCAGGCGAACCAGAACAGGCCAAGTGGTAGTAGGATAGCGCCAATGAAGGTGTCCAGTAATCGAGCTTCTGGGGGTACTCTTCCGACGGTTGAGAGGGCTCTTCGTCTGTACCGGTAGTACATTGGAAATGTAGCGACGCCCGAGAGAAGAATTCCGACTAATATGCCCAAAAATGACAGGCCGGTCATTCCTTCGCTCCAGCCGCGTTCTTTGCCGAAGACGATAGGCATGGCTGCGAAAAATAGGTATAAGCTAGATGTTAAGGGTTAGCATTTAGTATGGAATAGGGGCATGCGAGTAAGGCGGTGCAGACGTTTGCCGGTCGGAAACACTCACATTCCATAAATGATGGCAAGATAGATCGATAAAAGGAGAACAATTGGTTCACGGAAAAGCAGTATCCACGGCCGACAAATAGCAATTTTGAAGACTGTCGCTGGGTGCTTAACACCTTGCTCGATCTCAATTTTGCTCCGATAGACATGGCCAGTAATAGAAGAGAGTCGGGCCGCACGTTTGTTTAGTAGTACAGGCGCGTATGTCTCTGGCAAAGCGAAGAGACATACGAGTGCAAAGAGTGCTGAGAAACACGCGACTAAGCCTTCGACCCATCGCCAGCCAGCGGCCTCTGACAGGAAGCCCCCGACAATGGGACCCAGATTAGGGCCAAGGAAAGGCGCAGCACAGTATAGTCCACTGGCCAGGCCTCGAATAATAGAAGGGAATGTATCTGCGATGACAGCACCCGAGACAGCGAACGGTGCCGAGCCGAAACATCCTCCGAAGAATCGTAGGATGATCAAGGTCCAGATATTCTTCGACCCCGTTGTGGCTGCCGTGAAGGCTACCAGCCCTGTTGCACTTGCGATGAGGACATATCGACGTCCGTATAACTCACTCACGGGCGCCCAAAGCAAGGGGCCCACGGCGAATCCCAACACGAAGAGCGAGATTCCCAGCAGAGCGACTTCTTCGCTCACTTGAAATTCAGCAATAATCTCCTCAATACTGCCCGAGTAAGCAGATGAAACCAAAGCCACAGAGAGAGTCTCGATTCCGACAAGAATCGTAATAAGCCACCTGGACAGCGGCGAGAATAACATAGGATTCCGCGGATCGTTCTCGATCCAAGAGACTTGGTATGGATCTTCTTCCGTACCAGAGCCATTGTATTCATGGTCGATAACCGACTGAGTAACACAGCCTGGGTCGAAGATGATGCGCCATCTCGGGATTTTGGAGGGATGAGATCCCCCGGTCGGCTTCTCAGTCAGGGACATGATCGCCCACTTTGCTGGCGTGTTCGAGGAACTCGAGAGGTGAGTTGACGGTTGTCTCATGAGCGATCATGTTAATTTTTTTTCAAGAGATTTCAGCCCATGTCTGGTGGAGACCACCCCTTCGGGGGCATGCCGATGAGATTGGTGGATTCGAAGAATCGGCATCCCGCTGCTTAGCACGAGATCTGCACGCCGAGATCTCACGAATGTCCCACTCTGTTCACTATTGGTGTGTCGGGGTGATTCGGGGTGGTTCGTGCAGGGGTGCCCAGAAGAACTAATGGCCATGCGCGTCAAATGATTGACTTGGGCATGGTTCAATACTAGATAATTCACGAGTCTTGAACACTGATTTTGTTTTGTCCCTGAAGAAGTGAAATGTGATTAACTCGACCTGTCTATTTGCACTACGTAGTCAACTCACATTTACTCGAATGTCACTCTGCACATTTGTGCACCTCTACGGAGTAACTAGTACTATGCGTATGGAGAAGTAGTTACTCTGTACGAGTAAAAGCAATCAACCTATCTTCTCCACTTATGTTGTATTACCGATCGGCGTTCAAAAGTTCCTTGCTTGTTTTATTGGAAGAACTATCTGTACGGAGTACTCCGTACAATCTCCCCATCTCATCCACATTTTCAGACAAATCTATTAAAATAGATTTCAATTGTTTGATCGAGGGTAATGGAATTTACTTCCCTTTCATGATGAGTAGGAGATCCTTATGTCCAGGTGAGTCCCTTGTGATGGGTTGCTACCATTATGTTTGCTTGCTCTCAACTATGAAAGCTTACTCTCTAGTCTTCTTCTTCTGCATCATTGATCTCTGAGTCGGATTGGGCCATCTTTCTTGATACGAAGCCGGGATCATCTGCAGCAGATCCTCAGATTCGTGCCCAATGTGACAGGGGTTTTCACAATACTGATAAGCACATTGTCGTACCTACAAGAGGAGTCTTGGCAGACTTCCCCTGCGTCGGATAACGACATACTACTCGTACCAGTGAGCAGCCAAACAGACAGCAACCTCGACACAAGTTTAAATGGGCCTCGGGGTCGAACAAAGGTGAGTACTCAAATGTATCAATTGACTTTTAGGGTCCAATAACTAATCCTCTCTGAAGCAACCCTCAAGGAAAACTTTCAAGAAAAAAGAGTATTTGTCTCTTCCAAAGTCTGCCCAGCAGTCTCAGGAAGCAAAAGCCCTGTCCACAACAAACCAAAGAAAGTCATCGCAGAGAAAAACCAGAACGTGCCTTTCGGTTGAAGCGCATTCTCAAGTAGCATTGATGGAACAGCCTATTCCGTGCTCATGTTAGCGATTTTTCCTAGATTGAAAACCTTCGACATACCTTGGAAAGACCATATCGATTGACATAGTGGAAAGTCATCAAGAGACTAGAACCGGCCGACCGGACCTGCAATGGGAATATCTCTGCATTGATCAGATACTGGATAGAATTCCATCCCATTGCCCAGCCAATACCGACAATGTATATGAATACAATAGATGCGATAGCGGCTCTTTTCATGGACTCCGATTCGTCGGCGGACAAAGCAGATCTCACCGTGAGAAAGATCGCAATATACAACATGGAGACTTGCTGCAGTGCAATTCCCGATAAGAGGGATCGCTTGCGTCCGAAATGGTCGATCAAAAAGACGGCGCAGAGAAGAGATGCGATGAACTTGACTGCGCCAAAGACGGCAGTTACAAACAACTTCTCCGACTGCCCTCCTATACCGAAAAGTGAGAATAACTCTGGTGCGTATGCTGTACTGTGGTGAGACCGAGTTATTGAATGCGAGGTGATCTGGCTTACTGGTGAGAGAGTTCGCCCCGGACCACTGAGCAAGGACCTGCGAAGAAATCACGAACAATATTCTTCGCTGATTATCCCTGACTGTCAACAGTTCTTTCACTGTTTTGAACCAGGACCCCCTCATGCTTGAAGTATAATCTGTGTTCAGCTGAATCTGCATGCCTTGGATTTCCGTCACTACCTCAGGATTGTCGGCAGGCAGACCCCATAAACTGCCCAATGCAAGATTGGCTTTTTCCCAATGTCCGGTCTTTCCCAGGAACCTGGGACTCTCTTCGCACAGAAAAGATGACAGGATCAACAGTCCCGCAACGATAATTTGTATGCTTTGAGGAATAATCCATTGTCGGGCAGTTGTATTCGGGATATGCAGCGAGGCACCCCAGGCAGAAAAATACTGGAAAAAGAAAGAAAAAAAGGTCAACAGAATCGATCTCGAACTTAGATCTAGTAAACCTACCCCGATCATGATTCCGACATATTCCGACATGGCAAACATGCTAACCAGCATTCCCCGAGCATGGGCAGGTGCAATCTCAGCCAAATACGTCGGGGCTACAACCCCAGCCTGTCCGATCCCCAACCCCATAACGAATCGACCTGCATATAACTGTCCCAAATTTCCAGTGGACGTGATCACAATTATAACACCGGCTAGCCACAGCAAACAAAGCTGTCTCATGGACCAAAGCAGGCCGATCTTTTCGCAGAGAACGAAAGCAAATAATGCACCGGGTATACTGCCGATATGAACCATGGAGGTGATGTTGGAGAGTCGATTAGCCCGCTCGGAGGAAGTGAGGTAGTCCGCTTTGAGGTCAAATTCACCGATGAAAGAGTTTTGCGCAACAGTCGTCGATATGAGACCCTCGTCCAGTCCTGTCACTCAGCTTTCTGTGCTCTTATGTTTCGTTGACACGGGACTCACCTCTTGACATTCCTAATAATCCAAAAGAAAAAGCCGCACAAAGCAATTTGAAACTGCAGCTTCTGAAGACTCCAATTGCAGGTCTCGGTCGGGTCGGAACAGCTGGATCCAGCCAGGATCTCTTCGGTCCCTTCATATTGCTCTAGCCCAGACAACTCTATGAAAGAAAGAGTTTCAGGAAAACGCAGCATTCAACCGGAATGGAGCTAAGGATTCCATCTGTGCTAACGGTTACTAATATTCTTCTCGTCATGACGGGGCTCTCAGGGGAATCAGGACGTGCACAAGAGGCCCACTCAGCCCTGTAGGGCTGAAGGACAAGCTTTGGAAGTCCAGCATTTGACAAATCAGGTGGCTTATTGGGTCTTTGCGGTAACATAATCCTGTTGCCTGTAAATATTGCTGCTCCACACTTACGCAGTCCCTGAGATGCTCGGATGTCTTTGGGAGTGGATCGTGGGCAACAAGGTACTTCGTTTATTTAGGGATACAATCTCCCGTGCAAAATTCTTTCACTTTGGGCTGGTTTCTGGCTACAAGTTTACGGTTGGTCGAAATGAATGTCACGGATTTGATTTTTCAAAGAGCCAATGCACTTTGCTCTACAGCCCGACGGGTCTAGATAAAACCAATTGAGATGTTGATTAGATTTCCAAGGCGTCACTTCCTCCTGCCTGTAATTTTCTGATTCTGAAAGCCGTCCAACAGGCATAAATTTTGAAAACGGTTCAAATTACTAATCTCGTTAGTGATCCGAAGTCGGGAAAATGGAATATTCTCAAGTTGCACATTCAACTCAGCAAAAGAATTACTTTTGATCAATAATCTCGGCAAGATTGCCCTTTGACTGTGTGTCTCCCTTTCAGAATCTTTCTTTCCCTCGTATACGACCCCAACCCACATCTAGATTCCTGGCAACCTTTGTGCTTTCACCATCAGATATCAACTCCAGGACTACTCCTTTATGAGCGCGATTGCTTCAAGGTGAAAGCTTCTTCTGGGATGTTGATATCAGATGATCTCAGAGTTCAGACTACCGTAGATGGATAATTTGGGGTAGAGCTCCTCTCTCTCCCTCTTCCCTTCTCTCTCTCCCTCTTCCCTTCTCTCTCTCCCTCTTCCCTTCTCTCTCTCCCTCTTCCCTTCTCTCTCTCCCCACACTGAACGATAGCAATGAATGCAAAAATTCATTGTAGCTCTTTTCCTCGGTCAGTTCCGAGTTCACGCAATACCTTTCTGTTAGAAGCATGGCATCTCTTTGAATCAATATCGCGAAGTCTTTGAATTTTGGCCTTCACCACCCAACTGGAAGTGAGGCGCAAAGTGCACTACACTTCTGGCCGACTGCACCCAACAGAAGCAGAAAATTAAGTTCCTACCTTATCATTACCGACATGTCGTCCACTGCAGAAGACAATGCCCTGGCAACTGAATTGCCCAAGATAACCAGCCGGGGTTGCCCAAAACACTCTGAAGTCACCAGCCAGACTGGCACCCGAAACACCCCGTGAGCCAACCTACCAACCCCTCTTCGCGGGTATCTTTCCTTCTCTACACTGAACTATAGCAAAAAAGCAGTGATTTATTGCACATCTTTTCCTCGGTATAGGTCTTGAAAATGGCCCTGGGGTGTATGTAAAAAGCCATGGATGTCGACACCTCAGGCCTGTATTCTCATTACCCTCAAGTGCCCTGGGCAGACCTCTGAGTCAGAAGGACTGCCACATCACCCCTAACCCCGCGGTGCTGACTTGTACTTGGAGCAGGAAATTCGATTGGATCCACTTGATGCCCAGTTGAGAGTCTAGGTCTTGCCCCATTTACGGGCCTTCACCGACACTGTCTCGTGTGGCATGTCTAGGGGAATGGAAGAGAACAATATTGCTGGAACAACATTGCTAGAGTCGGTGATGTAGATGTTTACAATGTGCACAATGTGCTCCACGCACAGTCCAACCTGGTACAAAATACATAGTGTGGTGAAGAACCAGGGTCTGGGCAAGCAAATAAGCCGTGCATATCGGGATTCTTATCTGTGATGATCATACCCTACCCACCTATTACAATAGCTTCTATTGACTAGTGAGGGACAGGGGTACATGTATCGAGCGAAACACCCCAAGAAGTCGGTGAAGTCGCCCTCGCCCAGAAACCAAAAGAGAAGTAGCAGGAGATGTTCAGATGCTCAAGCGAGATGCCCCGCGGGGAAATCCTCTTGAGGCAGGCATACGCGTGTAGGAAAGAAGTAAACGAGGGCACACTTTCTGGAAATTCGATTTTCTCCTGAATTTAAGCGTCGATCGCGGTCACTTTGGGCCAATCACCGGGCCGTACGCATCACCGGCGGCCGGCCCGGTCGACCCTGTGATTGGCTCGCTTCACCGAGAAATTGACGTTTTGGGGGAAACATCTATAAATGTTATAAATGTGATAAGGTGTTGACTCGTTTACATTGGGGTTCTATATCTACACTCTTTCTCTCACTCTCTTGATCTTGTCTTCTCTTTTCCTTTTTTTGCATAAAGCCACTCAACAGCGTTGATCCAGTAAGTCTACTGGTGCACTGGAGAACTGGAGATCTCAAGAACCACATGCTCTGCCCCGCGTTGCTTCAATTCTAACATTCACAGTCATTTGTTTGATTTATATATTGATATATACACATATATCCTCGACTCGTCTCTACACGAAATTCACGAACCCCACGGAGCACACGAACTATAAGATTGCACGTGGAATGAGAGCCTTCGCTTGAAGATATAACGCCCAATTCCACGAACATGTCGCAGAAGCTGGAGGACAAGGCACTGCCATTCGGCATCCACCACACCAAAAGCCGCATGGCCGAGCTCCTCGCTGCCGATGTGGTTGTTGCTGCAGGCTCAGCAACTCTGATCACCCCGGCCGTCATGATCTTTGACCGGTAAGCCTGGAGCCCTAGAGAACATCCGAGAGTAAGCCCTAACTGTGAACAGGCTCGTCGTCGAGAAATCATTCTACAACCAACCCATGTTCCCAGCATTTCGTCGACACCTCTGGTTCTCCATCACACAGCCAGCCACCTTCTTAACGTCCCGACCCAGTCTGCTCGTCTGGTCCCTCTATACAGCAACCTTCGCAACAGCCAATGCCACAGAGACCATCCTGGGCAAGTGGTACCCAGAAATCGACCATGCCATCGCAGGTATGACCACCTTCGCCACAACCTTCATAGTCAACTCCTCAGTCGGCATCTGGAAAGATGTCAAATTCGCCCAACTCTTCGGCCAACCCAAGACATCTACACCAACCCCAACCCCAACTACACCCACCACAACCACAACCACAGCCTCCCCCTCACCTTCCTCCACAACCTCATCCCCCAAAACAGCCCGCTCAATCGGCCGCACCCGCATCCCACTAGCAACCTACTCCGCCTTCCTCCTCCGCGACGGCCTCACAATCTTCGGCTCCTTCAGCCTCCCCGCCATGGTCTCAGCCTCAATCCCAGACTCAGTCGCCTCCCAAGAATACCTCAAAATCCTCATCGCCCAACTAGCAATCCCAGCCTCAATCCAGCTCATCAGCACCCCAATCCACCTCCTGGGTCTGGATCTGTATAACAGACCACAAGTAATGCCCAGCAAAGAGCGCATCGGCCGCGTCAGTCGCGACTGGATTAGCGCTTCCCTATTGCGCATGTGTCGCATTATTCCTGCTTTTGGGATTGGCGGATTCGTTAATACGGAAGGGAGACTTTCGTTGCATGATCAGCTTGATGGACGGAGGAAGGGGTCTTGATTTCCTTTTTCTTTTGTTTAAGAATTATATGAGAAGATTTTACATAGATTTCCAATATACCCTCTTTTTTTCTTTTTTTCCAATACCTGTCTTTTTTTTGTCTTTGTTCAATTGTTCGATTGTTCGTGTTCGCGTTCGCGTTATCGAATATCACCGGCCCGGTTATAGGCGCGTCGGGATCTGCAACCGGCCGCGGGGCAAAGGGTCTTTTTTTTTAATTCGTCGCTTTGTGACGTGATCTTCTTGGCCGGGCAAGTGCCGGTTTTTATGCTCAGAGATCAAAATGAGCCCTGTAAAAGTATAAGACTTGATCCGGTCTGATTACTGTGTTCCGCATCCGCGCTCCGTCGGGCTTTTACGGGCATTTTTTTCTGAGATTATGGATTTTTGAAGAGAAAGATATGAAGAAATCAACAAACTCTGACCGAAAAAATCGCTTTGGATTGAAAATTATGTTAAGTGTCATAAGTTCGTGAAGTCGTGTCTCCGAGAGCGGAGGCGGGGTATCTTATATACATGACTGCGGTCTGTGAGAATGGGGGTTCCAGTCTTGATGGATATATACCATGTGGAATGGTATAGTTTCCAGTCAGGCGTTTGTGTCGGGATCGTCGATGTGGATGTGGAGGTTTGGTGGAAAAGGATTGAAAACACCCGCTGGTTGAACACAGGCTCTCACTGTTCGAGAGAAATGGCATGCGTCTGGCGACAGAGAAAGCTGTTGCGCATCGCAAAGCCATCATAGTCCATGGATCATATTTCAAGGCGCAGGCTCGCCCGATCCCAACGCTTCAGTCCCAGAGGTCCTTCCCTTCGAATTTGAGCTGGTCGCTAGCGAATCTGCATGGTTGAAGTCGTGCAGTGCACGGGTCGGGTCGACGAAAGAAGGATAATGGTTTCCAGAAGGGTTGAAAGAAGAGGTTCTCCACATGTGCTGGTGAGCAATGTTGACCAGCTTACCCAGGACAGCGATTTCGAGTTTCAGCTTGATGCTGTACAGTGTTGCTTTGAGGGTTGTCTGGTAGATATAGAAGTTCATGAACTCGATGATCATCAAAGCAATATCCATCAGGATACAAGAGACGTTGACAGCGAGGAGTTGCATGATTGTCTTGCGACTGACGTGATCTTGATTCAGGCGCAACATTCGATTCGTCTCCCACATGTACAAGCCTGAGATGATGACTTCCTGGACGCAGAAGCCTGTCAATTGCAATTTCTCCATGACATCGTAACCGGCGACGGAGGTGGGGGAGTTGGAGAAATTGGCTGCGTAGGTGAGCACGGTGGTGGGCACGTGCAGCAGGAAGATATTGGTGATGATCATCGTGCGCACGTAGCGCAGAACGCGCGTATTCTGAATGACCAGATGGAGTCGGGAATACAGTACAAAGGACTGGCCGGTGACCATCGTCCACCAGCCGATGGTCAAGAGGGTGACGGGAACCCAGGTTGCCGAGGTGAGATCGAAGAATTTGATCAAATAGCCGATGGAGTAAGGCAGGATTCCCACGCTGGCGATGAACATACTCCAGAAATACGGGCCTTCATAGCGTTTAAAGGTGAGGAAGATGAGGACAATCAGTTCGAGGACATTATACCACGCGACACTAACAAAGGTCGCGATCGTGATTTTCACCCCATCACTATTCCCGGTGTAACTGCCGGTAATCCAGTTTCCTGGACTGGAGTCGCTAGAATTGGACATGTCATGAGGGTGGAAGAGAGTACGAAATACTTTTAAGTACAGAGAATCAGGATTAAAAGACAAAATCCCCGTGCGGCATTTTATGAATTTTTTTTCGCGGGGTTCAGCCCCTAATAACCGTGTCTTTTGCCCCGTTCTGCCCCCAAGGGATGCCAAGTGGATAATAATGGGCTTATTGGGACCTTTGCGCGCAAATCAGATCGATATTTGTCCCGGTGACCCACTTGCCGTGTCTTGTTGACAGTGAGATTGACTTCAGGAGCTTGTATCAGATCTATATTATAGAGTACTGAGGGCTATTATAAGGGATAATATAAGTAGATCATAGATCATATACTTTAGTACGGAGTCACTATTTGAAAGAACCTAAAAACAACTAAATAAACAGATCTCAATAATAAATTACTCTCACGGCCCCATAAATCGCGGGCTGCGATTGGCTTCAATAGTGACTTGCATTATAGAATGACATCAGACCGGGCTAACTCGCGAGGCTCTAAAGTGGCGGAGTCTCACCGAGCACTGCGTCCATCATCCTATAACAGTCAGTATTTCCTAGTTAAATGACAATAAAACTCACTCAGCAGGATACCGCGTACCCGGAACCCCAGCCTGAACCAACACCCGAATCTCCTCCAACTCCCTATCCGTAAGACAAATCTCGACCGACCGCGCATTCTCTTCCAGCCGCTGGATCGACTTAGTTCCAGGGATCGGGATCATATCAGACCCCTGTGCGAGGATCCATGCAAGAGCAATCTGAGCCGGTGTGCTGTCGTGGTTCTTGGCAATGTGCGTTAACCCTTGCACCAGCGCCCGGATTTGTGGAAAGTTCTCCGCTGCATACTTGGGCAACATGCGACGGAAATCAGTTGCGGGGAGATCGGCAATGGACTGGATGTGTCCCGTGAGGATCCCTCGGCCAATAGGGCTGTATGCAATAATGGCGATGCCAAGTTCGCGACATGTTTCCAGGATGGTTGATGTTTCGATTTCTAGGGCAAAGGGGCTGTATTCGACTTGGTATGCGGCGATGGGATGAATGGCATGGGCGCGGCGGATAGTCGATGCTGAGCATTCGGAGAGTCCGAGATGCTTGATCTTGCCTTGACTGGGGTTTGAAATTTTAGGATGTTGATCTGGTATAGCAGAGACTTCAGGACGCACTTACTTCTTCAACTCAACCATCGCTTGGATTGTTTTCTCGATCGGTGCCACTCCATCAACACGGTGGCAGTAGTATAGATCTATAGTATCGACGCCCAGTCGCTGAAGACTCCTGTCACAGGCTGCCTTCACGTATTCAGGGTCGGAGTGGATGGTCTGATCGCCAGTCGCCAAATCAAACTGAAGTGCAAATTTAGTAGCCAGGAAGATATCGTCGCGGTTTTGGGATCTTCGGATCCATTCCCCGACTGCATCCTCGCTGTCAAAGTACACATCGGCGGTATCCCAGAATCTGGCGCCGATGGCATGAGCACGCTCGAGGAAGGCCACCTTGTCTTCGAGAGAGCCAGCAGATCCATAGATGCTCCCTAGACTCATGAGTCCGAGACCAACTGCAGGAACTTGGGGGCCATTGCGACCGAGGGAACGTGTGGGGAAAGGCATAGGTAAATCAGGAAAGATTGAGATGATGGGATGTGATAGGGGTCATCCTGGAGTGGTGGAAATCTCACCTTATATATCTGTAGCCGGATAGAATCATCCAAGATACTCCGACTCAGCATCCGAGTTCATACAAATGAGGCTATTCGAATATAGAGCAGAGCAGCCAATCAACGACCCAAGGGCGATGCGAGACTGTGGTCAGCCAATCAACAGCGTCAAAAAGCGACAGAGCCAATCAGCTCTTCGCGCTGTTAAGTTCTTAACGCCGATGTACTTGTTCTTGCTTCGCTTCAGGGCTTTCCTTTCAAGCATTTCAACTCTTTGTATATCCTCTGATCATGCACATTGACCCATCTCTCAAAAAGAAGACCAAAACAGGTTGCAAAACTTGCAAGTGAGTCCCGATATGTGCATCAAACGGTAAACCTGGCTAACGAGACCAAGGAAGCGCCGCGTCAAATGTGATGAAGGGCGCCCAGCTTGTCGAAAGTGTGTCTCAAGCAGCCGAGTCTGCGATGGCTATGGCATCTGGGGTGGTGGCGGGACTCCCTACGGACCACCACAAAGCCACCGTACCCTATCTGTCTACTGCACTCCTGTCTCAGCCGGGAGTCTCGGGGACGAAGAGCAAGTCTGCTTCGACTGGTTAATCAAACGAACCGCCAAGAAATTCGCCGGGCTATTCAAGTCCGACTTCTGGGAGACTTTGATTTTCCAGGCGAGTGCGCAGGAGCCTGCAGTACGCCATGCAGTCATAGCCCTCGCATCTGCTCATCGTTTCGAGCAACGCTGGGATCCGAGATCAGCTGTGTCGAAGACTGTTCATAATGAGCGCTTCACTTTACAGCAGTATAACAAGGCTATTCAGCACCTTCGCGCCCATACTTCACAAACGGGTCATTCGCTTCGAGTAGCCCTCATCACATGTATGCTGTTCGTTACATTGGAATATCTACGCGGTCAGTATCAAAGGGGTAGTGCACATCTTCGGTACGGAATGAGACTGCTCGCCAATGTCTCTGCCTCGACATCTCACTCAACTATGACACCGAAAATACTACGACGCGAACAAGATTTCGCCTATAATGCTTTAGTCGACACTTATGCTCGATTAGGTATACAGTCAGCCATGTTCGGCCACATCCCTTCGGATATGTGTTTTATAACGCAAGATCCCCAAACCACGCCCTACATATTCAGCTCACTCGTTGAAGCCCGACGCAGTCTCGACAACCATCTCAACACGATTCACTGCCTTAAACGGTATTTTCACGGCACTCAATCACCAAACAATCAAAAGATGATTGCCCTGCAGACTCGCATCCTGGAAGATCTGGAACTCTGGCAAAAGGCATACACTGCCACTATCACCCGTCTGGAAACCCATACAACACCAGGCAGAGACAAAACCGGCTACATTCTCCTCCGAATATACCACGAAATGGCAAAGATAATCGCATCGACATGCCTTGTCCCACCAGAAGAACTAGAAATCAGCTTCGACTCATACACAGAGAACTTCATAACGATAATGTCCAATTTCCTCACCATGTGGAAAAGCTGGACAATGCCCAATTTCCAAAACGACCTCTCCGCATTACCTCCATCTCTGCGAAACGTACTGGAGCACTCCAACACAGACAGTATTGAATTATCCCTTGACATACTCGAGAACTCATCTATAAATGATGTCCTGCAAACACCCGACTGCGGTGGGAACGGCTTCACTGTTGAAACGGGGTATATACCGCCGCTGTACTATACGGCGTTGAAATGTCGAATTCCGAGCCTGCGCAGACAGGCTATTCGTGTGTTGAGGGCTGCGCCGCATAGAGAGGGTGTTTGGAATGGGCCTTTGCTGGGGGATGTTTTGGATGAGATTATTGGGATTGAGGAGGGTATGTATGATTTGGGTGTCCCTGCTACAGGGTTTCTTCCTAGACCAGAGGACTTGGTGCTGCCCAGGGTTTCTGGTGAAATGAGGATTTCGGATGTTAGAGTTATCCTGCCGCATGATGTTGGTGATGTTTGTATTGGATATAGGAAGAGGGTTGGGGGTGAGTGGGTGTGTAGACGTAGAATTGTGCAGTCTGCTGGTTTTGGATGATCGATTAGTCCACAGTTGATACTATAGTGATGCGCATCTTGATTCAAGTCCTAGTGTCATGGGTATTGGTCTTTAAAGAAAAATCGGGTAGCATTTCCCGTGTCTGGATACTAGTTTAATGTACAGTTCTATATCTGAATTCGTCACTTCGTTAAAATCTCAAATACCTTTCGCCTGTCCGGTTTTTGTTCAATTTCGTGCTCGTCCATGGACCAAATCATTTGCCACCTGCTTTTTGGTTCCGCAAATACATCGCAACTTGTTCATGCCGAGTGACAAAGAACATGCGCTTCCGATCAGATTTCCATACCAAAACTCCAATCTCAGCAGCATACTGACAAGGACCTTGGTATTCAGCCAGGCTGGTGAAATCCTTGAACAGGAATCCAGCCGTGGCACGGAGACGATCACGCTCCAGCTGCCACAGCCTGATCTGATCTGTCACCGTGGGTGGGAGGATAGACGCTGGGACTCCCTTGTTGCTGGGCTGAGCGGCACTGTGTTTTCGCAGTTGGGGGTGGGCGTGTGAAAGGAGGTATGAGATGATTTGGTCTGCTGTGATTCCCATTTCAATGGCCCTGCGAACAGACTGTCGGGTGATTTTACCAGTCACCAGATTCGGGAACCGGTATTTCAAGTTGGTGAAGAGGGAAATCAGGGATATTTGCAGGGGCGAGGATGTGTATGCGTAAAGTCGGTAATTGGTTTCAATGATGATGAAACCTGAGCCTGAGCCGCTAGTCTGGCCGACTGGGCCAGTGAGAGACCCTGTCACGGGGTTGCTTAGGGCGCTGGAGTCAGAGGTAAGGGTTGTTGCCAGGCGGGTGGGATAGAAGCGTGTTGGATCTGCGTCATTCTGGTACACGATACCAAAGTCGGTGAGATCGGCGAGCGTGCGGGTTTGATTAGGCGTCAAATGGGTTTTATCATATGACTGTCCGAGTTCCAGACTGCTGAGCAAGAACAAGAATGACAAGACCTCCACGCTATCCATGCCAATGGCTTCTGCGCTCTCGACGTAGAGAATCAGGATATGCCAGACCTGGGTGTTCACATCCTGGAGCACGAATCCGAATCCGTCTTTCGTGATATCGACGCGATTTCCTCGAATCTCAACCAGGTGACCCGCCTGTAGAAGCTGCTTCACGCCCTTGCTGAGATTGACCGTATCGCGTTGTCCACTGAAAGCACTCGTTCCAACCATGTATCCCATCACCCCCTCCCACTGCCGCCTGGCATACTCGTCCAAGTCGGCAACCGATGTCTGAAGATGTTCCGGGGCTTGGGAGAACAAGCCGAACGACTGGGAATCTTCGGCGCCCATCAAAGCTTGTCGGAGGGAGGCGGCGAACGGGTTGGTGAGCATGTAAGCCCGTACATTCTCCCCTGTGAGAGTCGTAGAAAGGACATGGAGTCGGCCCAATATTGAGATCGCATTGTCTCGTTCCCTTTCAGCGGTCAGCGTGCTTCACATTGCCGACAACATGAAAGAACTTACTTCTTGCTATCCGAGCTGACCCAGATCTCCAGATCAGCTGTAGGAAGAGGATCCTTCTGATAGAGCAGAGCCATGACAAAGCATTTTGCTATCGAGCTGTTAGTGAGGTATCTCTCCAGTGGAGCAGCTCAATGTACCAAGGTCAGGAAGCATGCGCCGGAAGATGGCGAGGGCCGTAGATGGCTGTTGGTATAGTTTATAGAAGGTCGTCCCGGGGAGACCCTCGAGGTATTCGAGCGGACGGGATGTCGCGCTCGCCATGGTGAGCTGAAAGACACGAAGATCTTCAACGGCGACTGAAATGACGCGGGTACGGGGGCCAATGCGGCCACAGAGCGCAACTCCACTCTCGCGACGGTCCGGAGTATGCATCTTGCACTTCCACTGTCGCAGATAATAAGATGGCTTCTCTCAGATTTGTTCGCTCTGTGAGTACTTTTCAAAAATCTGCGTATCTCTCATGCCATTGACACGGCTTGCGATGTACAGGTGTGGGAGTCTTTCCGAGCTACCTCGGGTCTTGAGCCTCGGTATGAAATGCATCACTTTCATCCCAGTGTGGAATATGCCTCAGATACTAACAGCTGGATGATTTCAATTACTGAAGGCTCTTGAATAATGTAAGTATTAGAACACCGAACGTCTTCACACCCATCTGACATCTTCTATAGCTCCGTGTTACAGCCGCCAGGCCCGGCCTGGTCAACTTCGAGCTGGACATTCAGAAAGAGCACACGGTATGCTTGCACTGCTGTCATTTGCTTGGTCTTCATCGAGGATGCACAGAGTCATTGAGACCAATCAATCATCCCCTGGAAACTTGTCTGACATTTATCATTATAGAACCGTCTGAACATCCTCCATGGAGGCACCATTGCCAGCATGGGTATGATGGCACATCCATGCATATCATGAACATCCAACTGAATCCTCCCAGTCGATCTAGGTGGCTCTCTAGCCGTGGCATCCCGTGGCCTTTTCTCAACTGGAGTATCAACCGACTTGAACGGTGAGTTTCGTCCCCTCCATATGCAATAGTAGCATCTAACAATGTCTGATAAGTCACATACCTGAACTCCGGCGGTAAAGTCGGAGACCGAATCCTGGCCGTATGTATTCCCCATCTCACTGTCTATAAATGAATACTGACTATGAACAGGAGGTGAAATGTGACAAATGTATGTTCAAAGCCAACGGCCCTATCCTCATGAGGAATGCTATACGGTAACCTAACCATATACAGTTGGCAAGACGTTGGCCTTTACTTCGATCGAGTTCACCAATCCCAATGGACATGTTGTCGCTCGCGGAAGCCACACCAAGTAAGTGGTTTATCTGGTACCAAGTTTAGATGCTTATTCTATACAGATATGTGACTCTGGCCTGGAAGGATCCTCAGAATATTGTTGAAGAGATGAATAAGAGCAAGGACTAGACGGTCTTGGGGTTGCGTTGGTTAGCCTTGAGGGCCTTGGAGTCTGGCATACTCATGGATGTATGTACATAGATGGTGATCAGTGATGATCGTAACCTACTTGGGTAGAGAGGCCCGGTAGTTTTGGAAGAATCCATGATCATCTGAAGATTTGATTCTCGAGCCTCGGAACTCATCCTCAGAGATCCTTCTGGTTGACAACTAGGTGTCCATATAAAAGATGCTCTGGTACCAAGAGAAGTCTGGAGGCCTGTAGGCAGCGATTGAGAATCGAAGACTGAACACAGTGTATGATCCAGTTCTTAGAGTCTACACTCACAGCCAGTAAATAAGTCTGAAGCCATGGCAAGATACAAGCCCTGGAGGGGTCGAAGGAGCAAATTCAATGCATTGTACATCGTACAGGGGTATCGAAACAAACAAAAAAACAACAACAAAATCAACACATATAGTACAACTCCCCATCCCCCCCTCCCCGTCCTCCTCTCCCTCTCCCTCCCCCTCCCCTCCCCTCCCCCCTAGTTGCCCGGGGGCGCGCGTCAAGCCCCGCGGGGCTTCTTCATGCCCCGCGGGGACTTTGACACGCGCCCCGAGCGCACCCCATCATCCGACCCCAAACCACCAGAGGACTTGCGTCCCCTGCCCGGATCGGGCATCGTCAAACGCAGCCGCTGCACACCCGGCTCCATGGTGGGAACCTTGGGCACCGGGGGCCGCTGAAGCGGGCTCACCCGGCGCGGGGTGGCAGGGCGACCCTTGCGGCGGGTCGCACCCACCGAGGGGGACTCGGTGGCGGCTGCGTTTGGGATGGTGGTGGCCGCGATCGTAGTCTTGGGTGTTCTACGACCACGGCCGGGGGTTGCTGGGCGGGGGGTCACCGGCGCCGAAGCCTCTGGCTTAGGCTTACGGGTGCGTAGTTGGCGACCCGCTTCGGCGACAGTGACGTCCCCGCTCAGCTGACGACGGCGCGCGGTAGCTGCCCCTGTGAGTTCGATGGGGCGGCAGCTACCGGTCTGCCGGGACGGGATGAGCTGTTTGCACAGCTCAGAAGTGGCGGTTGCCCAACTCACTTCCGGGACCGGGGGGATATGGAAATCCACATCCCCGCTTGACTTGCGGTCCCGTCCCGTCCCGACAACCTTGGCCGAGAATGACTCGGTCGGCGCAAGGTACGTCGTCACCCCCTTGGGGCGGCCCTTCTTGGGCATGATCGCGCCCTCAATCTCTGCCAGGTTTCCCTCGCTCCACCACTCTGGGTTGTAGGTGTAAGCGGGCCTGGGCGAGGGGGCCGGGCCGTGCTGACCAGACACGGGCCCGGTTCCCTCGCCCAGGCCGGCGAGATGACTGAGGACGCCGGATGATAGGGCGCGGTCGCTGTATCCCCCTTCCAGGACACTGATGACGCGACCGTTGACGCCGAGGTCTTCTTCCTGGGCCATGCGCACCACGTCGGCAGTGAATCTGGCGTAGAATTCAGTGGGGACGTTGACGGTGTGGCGCTGCATGCCTTGACCTTCCCACTCGCTCGCATCGAACCCAGCGGAAATGAAGATGGCAGCCTTGGGTGGACTTGCTGTTGGGTTTTGAGCAAGGTCATTGGCGAGCTGTTTTGTGTGGTGGCGTAGGAAGGAACGGGCTTTGGCCAACAAGGCGAGATATATGGTGTGGTATAGGTTCCAGAACTCGTCAGGGGAATCCCAGTTTTCAAAGTGGACGTTCCAGATGGATTGATTGTGGGCGTTATCGATGCACAGACTCGCACCGACGATCTTGTCGCGGTCGCCGCCCTCGCAAGGGAAAGAATTGATGTCGTGCACACTGTAGTAGCCGATTGGGGTCTTTTCGTAACGAGATAGCTTTTCGAATTCAGACAGCTCGGGAGACTTGGTCTTGTGTTTCAATTCCCAGTTCTTGTACCAGGCTTGCTGATCTTTGTTGAGAATTTTCGAGTTGTGATCAAAGGTAATATCCTGCGATCCATCACCGTGGTGAAGATCAAAGTCCAGGATGGCGGCATGGGTCAGCCCGTAGGTCGTAACCGCGTGAGAGATTCCAACGTGAACGTTGTTGATCCAGCAAAAGCCGGAGGGGAAGCTGGCCGAACAATGGTGCCCAGGAGGGCGGATACAGACGAAGACACGCTCAACAGGACCGGGATTAAAAACAGCATCCACACCTTCACAAACGCCTCCTAGTGCTCCTTCAATGGCATTGAGTGATTGAGAGCAGAGGTACAGGTCATTCTCAGACAGAGGTGGACCGCTCGTGGTTATATCATCATCTCCTGTCATGCGTTGGCGGCCGACCTCGCTGGTCCCGAGAAGCATGCGGTTTTCCGCGATTTCTGACATCCATTTCAATTCCGACATCCAGGCAGTTCCATGCACATTCATAACAGTGGGATCGGTGACAAGAACTTTGCGTTCTGTTTTGAGGATCTGGAAGGGAGCATTCAGCTCGTCCAGAGGTCGATGTGGGTTCGGGGCGAATTGTTCAGCAGCGTATCGAAGGCCGAGGCGAATATATGCCATGGAGATACCAACAGTGCAGGCGCGAATGCGCTCGGGTCTTTCAACAATGCTGTCTAGGTGAGATTGTTTGGTTTCAAGGCGCTCGAAACGATGTCCATAGCAGGAGTCATGCATGACAACAGCTGTCTTGGTAGGAAGGCTCCCTGATTGATGCAGGGTAAGCTCTTGGGCGAAATGCTCTGCTGCGACACTCGCCGGAGTCAAGGTCAGAGGCTCTGGGGCCGAGTGGAGGATGGGGCGCGCGGCAGACATGGCTGGCGACACCGTGCTCGGTGGAGACCCAGAGGTTGGGGATGTGCGGCGTAAAGGATCAGGAAGTGGTGAAGTAGGTTTGTGAGGTCCTGAGACCGAACGAAGAGAAGCGGCAGACTTGCGCTTTTGCAATGCGGGGAGTGATTTGCGGCGCTCGTTGCGCGACGCTGAGCTCTTGGATTGACAAGCCGCTGGGACTGGCGGCGTAGCAGGAGTCGCAGGAATTGTAGGAGTTACAGGAATTGGCGGAATTGGCGGAATCGCAGGCGCAGGTGGTATCTGATATTGTACAGAGACGGACTGAGAAGAGTGTACAGGAGCAGCTGGTGCAGGTCGGATAGGAAGATGAGAAGAAGCTTGTAAACGCGGCGATGGGGGCAACGGGGTAGTCATTGCTGTCGCCAGCGTCAGGAGATTCAGTGAATCTGTCAATTCGCATGGTGAATCAATTGTGTTGTTGATGCCGGATGGCGGGTCCTCCTGAGAGGGGTGTTTTGAATCCATCGCGACTCATTCAAGTATTCGGGTTGAGTCGAGGTGTTGAATCGAGGTGAATAGAGAGTAGAGAAAAGAGAAAAGAGAAAGGAGAAGTCGAGGAGACAATAGAAAGAGTTGAATAGGAGAACAAAGGAAAGAAGCAAAGAAACATAAGGAGTGGGGGTCTGGGGCAAGGGGTAGATCACCACCTCGCATTCTTGTAATGTTTATTGTTCAAACAATAGGAAATGAATAGGAGAGTACAGAGTAGAGAATAATGAATAGTTAATTATCATTAGTCAATAAGAACTAAACAATAAATAATAAATAATCCAGAGTAAATGGTAACATTCACCACATAGGGGGGTTCTACTAAACTACTCCACCATTCACGTTGATCTATACTCCATAGAACAAAAGAAGTAGAACAAGAACAGAACACAATAGAACATTCACTCATCAAATAAAATAACTGTAGAAAGCAGAAAAAACCCCCAATTCAATACAGACTCTCAAACTCCAATTTTCACCCAAAATCACCAAACACCAAACACCAAGACACCGAAGCTGAAAAGACAAAATACCTGCACTAGATGTAGACAGGAAAACACTTAAAATCCACGAGATCGCAGACCCCTCCACTGATACCATTGATACCACCGACGCCCAAAGGAAGCCTTTTCATCCATAGAGTCCTCAGACCGGCGGCGCACCTTATTCTCTTCCTTGCGAGTCTGCTTCTCCGACTTGAAGCCTCGGGTCGCATGGGAGTTGCAGAAGCAATGCATATGCACAGTCTCGACACTGACACCGGGACAATTGTTGCGGCGCACACCGGCGCAGCCGCTGGTGCCGGCATCTTCTTCGCATTGGCACCATTCGTAGAGTGTGAAATATTGGCGACACATGATGTATGAGTGTAGCTTGGTTGGTGGATGTGTGGATTGGTAGCTCTGTACTTTGGACTTTGAATTTTGTGTGTGAAGCACTTCGTACTCCGTACGTTGTAGGAGGAAATGAGCTTAATGTATGATTGCAATGTCAATGCTGAGGTGATTGTATGATTGCAATGCCAATGCTGAGGTGGTTGTATGGTTGTATGGTAGCACCTCGATGAGAAAGATGTATGGCAGCTCTAACTCGGAGCAGTCCAGAGTAAAGTAGGTGTGGAATGTGATGTATAACGGTCAGTCCTGAGTTCCCTGGAGACAAGAAGAGGTTCAGGGAAGCCCACGAGGGTGCCAGGGTGTAATAAGGTCTTTAAAGACCGGATCAGTGGAGTCATGATGAATGAATTCTAGTCAGACTGGTTCGAGCAGGCCCCGGCTATTGATTGGTCCTGACGTCAAAGAGACAGTTCTTATTGTATTTTAATTATTCATTTCTGCCCCTTTTAGAGCTAGTGGCTTGATTCTGGATCTTGCCTACAGGTTACTACAGGTTACATCTGACACGCCGAATCAGGTCGTATTTTCGAGGCGTCTTTACTTGGGTCCCACTGAAGACACTGACACTGGTCAGGTAGCTCATAGGACACTCCATCGTGCTTCGTATTTGTACTCCGTACTCCGGGGTCTGGTTCTGGCACGCCTGAGTATAGTGCGTGATCATCTTGGCACCCCATTGTGGTCTGCCAAGGACATGCAAAAAAAGAAAAGGCGGCTATTGTGCATCAAGTTGAAAGAAACTGTAAACCTGCAGCCTGACATGGATTGTAATAAAAATAGAGACCATGGCGGCTTCGAGGCAGTTTGAAACACCATGGGCGACAATTCGATCGACATGAGTAGCCGACAATCCAGCCCTGTCAGATGAACTGGGGCTCCGCCCACTGCCGGCGCTCCGCAGTGATCCTCGGAGATGTATGCCGACGTGATTGGTGCAGGGGGTTTGGCTTGCCGCCATGACCGGGATGAGCTTCCGTGAGGGAAAAAAAAAGAGTGTGAAAAGCACACCCTAGGGTTGCAGATGACCGAGATCGAGATCCATGATCTCACCGTTGTCGATCTTGATGCAAACGGAAGAAGCCGTGACGGGAGGCTTGTCGACGGTGGCTGGTGAACAGTGGCTGTGAGCAGTGGCGGACAAATCACGTGGGTCGGAGTTTCCCGTGATGCCTGAGGCCTCAACGTCACGTCCAATCTATACTCGGCAAACAGTTGACTGAGCTCCATTGAACCCCACAGATCCTACCCTGTAACAGACTCGTCAAATCTCACCAATTGAACCCAAACAACACCCTCAACTTCAATGACAACACCAGATATGGCAGCAGTACCGGCGCGGGCCTCCGCCCTCCTCGCAAACCTGACAGCGGTAACCGCGCGCATCAGCACAGCAACTCTGCAGGCCCCAACGCCCAAACCAGTGCGACTGGTCGCCGTCTCCAAACTCAAGCCCGCCAGCGACGCACTCGCCCTCCACCAACCACCAGCCTCACAACTGCACTTCGGCGAAAACTACCTCCAAGAACTCCTAGAGAAATCTCGCCTCCTGCCCGCCACCATCAAATGGCATTTCATTGGTGGACTCCAAAGCAACAAGTGCGTAACACTTGCCCGGGATGTGCGCGGACTCTGGGCCGTGGAAAGCGTGGACACCCAGAAAAAAGCCAAACTCCTGGACAAAGGCTGGGGCGAGCGAAGCGAGGACGTGAAAGCGCACGCCGAAGACGGGGACAAGCTCCGCATCTACGTGCAGGTGAATACGTCCGGGGAGGCAAACAAGGCTGGAATTGAGCCCGAGGCAGCGGCGGGATTGTGTCGGTATATTCGGGATGAGTGTCCTCGGTTGCAGTTGCAGGGTGTTATGACGATTGGGGCGATTGCGCGGTCGAGGGATACAACGGCGGAGAATGTGAATGAGGACTTTGTCTGTTTGCGGGAGACGAGGGATCGGGTGGTGGGGGAGTTGGGGTTGGAGGGGCTGGAGTTGAGTATGGGGATGAGTTCGGATTATGAGGGGGCTATTGCTTTGGGGAGTGACCAGGTTCGGGTTGGGACTACGATCTTTGGAGATAGACCGCCTAAGGCAGAGGCTGTTGTTTGAATGTTTGGGGGTAATGAGTTATGACTTTGCATTGGGGAGAGTAAATACTTTTTTTTTGTTTGAGACGGGATATACAACGAGAGTTACCGAGTTGATCTACGATCACTCATTGGCAACCTCGCAAAAATTAGATGCTTGGAGAATCTCCCTCATTGATACTTGATGCTAATCTCAAGCCCTGGAGGGCTTCAAGTACAAATTCACTTGTGTACAACCATGGGATAGGTGAATGAAGTGAGGTGAAGGATTTCTCACACCTCAATCCATGTGCCATCGATGGCCCTGGAGTCCTGGAGATATATCCAACTTCATTTAGAGCAACTTCCTAAAGCCCCTCCACAGACCCTTGGAGGTAAAGATACCCTTAGGGTCTACTGCCTTTTGGATTTGCTTCAATCTTTGCATATTCTCTTCGCCATATCCAGGGAAAACCTCATCGGTCTGTGCCTTCGACGCATAGTTGATATAACGGTATCGGTCTGCAACCCCCAGTTTCTCAGCAACTGCATTGACCCTTCGGGCAGTATTTTCTGTCATTCTGTTGACAGCAGCATCGCCACTGGCATCGTTCCAAGCCGTGGAAAGTAGTATAACTCCAAATCATCAGCATTCCACAGTATTGATCTGGTTGGAGCTTGTTACTCACGGAAAAGAGGTCCATCTGTATCAATGCCCAGAGCATTACCACCTCTCTGCTTCATAGCAGTGATGGCATTCTTCTGAATGGGATAGCAAATGAAGTTTGGAGTAAGGCCTTCAACAGACTTGATCTTTCTCGCTTCCTCGCTGAAGATACGGAGAGCTTCTGTGAGAAAGGGGCGGGACGGCCGCACGCTGAGCGTAGCGAACAAGTTTCTGGATACAAATCAACACGGAGTGTATATGAACCAGTACCAATATCAATTTACCTAGTAACACCCATAGGCTCAGGGCTACCCGTCATATTGCCCAATGTGGCAATTCCAGGAGACCTTGTCAACGTGGGGATCTCGTCAATCCTGCTGAAAACAGGCGGGTTCATAATCGGCTTTGCATAGCGCTGGTTGCCTCTCAATGAGAATTGGTCGGTTTCGGCACTGTAGCCATAGTACATGTCGTATGCCATGTCAACATCACTTGCAAGGTCACCAGCCCAAAGATCGTAGACTTGGTCGAGGACTTGCTCGGTTTGATTGTCGGCATAGCTTGTCGCAGCAGTGAAGACAGGACCTTGGGTGAAAGTGCGAACAGTGAATGCAGTCACAATGCCGAAATTGTTACCCCCACCCCGGAGCGCAAAGTAGAGGTCAGGATGGTCGTTTTCGGTGACAGTTGAGATGGTGCCATTAGCAAGAACAACATGCGATTAGATCAGTTATGAGCCAAAACAGATTCAAAGTCAAGGGACGTACTTCGTACTCGAAGACATTATCAAGAGCCAAGCCGTACTTGTTGGAGAAAGGCGACGTTCCTCCTCCCAGAGTAAATCCACCGACTCCGACGCCGCCAACTCGTCCGCCGACAAAGGAGAGACCGTGGGAATCTAGATCACAGTACACTTTCGCAGTAGTTGCACCGCCACCTATGCGCGCTGTGTTGCCATTTGTCGAGACCTCGACGGTATTCATGCGGTCCAGGTCAATTGTGACACCGGCCACAGAGTTCGAGTCATCGCGATGTCTTGAATGGCCACCCCCCTTGACGGCAAAGTTGCACCAGTGCTCAACGAGGATTTTCAGGACGCGTGACACATCACTTGCACTAGAGGTCTCAACACGACAAGCCGGGCGAACCTCATTCTGCTTAGCATCCCAAATGGTGAAGTTTTGATCGTTGTCGGGGTAGTGGAAATCAGATCCGAAGGTGGTGGACAGTTGGGCGCACTTAGGCGAGTGTTATCATAGAAGAAACTGGAAGAGGCTCAAGAGGCACTTACTGCTTTTTGACAGCCCACACAGACAGCTTCACTCAATTGACTGCCCTGTTCTTTGATGCTCGCTGCATTGCTAAAAGCAAGTAGAGAGCCCACGAGCAAGATTTTGCGTAGCATCATTGATCTAGTAAGTAGGAAACCAACACAGAATTGTAGATAATGAGATCATTGGTATCTCTATCCTGGAATTGGGAGCTAGTAAGCTATATAGCCCTGGGAACATTCGCCAAGTGACGCAGAGAGGAAGATATTCACCCTTAATCCCTTTTTCGAACGAGCCAAGTGAGGCCATGCAAGACCATGACGCATTTCGGATGCAGGTCCGCAGTAACTCCGCAATCGAAAACCCCATGGCTACAGGGGAAGATCATCATACCCGTCGGCCGATGCGGGATCCATGTATGAGCGTCGGTAGACCTTCTACAGTTGATTAGCAATGTCGGTTATTCTTCGGAACACGACTAGCCAGATTCACATGGGGCTCTCAAGTATTACCAAATGAAGATTGGGTAGATGCAAGGAGCCTATTCTTTCTACTCATCGGTTACATTCCCCAGGGAGAGCTTTAGTATACATGCAGCCGAGGTATCGTCTAGGAACTATGTGAAATGCCAAATGTTAGAAGAGAGCAGAAACAAAGCTTGAAGTGCGTAATAAGTGTAGACACGAAAGCATTGATGTGGATGTCTTGGAAGTTACCTCACTCGATGCTATGTGGGAAGCAATCAAACCCTCCTAGACTTGATTGATCCTAATGAATTCGGAAACACTCAACGAACACCGTACGAGTATAATATGCTACTTTTTAGGCTACCAGATATTTTTCAAGATAGCGAAATAGCAAATGTCATCACAAGGGCCCTTGGCGAAAAGTGGAAAGGATTTGAGCTATGCGATCTTTTCGGCCGATGTATGAAGGCCCATAAATCCATGAAATGGTTTCCAGCGCACTTACTATTGGCCAGTTGGTTATGGGTCATCGGCCGACGTGAACTTGGCGCGATCTTGGCTATCCAAGGCCTTGAATTGGTAGAACGGTAAATGTACTTATGTTTGCTGATTATGCTTTTGCAAATTCTGAGATTTGGAAAATAAAACACAATTAAAAACAGGGTTATAAAGCTCTTCGCCGATGTCCGTTGACCACGAAGGACACAACAACCCAAAACAGCGCCATGTACCTCCCATGGTTTTTGAGCATCATTTTATTTGTACGGCAATCGTGTGCCCTTGTTGCTGCAGTCCAAGTTCCCTTGCGAGATATACTCTCGACCGAAGTACCCCTGCCGACGGTGGATGAATCAGGCCACTCCACATTTACTAGAATGCCAGCATTATCGAGATGCTCCCTACAACTATTCGATCTCAAAAAAGCCGACTTTAACACAATATTTGATGGATTTCATGGTTCTGATGCCAACATTTTTCTGACCATTTGCTCTGATGAGGGTAAACGGATACCTTGGCAGAGGAACGATCGATTTGGTCCATCATATCTGGACCGTGTGGCCGAACAATGTTGCTCGGATACTATAAACGGGGAAGGAAATGGGTTCCTAATGGATTTTGAGAAAGATTCTGCAGATATTCCCTTTTGGAAACTCTTTTTTGTTTCCGCTGGCATGTTTTGTATATTGTTCTTTTTCATGTTTGCGTACAAGCGCAACAGAGCAGAAACCAATTGGACATGAATAAAGCAATAAACATGTTGGCAATGGCAAACTTGATTCCTTTACTATTTGACCCTCGCTTCATATCTATACAAAAGCCATAGACGATATTTTCTCATGGATTCATCATGTGTTCAAGCTACGCCTTTGGAATGAGCAATAAAGAAGTCAATCAATGTTTCCAGGGCTTGCTGGGCGTTCCAACGAGGACATAAATGTACCAAGCCAACCTTTTCCTGCCTATTTTGCATGAGAGACCCAGAACTATATGCGATCGAAATAATTGGCACATAAAGATGAAATGAGAACTTCAAGATAAAAAACATTTGAAGCTTAACTTTAGAAGGATGACTAATATTCAATGTTCCGCCAAGTCGCGCATCGGCATCGGCATCGAAGCGCTCCCAAGGACTATTCTGACCTCCAATCGACTTATGGAAATCCATGATCACCATGCCTATCTCGGCCAACAATCGCAAACGGCCGGTAACGGCATGCACGGAATGCCGTCGTAGGAAGCAGAAGGTGCCTAGCAATTCAATATGTATCGGGGTATATGCTAACCTAACAGTGCGACCGCTTGAGACCATGCAACATATGCACTGCCAGAGACGTTCCAGGGAAATGCACATATGATCATTCAGAAAGGCAGGTCAACCTAATCACACCATACAGCCTTCTAAACTTTCTCCCGTTATATGGAAATCACGTTAACTCCAATAAAGCCCCAATGAAGCATCCCTCAGAGCGGAGCTACCATCCCCACAAAGCTCCTCAACGGCGGCGAATGATCATTCTTCAAACTCCACTACGGAGCAATCACTCCAAGATCAAATTGGATATGCTCGACCTGGTGGTGGAAACTCCCTGTCAGAGTTGTATGAAGTCAGTCAGGACCCTCTCCGGCTATCAATCACAACTGACGCAAATGGAACAGCTTATGGGCACGAGTCCGGAGCACCAGGATTCCAATTCCACACAATTAAAGCCTATGCATCCGCCAACACTGCGACTCTTTTTGGATCTTTGTGCAAGATTGCCACAGGAAGCAGTCACGAGAGAGCTGATTGAGACCTTCTTTTCGGAGGCGAATTGGTATTTCGCTGTGCTGGAAAAGCATTATTTTGAGAAGCTTTACACCTCCTGGTCTGCTCTTAGCAGTCATCTCATGGCAGGTGGGCAACCTGGAGGATTGCCACCCGATCTTCTCCATTTTCCGGCATTGATATTCCAGGTCCTTGCTGTTGCTTTGCAATTTTCCCCGCTAGACTTGCCTTGTCTTCAGTCTTTAGGGGTTGACGATTTTGCTTCGCGTGACCGTTTATCAGGAGATTTCTCAGAGAGGGGGGTGGCAATTCGTCGCATTATAGAAACAAATGAGCCTACGTTGACTACTGTGCAATGTGATTTGATGAGGGCATTATGGCTCAAGAACACGAGTCGAGGGAGAGAAGCATGGCACGTATTGGGTGCTGGAATCAGGTGAGCTTCATCAGACATCCACAGAGACTTAAGTACACAATCTAACATGTTTAACAGAATGGCCCAAGAGTTGGGACTTCACAAACAATCCAAAATCTTCCAGAATCCACAATCCCCATTGGAAGATACACTCAGCCAGTTATGGTATGACGAGTATAAACGCAGGCTATGGATCAAATTATATTCTTGGGACAGGTAAGGCACTCCTTATAGTCCAACTGCTTCTGCTAACAGAACAAGCCATATGGCATTCTCTCTGGGCTGGCCCCGAACCATCAACAGCAGTGACTGCACAATCGTCCCTCCACTAGACCGCGACATACCAGCAGATCCATCAACAACAGTACCAATGGCCCTATTTCCACATGAACCGCCCTCATCTTTCACACCCCATCTCTTCCAATACACAGTCTGTCAACAGATCCACGAAGCCATGTCCCTAGGCGCCCACAGACAACACCCCGAGAATTACACCTTAGTCGAAACTCTCCACCACCGCATCCTCTCATTACTGAGTGCCCTACCACCAGTCCACAGACCAGTAAACCCCGACAGATCCTGGGACCTAACCCACATCTACATTCCCAAACAGCGCCAACAAATAGCAACAGCAGCCCACTCATTCCTAATGGCCCTCCACAGACCGCATTCGAAAATCCGTATTGCAAGTCGCAACGCAGCCATCGAAGCAGCACTAAGCACACTGGACGCACAGGAAATCCTATCCGATCTCATGGCAACACGATATTACAGTATCTACGCACTATCCGTGTACACCGTCGAAGCCGCGATTTTTCTCTCCGTCACTATTCTGGAACATCCGCCCTCGGATCCAGTCATGGTCCATCGAATCCAACGCACGTTAGAAAAAGCCATATATCGTCTCGAACTGGCACAGGATAGGGTTTCTCTGGCGAAGTCGGGATTGCATGTTTTGAAAATGTGCTATTCGAGAATGCAGCCTCTGCAGGTGCAGGGTATGCATGGGATTGCAGCTCGACCTTCGGGACTGGTTGGTATTTCTGGAGATCCGGTTGGTACTGCACTAAGCAATGAGTCGGTTATGGGATCTCATATTCCTGAATTTGGGACTGGTGTCGACAATGCGGTTATGTTTGATGATATTACCGTGTCGAATTTTGATATCGAGTCTTGGGTGCAGCAGATGAATGAAATGAATGGCCTGCTTTGATTGATTAGAATTGGAAATAGCTGGCCAGAGGCTGTTACACAATTGATCGAAGTTCAACTGGACTGCTGCCAGCGGCGGCACCGGAAACTATGGCGGAACGCGGGAGGTTGTATTCTATGTTATTGCGCTCAGGTATAGAGAGGACAAATGTACAAAGCAGAGATCACTTGACTTAGCCCGACCCAGCACAATTTCAAGGTAAACGAATGACAACTTTGTGCTCCAGATGGTCACTGTAGCGGCGGTAGTATTCCGAGGCCTGCTCAATATCAATGACAGAGCTAACCACAAAACTAGGAGTAGCTCGGTCATTGGCAACAAGATCAATCAGAGAATGCGCATGTTCCAGCGGCAAAACAATCCCACTTCCCACGGTAACAGCCTTACTCCAAAGCTCGAAGACAGAAATGGGTACTTCGGCAGGAACAGTCGCAGCATTAGCAGCGCCCCGGGTATTATTCTGACCACCAGTATAAATACCTGCGATAGCAATACCCCCCTGCTGAGCAACAATAGAGAGAAGATTGCGAGGGACCAGACCATCGTCACGATGGCCGGTGGCGTTGACGGACTTGAATCCAACACAGTCCAAGGCTCTGGTGACGCCATTCTGCTCCTGGGCCATGATTTGTTGGACTGGCTCTAAGGCATTGAATTGGATGGGAATTGCCCCGATGGACTCTGCTAGTGCCAAGCGGTCTGGCACTTGATCTACCGAGTAGACGTGTGAAGCACCACGGAGAAGGGCCGAGTATGCGGCTACTTTGTTCCTGAGCCACTGAGCGGATGTTGCGTGGGTATCTGTAGAACTCGAATGATAGGCATAACAGATATTACGGGAGGTCATGGTACGCATCGAATGGCAAGAGCTCACTGGGCAGAGGGTGGTTCATAGCCGCTGAATAAAGGAGACTGATAACTTCGACCAGATCCTTCAGTTCCTTGAGATCTGATTTGCTCAACTCAAGAACAGGCTGTTAGTGGACCTTCGGTGTGAAAAGTAATTGATGGCTATATCTATAGATATAGGGAGGCGCCTACAACGAACCATGCATAGGTCTTGACGCTACTCTAAATCTGGTCCGAAAAGTGGCACGCTGTATCTAATCATGAATGGATGATTAACCATAACCTATCAATCCTGAAGTGCAAAAAGAATGAATTCGCACACATACATATTATGAACCGAAAATATAACGTGCAGGTAGAATTTGGGAAAGGTACGGCCATATTTTAACCCTCCAGCGCCATACCTTGTTTAAGCTTTGAATTCTGCTGAGCACTAGATGGAGGGCCCTTTGCTTTCTCAAGAAACAAACTGTCCGCAGCTTCAAAAGGATGATAAACGTTTCGGCAAGGACCCGGAACTTGAGGTTGAATGGGTTCCAGTAGCTCGGCAGCCTGGAGCATTTTCTCATCTCGTTGCACATTCGCAGACCTCTGATACCTCCTTTGAATCACACTAGGTGCATCTCGAGCATAGCGCCTTAGTGCTGCCACTGTAGTTCTAAACCCTTGATCAGCTGGACTGTGGAATTTGCACATTCCTTGATGATCTGCGCCGATGCCGCATCTTTCGGTATTGTCGAGCATTGGTGCTGCACTTGTTTCTTCCACGATATAGTCTCTTTTGTATTTGAAATTAGTCTTTTCCTGCTCCCAGAAAAAGAAAATGCGGAAGTTCGGCATCAGAGGGGCAAATTGATCGGTGATATTCTGTAGTATCTCGGATTCTTTTTCAAGTGCGTTGACCAGTCCCGATTCAAACTCCATGGCAGACTTTGGCACCGCAAGGGATGCGAGCTTTTGCAGACTACCAAAAAGATTGGCTTTGCTAGATCCATGATGTGGGGTGCCGAAAAAAAGGATAGCAAATGTACAGGTGTAAATTGAGTAGATATGTGTGAGCCTAGGGCGACTCTCTGCATAAGCCAAGGCCTGTTCATGGTCAGCGGATAACATATTCTGGTACTTAGGTATCAACAATGGTAGTATGGATTCATGAATCGCTCACTCCTTTGACAATTATACCACCGAGAGAATGGCATAAGAATATGATGGGTCTTTCAGCTGCATCTTCAAGCTAATATCGTTAGTAACCTTCCATTTGATAGACCCATGAAGTATATTCCTACATCCCTATCAGCTTCAAGTTGGGAGACCATTGTCTGTGCGTGTTGTAAAACCCTGTCCGAGCTGGGTGCCTCCCCATTCCAGGACGAGATGCTCGCGTTATAGCCCCATACTAAAACACGGGCGCGTGGGACATATTTCGGCAGGAAAGCTGAATTACTCAACCAGCATATGCCCTGCGGCTTGGATGTCCATGTCTCCGTTGCGTGACCATTGAGACCATGAACAGCAACTATGCTGTTGCGATGTTAATAGGGCTCAACACTGACAGGTTATCGAAAACCCACTCAATTTCAACTAAATCATCAACCGGACGGTATAGCTCTCGAATTCCGTAAATTTGTGGAGTGGCTACCATTTTTTGCTAATTGATGCAGAGTCAAAGAAGTCTGGATGTAAATAATGGGAAGAATGGGAAGAATGTATGCTTTGGAAATGTCGATTAACTAGGATTTGTGTGCTTTTATGTTATTCTCTTTCTTATTCGCACTGCGATCTGCAGGTCCGATCGACTCTCTTTCTAAAGTTGGTTCTTTGTTACTCTTGGCTAGACCCCCTTGGTCTATATCCAGGGGCAGATCTATCTAATTGACAAGTGATTAGGAGTCCCTGGATTTTTCTCAACCAGTCATACCACCTGGCATAGGTCATCTTGAAACTGCTGAATATTAAAAGCAAGGATTTGTCTTTGGCCAACTAATTTGGGCCTGGGGTCACTAAAAACAGTGTTTGAGACACAACCAAATAGAACAAAATAGTGAAACAGGTTTCGATCTGCCCTGTATTGGATCCGATGCCCTTTCCTACCTTTTCAGAATCTCCACTTTGCATCCTTCAGCGCTCGATAGGACCAGTGTCAGTCGCTGCTTTTCGCTTCCAACTGGTTCATTTAGCTCCCCTTTGGGTAACGTGATGTGTGAAAATGTTTGCAGCATCCTCACGATCGTGTAAGAAACCTCCATTTGGGCGAAGTCTTCCCCTAAACATTGGCGGGGCCCACCACTGAAAGGAAAGAAGCCCCAGCCAATATTGGCAAGTTCGCCGCTCTCCCAACGCTCAGGGCGGAATTCATATGCATCATGGCCGTAGATGTTTTTTTTCCTTGAATTCACATACTGTGAAAAAACAACCAGTTCACCTTTTCTTACCAACATGGGCTTATCTCCTTCTGGGCCACCGCCAGTTGGTAGAATAGTGGTCCGCGCCGCCTCGCGATTATTTAACGGGACGGGAGGATACAAACGAAGACCTATGAAATTATCAATGTTTCGCCCCGTAAGCCCGTAACACTTTGTTGAAGAACTCACTTTCTTTGACGACACAAGCAAGGTATGGCATCTTTCTGATTTGCTCTCTACTCGGTGTAGGATCACTTTGCATGACAGAAGCGATCTCTCGTCGCAGACGTTCCATTACATTCGAGTGACGGACAAGTAGTCGACTAAATATCGAAGCAAAGTCAGCACTCAACAGGAAGCCAAATTATGCTATGTGATACATACAATGTCCAAGATAAGCAGCATGCCGTTGTATCCCGGCCAGCAAGCAAAACATTCAGAAGTTGATCACGGAGCTCTTTCATGTCTTGAGACTCCTCAGAAACTTGCTTAATGAAACCATATTGTTTCTTGTCGTGACTTTCCACATTTTCTAAATTCAACCCCTTAATGTAACCCTCGACAAAGCGGTGAACGTTAGCACAGGCTTTTCGGAAGGCTGGAGGGTTGTAGAGAAATTGCCAGGGTGCTATACGAAAGCGTTTGGCAAGACCTTCTTGTGCAATATTGAAGCTTTCTGCGAAGATTTTGTTCTCTTTATCTTGGTCGATGCCAGCCCTCAAAGCGTAGACTGGTCTACCGAAAAGGAGAGCTGTCGCGGTATCCAAGGTCATATCCAAAAAAAAGGGGTTGCAAATCAACTACTCCGCTTGAGGGCAAACGATGAATCAGGTTGTCGACATGCTCATGGAAGTGGTCAAAGTTCTGGGACTGGACACGAATGAACTGTTTCCGCAGAAGTTCTCGTGAATGCTTCCATGCAGCGCCCTCCTGGGTAAAAATTCCGTTTCCCAGCAAAGGTGCAAAGATTTTAGGTCGAGCGCCAAAGCCGTAATCTGGTGAACAATATAGTAAGTAACCACCTCTGCTTGTTGCCAAACAGTTACTACGGATAATCACCTTTGAAATTTGTGGATAAAATAGCTTCCACATTCGCAGGATGCAACACATGAAAAGCCCTCGGTCCAAACAACAGATATTGGGTCAGATTGTTCTGAGGCTCGTAGTCTTCGGCTACTTTGCACAGATATTCAAGAAGTCGACCTTCTGCGTTTGTCTCCCAGAGGTCCTTGATGCGATCAATTCCAAGTGGCCATTTCTTGGGAAGCTCGGGCGGTAACTCGCAGCCATGTTGAGCCCCCAGGGTAGAATTGTTCTGGTTTATCATGAGCTAGTGAACTCCTGCAAGTCAATCGGTCACTTACGCGGTGGTTCTTGATTTTTGAAAACGAAAGATAGCATAGCCGACCGAGAATGAGGATGAAGACAGTCCAAATCAGAGTGTTCAAGGTCATTATGTTGCAAAAGGGAATATTGGGTTGACAATAATTGTTTTGATACCTTTCGGATCTTTCGGTGGAGCTGGGCAAGATGTTCCTTTATATTTGTAGGCGCTCGCGTCTTTTTCGTCCATTGGTCGATGCGCATTCCTGCACTAGTGGAGGCACTAATGTATGAGTATTCAACCCCTTTGTGTAAGCACGGCGGCGGTTGAATTGGCGGAACGCCAATTCGACCGCCCGAGGATCTCGCTATTTGTCAGGGTGCGGAGCGGGTTCAGGTTCCCATTAGGTGAGGAGCTAACACAGACGGACAGACAGACAGACAGGATCAGGAACAGTGTGGATTAAATACAGGAACGGAGGTGGACAGTTGGGTAGAATCTTACTTGATAGTTGAAGGGTACTGCGGCTTCACATTGTGATACTATCTTCCTCTTTAGGATCAAGCTTTGTTGAGATCTAAAAAGAATATAGCTGGGGTTTATCAATTTATCCCCCTTCTTAGTGGAGGCATGTCCTCATGCCCTAATCTGCCATCCTCTATGTACCCTCCTTCTAAAGTTCCCTAAAGGCAATTGCTATGATCAATTGTCTAGCTCATTATATACCTTCCCGGGCCTTATAATGGAACAGGGATCATATTTCGATAGACCTATATATCCAATGTATACGAAGCGGAATGTAACTAGCTACCAGATATAAGCGATATAATATCTAATATACCGTTGGCCTCTAAGATACCCTAAGATAATCCTGTAAACTTGACGAAGGTAATGTGTTCGACTTCTAAAGTTTGGTTCCCGCCAAGCAGTATTCTTTATTGTGTCCATTTAATAGATATCCGGCTATACCCTGACCCAGATTGAATGTACAATTAGTACTTAAGTAGACCCTAAAGTCTTATCATAATATGAGAACCGCTATACCCAGGCATATAGAGAATTATACTATTTGGCCAAAAGACCTAATACAAGGGACTTGGAGACCTCTGGTCCCCAGATAGCAGGGCCCTAGGGAGGGGGCATTTGAACTTTGCGGAGCGTAGCGCTTGGTGCACCTTCCTTTTCCTTCAGTGTTTTGGGGCATATGATTGGTCAGAACGTGGATTGTGGCCGAATCGGGACTAGTGGGCAGCAACATCATTCTGCCATTTCCTACTGGCTACATCTCAAAAGCTGAAATTCTGTAAGTATTCGTTCTTGTTCGTGTAAGTAGGGAATACATATACAGATCACGTGATCAGGGGTTACTGTGAAATAATTGCTCCACTTCGCTCCGCAATCAATGGTCTCTAGCCTTGGAGATGGCCTGCTCTGTAGGACTATGTGATGAATTGATTTGGATTCTAGCTTCTTCTACTGACTTATAGTCCTTCCCAATGTAGTGACGTCATCGGGATGTCCTATGCCTTCAGAGATATCTATAGATCTTCTGATTTATGGAGTTGGGAGCTATCTCTCTAACAAGCGGCGAAAGACTCAAAATCAGTTCGACAGAAATCCCTTAGGCCGAACACTTATATTTGCCAAGAGGTGCGAATCCACTCATCGGCCGATGGCTTTCTCCCTTTTTGATTTGCGACTCGACAGTATAAGATCCACCGCGGCATCGGCCGAACTTCTGCCAAAGCTTCGGATCAGTGGCGAAGTACTGGGTAATTTCACGGCGATAATGACGGAGCTAAGGGTTAATAATCTCAGAGCCATTCCAAGGATGAAATCCACTGCGAAGCTATCTCCGGCAGTTCGCTAAGTTTTTGCTACTTAAAGGGCCCGTAATGGACATTATCTGTAAATCACCTTCAATTCATCCTTATTCGATCACCTTATAGCTTGTACGTATACCCAAGTACACCCATCTCTAACTCCAGATCTATAAAGGGAGATCACGCTGACATTACCCTAGACTCTAAAATCCCCAAAATGGTCAAGACCCTTCCCTTCGGCGACCAACAGGTCCCTGTCCCCGGCTTTGGCGCAATGGGCCTCAATGCGTCCATGGGCACGAACTTCGACCTCGATCAGTCCGAGCCAGTCCTTCTGAAAGCAACCGAGCTCGGCTGTGTATTCTGGGATACAGCAGTAAGCCAAATTCCCAAGCACATCACGACATCTCTAATTCATTTCGTGGTGCAGGTTGCCTACAAAGCCGGCGAAAACGAAAAACTACTGGGAGAATTCATCAAGAAGCACAACGTCCGTGACAAGCTTTTCGGTAAGCACACTCACATCCATCTCTACCTAAGTTCACTACCTCATACTTAAGTATCACAGTGGCCTCTAAGTGCGGATTCGACGTCTTCGGTCCCCAGCGTATAGTAACCAACTCAGCCACCCACATCAAGTCATATATCGAAGGAACAATCGACAGACTCGGCTTCACGCCTGATCTGTACTATCTTCACCGAATCGATCCAAGTACGTACCCTATAAAAAATCCAGAGACAGCATCTAACTCCACAGACACACCACTGGAAGAATCCATCAGCGCCCTGGACGAACTCCGCCGCACCGGGAAAACAAAGTACATCGGCTTGTCTGAATGCTCTGCTGCAACATTGCGCAAGGCACATGCGAGTGCGTATCGTCACATCTGGCTGTGGAGAGTGCTAATACATGGATAGTTGCGAAGATCGATGCCGTGCAGGCTGAGTACTCTGCTTTTGAGACATTGCATGAGAGGAGTGGGTTGATTGAAACGGCTAAGGAGTTGGGTGTGGCTTTTGTGGCTTTTAGTCCGCTCGGTCATGGATGGCTTGTCGATGATTTCCAGTACAAGAGTCCTGATGAATTTGCGGTTGATGATTTCAGACGAACTGGTATGTTTCTTGATTCTGAAGAGCCAAGGTTGTTGTGGTCCGACTGATCATTTTGAAAGTTCCGAAATTCCAAGGCGAGAACTTTTACAAGAACAAGGCTATTGTGGATGAGATTAAGAAACTAGCCACCAAGAAGGATTGCTCGGTTGCTCAGATTGCTTTGGCCTGGGTTGCTGCGCAGGGATTGATTACTATTCCTGGGACGACTAGGGCTTCGCGGTTGGAGGAGAATTGGGCATCGCGGGATATTGAACTCTCAGAGGAAGAGCTTGTGGAGATGAGGAAGATTGTTGATGCTGCGAAGCCAGTTGGAGAGAGATTTGCTCCTATTTTTGAGTCGATGGTTGGTCATTAGATGGTTTTTTTTTTTTTGTGACTGTACTGTTTCTCTAGACCTTGGAATATTGGAATACAGTCTCGGACTACGCTTTAAGTCTTGAATGTAGTATAAAAGATTCGAATGTGGAATGCTCGGTATTCGGCATCCAATTAGAGATGTACATAAAATGCAGGCTACTCGTCTGCTCGCATGCCCTGCGCCAGTTTCTGCTCCATCTGTCTCACCAGTGCCTGTGGGACGTTTTCTTGAGTCGCCCGGATAGTAACACGGTACATCTAGAAATTGTGAGCAAACCAAGATCGAAGAATAGAAGGGGGCGTAAATACATACCGACTTCTCATAGTTAGGTTCCAGTCGAAGCAGACAACCAGTCTTACCACCCTCGAATTGGAACACGGCACAGCCAACGAGGTTGTGGGCGTTTGGATCCACGCCCTCCAGAATCTTGAATGCGAAGCCTTCGACGATTCTGCGCGTGAAGCTGTCGTTCATGGTCTTGTTCTTACCAGACAATCCGAAGGTCTTCTGTGCCTCCAGTGGCTCGCCGCCGATCTGGCGCCAGCGCTTGAAGAATTCTTCTGCCGAGAGCGCCGATGATTCCATGTATCGGTGCATCAGGACGGGGAGCTGCAGTGTATAGGCCTGCAGGGCACCCGCCAGGTAAGAGATACGGATGGTGGGAGCGTTGAGGAAGGGCCCGTGGGCGGTGCAGAAGAGAGTCAGCTGCGTTTGTCCAGAAGCGGGAACTGTTGAATCGGGCAAGTTCTTGGTGTCGATCTTGAGCTGGGGGGAGGCTGGGTTGTCGACTGTGGTTGTGAGGGATCCGATCGGGTAGGTGGACTTGTTTGTGATGTATAGCTTGACGACACCCATGGGACCACGGTACTCTGAGCGCAGTCCGACTTGGATCTGTGCGTCTTCGAAGAGCACGCCTTCGCGTGTGAAGAAGAGACGGTTGTATCCGATGTCCCATTCGGGGGTAAGATGAGCGGCACTGGCCATGTTGGGGGCTGGGCCGGAGGGCCCGCTGAAATCCAGACCGGCCAAGTCGCCTGATGCACTGGGTCCGTTGGAAGAAGGACTGGCGGGGGTATTCTGGGCACCGGTGCGCGTTCCCTGCACAATGGTTGTAAATGTGCGCTTGAGACCAGTGTTCTGGGCCAAGAGCATTTCTTGCTTGTCTGCATTGGCATCTTTGCCACCGATGACCCAGGTCTTCTTCTCGCTGGCACCGGCTGTCTTCTGGTGCAGTCGTGACAGTAAAATAGAGGCTCGTTCAGAAAATGGCGGCATCTCGTCGCAGACGGTTCGAAGCAAGTCGTCCGTGGGGAGTGTTGCTAGCGACAGGTACTCGAATGCTCGCTGCTGTAGTTCGGAATCGGGTGAGTGACTGTACAGGCGGAAGATTTGAAGCAGCTGAGGTTTGATTTCGGGGAACAAGTTGACGAATTTGATGAAGGAGGATAGAATCATCGCCCGTGCGTTGTCGGAACTGGAGAACATCTTGGCTTGCAGGGCGAGGAATTGCTCAATAGGAGAGGAACCCTGGCTTTCAGCAATAAGGTGGCCGAACTCGCCCAGAACATAGCATCCAATCTTCACCAAGCTTTCGTGACAATCTGTCTTCATATAGCCCAAAAGAGTGTGCGCTGCATACGCCTGCAATTCTTCGTTGTTGGTGACAATTTGGATCACTCGCTGCCACACTTCTTCATTAACGTGTTCACCAGCCAGTGACAGAAGTTTGAGAGTCATGTCGATGTACCACCCTGCATCGGCGGCGTATTTTTCTGTGAGAATAGCGACCTTCAGCACCATCTCTTCCCGGATGGCATAGTCGGCAGTTTGGAGATATCGGAGAAGCTCGTTGACAATCGGTCCAGCATTGCTCGTGTCACACATGCTGTAAAGAAGATCCAATCCCTTTCGTCGGACACTGATATCACGGTCTCTAAGGGAGCCCAGGATGATGTTCTGGTGCTTCTTGATGGGGTCCAGGGTTTCAGCGCGAGCGGCGAAATGAGTCAACGCGTCTAAGCCAAGGTATCGAACGTTGGTTTCGCGGGACTGGATATATTTGCCCAGGCGAGCGGAGATTTGCAGCATGAGAGTATGCTCAGAATCAAGATGGATGAGGAGGTTGATGGCTTCAAAGAGAATTGCGTTTTGAGCATTATTCTGCTGGACGTTCTTGGGTGTTTCCATTGCAGCTTGCATCATCTGAGAGAGCGACTCTCTGATGATCTCACGGACGTGGCTGTCCTCTGCCGATTGTGTTAGCAGTTGAATGGCAGATCATCTGGAGGGTCTGGGGTAAATACCTGATGGGGGATAGTATTGCAGCAAGCGCAAGAACTTGACCTGTATCCACGGACAGGGAACGCGGTAGTAGAGATAATCTGGGGCGACATCGTTCTCCACCACGATCCTCCTTAATCGCTGCGCGGCCTTGACGTAACAGCCCTTGTATTCCTCTGGCAGGTCCTGGGCAAGCGCCATAACCAATGAGGTCACGGACAGAGTAACACCCATGTCGGGGTCATCCATAATTGATATAATTCTCTCCGCCCATTCGTTTCGTACAATGCCGGGGTATTTGCGGTAGAGTCGCAGGAGGGTAAGAGCAGCCTTCTTCTTCACGAAAGCTTTGGAAGTACTGCCAATCATCAGCATGGAAATTAATATAGACCAAACGTCAATTCCAACTCACGGTGAGATCAAAAGCCTGTGGACCTCCGATCCTAACGCCTCGCCCAGCTCTTTACCACCGACATTAGCCACGGCATGCAGAGCCAAGCAATTGTTCAATTCATGATGATCAAGCAAGTCCTTTCGAATGCTGTTCACAACCAGGTGAAGCAGCTCATGCTCTTCATGCAAGAACAATGTGACCGCCAAGTAACCAATCTGCTTCTCCGAGTACTTGGAGGAGGAGATGAGATTCACAGCCTCGAGATGTCCAAAGTCCACATCATAGCCCTGAATATACACGTACAGCAACTTGCAGACGTATTTCTTCTTCTGATAACCATTCAGATTCCCCGACTTAAACTTCTGCCGAATATTGGCCAGCTCCTTATTGACGCGCTTCTCCTCAAGTTCCCTAGCGCGCGCGTTACGCAAATCAGCAATGAACTGAACCAAGCCTCGCATGGACGACATGGTGAAGATGTGAGATTGTTAGCCACGGAGGTGGTATGGCGGGGTTTCGATCGAGGCTCGCCCTCGCATGCCACGCGGGAATACTCAGGGGGGTTCGGATCGCGATCGCACGTCACACAACCATGTCCTGGCTATGTTGGTGATTGGGCTATGAGAAATTGGCGCAGCGAATGGACCAGATATGCGGGTGGACTCGATCGAGCTTGGAAAACAGGGGTTAAATGTTGGTATGGGTCCTATAGGAAGCTTGTCAGCAACGGGGTGGGCCGGAGGTATCGGATTGACCGTTGATCACATACAGATGCCACGCGCAGTCTAGCGATCCAAGGAGAAGAGACCAGGCAATACGCGAAGTCGGGATGAGTCCATCCCCGTTACTTGCCCGCTCCATCTTCCCTTTCCACTTCCGCTGTCGATCCCGGTTCCGCTGTGGCTGTGGCTGCGGTGGAATGATGATCCGGGTGGCTGGTATCAAACCATCTGCAACCTGACTACTCGTACGGATGAGATGAGACATATGTTCTAAAGCAAACATATTCCCTAAATTCGAGAGTGGGCATACAACTACAGCCAACATCCTTGATAGCCAACAAAAAAACCAGAACAACATGTAGAGGGAAAAAACGACAAAAAAAACGTGGACCCGCCGGGAATTGAACCCGGGACCCCCCGCATGCGAAGCGGGTATTATACCCCTAAACCACAGGCCCAACACGATGATGACTAAGGGCTTATAACGACTGACATGTCTGGTCTGTACTTACTCGAATGTATGTATTGATTTGCTATTTTAAGAATCAAGCTTTAAACAAAAAAGCAAGCATAAAGGTAAATGGGGACCTACTATAGACGGCTACACGGCTGGATTCCAATTGGCTCCAAGACCCAATTCAGACGCCAACACGGGATATTCCTACAAGATCTGATCTGATCTTGAAACGGAGATCTGGGGATTCAGATCGTTTACTTAGCTTGTACGGAGTAGTAGTACTCCTGAAGTCCATACTGAGCAAGATCTCAATTTCACTTCCAGGATATCACTCTACTCTCCATTCTCTACTCTTTACTCTCTACACTCTATACTCTACACTTTACTCCGTGCATACTTGAACATTCTATAGAATCTACTCCACACCAAAGTAAAAATCAAACTCAAGTTCAATTTCATATCTCATAGCGATATTAACCTCCATAATCAAAACCCAATGCCCCAACCCAGACGCCATCATCCATCAGATGCAAATGCAAATGCAAACAGGGCAAGCCCCAAAACAACAGTCACTGATTTAAGCACCGGTGAAATCAACCTCCAGAGCCGAGTCAATACCAGCAGCCTTCTCACAGGTACAAGAAGCCTCAGGGCGACTTCCACAGGGGCAAGCAGCGCCAGAGAACTGGTTCTCGGTGACAGAGCGCTCACAGGTGCACTGGCCAGCGGGACGGGAGCCTGGAAAAGCGTTAGTAAGGTTTGATATCAGATTTGATTTGGCTGGGCACGTACGGCATGAGCAGCGGGGACCGGAAGTGGCGTTCTCGGTGGAAGCTTTGGTGCAGCTGCAGTTTAGGGCGGATTGTTGGCCGCAGGAGCACTTGGCTTGGGCGGCGCAGACGCAGGTGCCATCTTGGGTGGTCTTGCAGCAGGTGGTGGTGGGGTGGACCATTTTGATGATTGGTTTTGGTTTTGGTTTTGGGGTTGAGATTGGGATTTGGAGTGAAGTTCTTTGAGTTGAGGATTAGAAGATTGGAAGATTGATCCGGAGTTATTGAGATGGGATTGTGTTTGAAGAAAAGAAGTTGGCTTCTATACGATTTTATTTATACTCTTCTGCATGCGTCAGAGGGTGATGGGTGATTAGGAATAGCTTGGCTGTGATTGGTTGATACAATGGTGGCACGTGACATTGAGGTCGATCTCGGATGACTCTGATTGGCTGGCGGCGATCCTGTGTCAATTCCAGGCCTGTGATTGGTCTGTCCATCGTGGCCTGACTTGAGGAAGGAGCAAAGCAGGGAAGTCGCTGACCTTTCACTGCGATTTCATTCGTTGAGCCGAATATGATTACTCGTACCACCATGTTCTATTGGTACCTGAATTAGATGGCATCGATGAGTTGGATTTACATGTACGAAGTATGCAAAGAGAAATTTGTTTGAGACGTAACGTCTATTGTCACACACCGATCTAAAGATCCGAACATGATGCTATATCGTGTTATCGTTTCACACCAAGGCTATGCGAGAGAAACAATTAACATTAAAGCTGTTTCCCCATGATTCCTAGATCAGACCCAAAGCAACGCAACAATTTGGAAAGGTGGAAAGATGAAAAGAGAAGAATGGAAAAAGAGAAGAATGAAAAAAGGGGGAAAGAAGAGAAGAATGGCGATACAAAATCAGACTCGGAATGTAGATGCAAAATGAACCCAGTATAGAAACAATGATAACACAAGAGAAGATCCCCCAAATGAACCTGAACCCAGAAACCAACAACCAAAACCGGAGAAAACAGAAAAAAAACAACGCTGAGATGATTAAAGATTAAAAAGCACGCTGATATTGCAGATTCATGGTTAACCCAGCTAACCAGTTAACCAGAAGGAGAGATGTGTGTCAAGCAGGGGAAGCATAGGGCAGAGCTGAAGACTGCATTCTTTTCTCTCTTTTCGTTTTTTTAAAGGCCCATATGCATTGCTTCCCTCACTGCTGAATGTAATTGGCGTAGTTGTAAGGCGGGTTGCCGAATTTGGCAGAGTCGGTGCCAAAGGAGGTTGGGAGACTCAGATTGGAGGGATTGGCTTGTGTATAGGGGATTGTGCCCATTGGGGCTGCGGTGGTATCGTAGGCGTACTGCCGGTAGTCTGGCGCTGCGGAAATGGGCAGATTCTGCATGGCCAGGGATCGGGCTTGGGGTAGTTGGGATGCCAATCCAAGGTTATAGTTTGGTTGTTGAGAGCCTGGGGGAAATGGGATGTTAGCTTGGTTTCTCAGTGAGGAAGCGCAGAACCAACCTAGAGTGTTCATATCGTAGGCCATATGAGAGTCCGTTGGTGAAACGGAGCCCTCGAAGGATTGATGCTGATCATATCCCATACCACCTGGGTGTCGGGGCACGGCATACTCCATTGGTCGACCCATATAAGGCATGCCTGGTTGGTTTGGGGCAAACCGATTAGGCATCCCGTACCCCGCGTACGGCGAAGGGTGGGCTGATGCATCGGATAGACTGCTTGATCTGGTAATTGAGTAATCGCTGCGTAGGCTTCGATGTAAATCGGAGGCGGAAGCAGATGCAGCAGGGCGGAACATCTGGCCCTGTCCGGACGACATGTAAGGACCCGAAGTTGCCGAGCTGAGGGGTGAAACGAGATATTCGTCTTCATTTGACCGAGGGAATCTTTCTGTGCGTAGTGTCCTCAATGCCCCAAAGTCCGGGTTCGGGGTTGTGTATCCTTGGGGGGAGGCCACTGGCGTGACACCCGTTGACTTGCCTTCAAACGGTGTGCGGAGGACTTTGGTGGTATCGAAATCGTCAGGAAGGGCCCGCGACTTGAGCATTCTCTCACGATCATTTGTAGTCAGACGCTTGAGCTTGGCTCGCCTGGGAGGATGGCCATGTTAGATAGGAACGGAAGATGCAATGCTTGAATAACCCTACCTGTTTTGGAACCAGACTTGGACCTGACGAGGTGTCAACCCAGGAATTTCCTTGGATAGACGCTCTCTATGAGCAGCATCAGGGTGTGCCTGGCGAGTGAACTCGCTCATCAAAAATCGGGTTTGGTTATGTGTTAGGCTGGTGGAGTGTCAGTAGGTACCACCCGATAGTTTGAACGATTCAATCACATACCGGAATCGTCTCATTTTCTTTTTTTCCATCGACGGCGATCTATTGTTATCGTCGCTTCCCATCATATCCTTGTCGTCATCGGGGCTAACTGTTGACTCGGGTCCATGATCGTCTCTCGGATCGTGGGAACCCGCAAAAGATGAAACACCCGTCTCTTCAGAGTGACCACCATGCCCGACCAGGGGCTGAGTAGTTGAAAAGACCCGCTGGTCTAAACTGGGAATCTGCAACTTGACGCGTGGCAACATATCTTGCTTCGCTGCCTCCAACCTGCGATTGACGGGATCCCGCGATGAGGTTTCGCTCGAAAACGGGCCCGACCCAGCTACAGAAGGTTGTGCTTTCCCGTGAGGCAAGTCGTCCTTCACCTTGTACTCCGTCGATTGCATCTCAGCAGACCGAGGAGTAGAAACAGGAACACCGGGCTCCTCTTTCTTCTGCACAGGCAGCCGGGGTGATATAGTCCGAGATCCCAAAGAGAATCGATCACTATTTCGGGCTGAGGACAGATGAGAAGAGACTGCTGACAGGGGCGAAGGGACTGGCGAAGATAGAGAGGGCAACCAAAGACAAGGCCCGCCGACTGACATGGTAAAGAAACCTTGTGACGTTCAAGTGTGCCCTATACTGGATTGCTTCAAAACCCAGTTACAGTTTTGAGCGATGGTCCCAGAAGAAGAAAGAACTTTGAACAGAAGCAAGGCGTCGAACTAAGCACAGCAATAGGAGTGATCCAAGCCCAAATGGGAATTAATAACGGTGTACTTCCCCCGAGATGAGACGTCTGTGGGTCTGATCGAAGTACCGAGGCGCGTAAAGAGAACAGGGTTGAACTTCTGCAATAAAACGGAGAAAAGGGTGAAGCAGCGTGTTCCAGACTTCAGATGTACTGAAGAGGGGGGGAAATAGGGCGCCAACACTGAGATGTGTCAGGTGAAGAAGAACCGGTGTGCCAGAGAAGATACCAAAGGGCCTAAACAACCTGTCAAGCGGGACAAGTGTGTTTTCTAGCCTTCTTTTTTTTTTCACTCTAATCTTTTTCACAGGGATTTTAGTCTCCTTTTGATTTCCCTTTGGATATCAAGATTGAATATCGAGTTTCGATGGACTTGAAGTAGGTCGAAGGATAGACTCAATAGAGTATCAGAGTACCAGTATCAGAATATAAGGATATAAGAATATAAGAATATAGTACCTGGAAGGTAATCCTTATAGGGAGAACGGTGATATTGCAATGAAAGGAGGCAAATGATGACCCAGGACGTATTAGCCCAAGCAAGGCAAACGGGCGAAGGAAGTGGAAATAGGTCGGGATATTAAACGGACGCCCGCAATACCCCCCAGGGTCCACAAGTATAGTCACAAGTAGGGCGCGGGAAATCCCTATGTCCTCGTATCTCTGTGTCTTTGGAAATTGCAGAGAAGAGTAGAAACGTGGTTGAAGGGTCAATTCGCAGTCGATCTTAACGGTCGTAACGGTCAAAACCAGAAAATGGACAAGATGGAAGATTGAGAATAGTTAAAGCAACCTTGGGAAAAAATTAAAATAATAATAATAACCAAAATCAACCAAGCTACGAAAGTGATGGGCCCTTTTTGGAGTGGGCCTGAGGGATACACTACGAGCATTGTAGACTTCCACAGATCATGGCCTCAGTGCACGAGTCCACCGATCCGCACCCGATCTATTTACTGAGTGAAGATCCCTCACCAAACGGACCATAGCGTCCTCGACTCCAGTGGTAAAACAGTAAAACATCAATTCGTATGGTATGGATACACGGATGCACTAGTAGTATCAGAAACTAAAAGGATCGCCTTCGGAGAATAAAATCGAAGCCACAGATCCATTGTCTTTGGGAATCATGCTCCATCGAAGCATGAAAATTGAGTCCACCTAGGCCGGGAAATGAAGAGAAAAGACACCTTTATGAAGAATCTCGGGGGGACCGAGAGCCGTGTCTAAAGGGACTCGGACTCCACGCTACAATAGGGCCACGGCCGAAAGATTTGCCCAGGACGCATCTGTGGCGAATACGTATGCCTGTCTGGCCAGGAAGACCATGTGGGAACCGTGTCAGTCCAGCTCAAGCTTAAGGCACTAAATTGCACAACCAAAGTATGGGTCCAGCGGGACTCTGAACAAAACAAGAGGCAATGTCAGATTATATACTCAGCTGTTCCATGCAGGGAGGGGGGTTGAGATCTCAGCTCCCGATCTGCGGACGAGGACGTCCCAAGCCAGATGCTGATGCATGGACGCTTAGCCAACCGTTGTCGATTATCGAGGGACCCTGGCTCACCGGAACTCGCATATCCTGACCATGTGGACAGGACCAGTCGGCTGTGGTGATGGCGGTGCTGAAAACTCCACCTCATGCCGCCGGACCCTCGCTATCGATCAAGGCCAACAGCCACTCAGCGGACTGCCCGCCACACTCCATCGTGAGTGGGTGCGGCAAGATGTGCAAGACTGTCGATACCGGTAGAATTACCGATGGGGCGGGCTGGAAATAAGGTCAGTAATGATTCAAAAAAATGATTTTAAAAGACGATAATAAGATAAACAGGAATAATAATGAATAACAATAAGGGAAAAGGGCACGAAAAGGGCCACAAAAGGAAGAGACAGGGATAAAATAAATGAATGCAATAATCTAAAATGGATATCTGGGAAATAACCATAAGGAAAAAAAAAAAAAAAAAAAAAAAAAAAAAAAAGAAGAAGAAAAAAAAAAAAAAAAAAAAAAAAAAACAAACCAACAAACCACAAAAAAAAGAAAAACACAAACACCAAAC